CCCGCTCTCACACGCGCTTACTCAGAGACTAATATACCTCGCGTAAGTATTGCGCTTACTACTTACTACTAAATCGATTGCTACTTACACAACCGAACGAATTAATGCAGAAATGACGGAAAATAACCGTTCATTCGATTAATTTTTAAATATTAAAATGTAGTGTTTACCTACTATAAATACGGGTTAATAGTCTGCTTACTATAAATACGGGTTAAGAAATAACACTTTCGGGACCCCCTACTTTTCATTCAAAGCAAAAAATTAGGAAATTGGAGTAGAGAGCTCAAATTTTTCTAAAAGAAAAGCATTGGTGGTTTAAAGATTAAAAATAATATTTTTTATTTCACATATTTAAACATTAAGAAAATAATCACCTCAGGTCATTGGAATCCTTAGGAAAGCAAAGAATGAAAATAAATTGAACTAAAGGTCAATGAACTTTCCAAGAATATCTTCAAATTTTAGTTCCGGCATCATAATACAAATCATCTTAACAACTATGTTCTCATTTTCTCCTGGATTCTTCTCATTATATTCTCAGAGAATTGTGTAATAAAAAGAGTTATCAGCAAAAAAAAGAACAATTACTTTCCTGCCTACTTTATCAGTACATTGCGGGACGGGAAGTTTTAAATTGGTTCACCACAATACAGAGGATGTGGTTGGCAAGGAGAGCAGATAAATCTTTGTAATCCACCATCTCGGTGAAGGGAAGCTTAGAATGCAAATGTTCAGAAAAGTAAAGACTAGTTTGAATTAACTAAACGTTAATTTGAACATGATAGAGTACAAAAGAATTCAACGGGCTGTCATGTGCCTTTAGGAAGAAAAGAGTGTAAATTTCAAGAACTAATTCAATATCAGTATCAGACTGTGTAATTTAAACTATACTGACTAGGGAAATGAAATATTTAAGCTTATCTCCTTCATTAGCTTCATTTATAATTACATAATACCATCACAAATTTGTTTATTATATTTTAGAAATGTGTTAATCTTGGGGCATGAGTAATGTTTCCATTTGTGTTTAAGCTAATATTTTATGGTTAATTGAATTTGTGGTTAAGCTAATATTTTATGCTTAATTGAATCTCCAATTCAGAATCCATACAAGAGCCAAATAATGAGTAAAGGTGGAATTTTTTCCAAAAAGGATTTTTAAAAAAATTTCTAAAATAAAAAATTTTGAAATACATACTACTTTCAGCGCAAAATTAAAACCCGTAACATCTGTTGCTATAGTTTTCTTTCGTTTTCCCAAAATTCGCAAACTTGGCAAGCTTGATTACTGAAATAATTGATTCAATTACACATATTTCAATGATCATCTATTGACAGACAGCATTGTATGAACTATAATTTAGTGATGCCACAGAACTGGGTAGTCTTTCTCGTACTAGTTAGTTTCCTTTTCGCTTGTGTCTGAGGTGATTTTTGCCTTTTGGCCCACCCTGTCCCGGCTGCTATTTATCGGCGCACGTTAAAGACTATCAGGGCCTTTGCAGGCCTTCCGCAGTCCTTCTCGCACCTCTGGGCTAAATCGCGTTCCCTGAATATCGCATTGAATTCTCTCGGCTGTTTCACTTTACATATTTTCACATGGTGTTCCTTCAGCCCTTCTCGACGCTTCTCCCACTGTTCTGGGTTGGAATCCAATTCCTCAATTACACACGTGTCTCACTCAGAGTGCACCGTCAAGTAAAGATCTTATGGAAAGATTAGGGTATAGTTGTAATACTCGAGGGACTCGGAATACCCCACACGTTACGAACATAATTTCAAATTAGTGGTAGTAAAAAAACACGAACTTTCTTTCCCGTATTTTCACGCAAAAAGTACTCAATTTTCGAAAAATTGTGCATGACTTTATTCCCAAATTTATTTTTAAGAAACAGATTTCTGTAAGGGAAAAATCTCTATCTTTAATATTTTAGTTGCATGAAGACTCCGAAAATTTTTGATCTTTTGCAGTTTTCGAAAAATTAGGATTTTTAGCGTACATGAGGCTTGCACAATTTTCTTGAACGTTCTCCATATTATGCAACAACAAAATTTAATAAAAAACAATGAAACCTTTTTTGAAATATGGAATATCTCATTTTGGAAAAGGTTCTTGTAAAGTACCCCCACCCCAAAATTGAAATCCCCATTTCAAATTCAAGGGGTCGTGAGATCAGACAGATCGATAAAGAAATATCGATTTTGAAGATAATCGGCTGAACGGTCCATGAACAACGGTCTGTGAACAACGCTAGCGACTAAACCGTTCTGTCAATTTTCTCCAAAATTGATATTCCGCAATCGATCGGGCTGATGTCAAGGATCTTTGAATTTGAAACCGGTATATTAATTTTAATAGCGAAAGTACTTTACATAAAGCCCTTGAGACATTTTCAACATTTTCAAAAAAAAGTCTCCATTGATTTTTTATTAAATTTTTATGTTGGATAGTGTGAATAATGTTTAAGAGAATGGTGCAGATCTTTTGTTCGTTAAAATCCCTGATTTTACGAAAATTGCAAAAGTTCAAACTTTTCTGGCTAGTGTTGAGACTTCTGCCACTGCCAAATCCAAGACCCGGCCTCGGCATGCAGATTGACTACTACATACTCTAATGAAGCCGAACACTTCAAAAATGAGACGCTCAAAAAAACCTGGAATGTTTGAAAAGCGCTTACCCAATATTTTTAGAGAATATTGTTCTTTAAAGGGATATTTCTCTCGATATTTTTTCTCTCGTAGATACAAGCGCTTTCATGTTTTTAATATCACGATTTATTAATTCCTACCAATTTACGGTGTTTATTCCGGTTGTCTTTGGATTGCCTATGTTGGTATTCACTTGCCCAACAGCAATCAATTCCAATGTCAGCCCTGCCATTCTTTATTCACAGAATTTGACTCCGTCTTGCACCTCTCTACTCTTATATCTTTCGTTTCAGGAATATCGAAAGAAGCAAAGAGTTCATACTCTTTCCCACGGAATACATAAACCAGGTATATCAAATTTTTCCTCATCCTCTCTTTTTAGTGAATACTCTATGTCAATTATGGGTGACATCTTTTCATATCACATTCGTTGAATCGATGAAATTCTAAAACAACATACCTAGTTTCCATGTTCCAAATTCATCATATCTGTTCATTTCTACAATTTCTGCTTCCAATGTTTCGTTCAAAATAACAAAATTTCCAATCCCAAAACTTCGTCCCATTTAGGGTCACTAGTAGATCTCATCTTATAATCTTGTTTCCTGGAGATCAAACGGGGGGAAGTGGGGTCAGAAATTCAAAAATTGTGTTAAGAAAAATTTGGAGAAAAATATTTTTTTTAATAAAAGGAAATTTGTTTAATGTTATTTCCTCCTAAGGGATAATAAACGAACTCGTTAAGAAATTCATTTTGGTAATTTGTTCACATCGTCTTACATTTGAAGTTATTTTCGTGAAAAATGAGTGTAAACAATCACTATCAGAGAAAATTAAATTAATAATGGCATCCCAATAGACAAAGCAAAGAATTGGTGACGAAAATAAGTGTTCAATGTTTCAAAAATTTCAAACGAAGACGGGGTGTTATTCTTCAAGTACAAGGATTACAGAACAGCAGTGTTTTTGTATATATTATGAATAGTATCCTTTATATTTGGAAATACTGAAAGACAAATCTGAAGATGATGAAATATAGCCCCAATAATAGGAAATATAATGGACAGAACTGATAAAATTTGTCTAAAAATCTGTTCTAAACGAAAAATAATTTCACAAAGATTTCAATGTCTCGATATACATGGCGCTCTTGTTGTAAAGCGAGCTCTATACAAACTACTCAAAAAAATGAAGCTAACAATGAAATAACTTTTCATTTTATTTATAATTTTAACAAAGTAGGGTTTATTTCATAGTTTATCTTGAGGTATTTACCTCAAGTTTAATTTGTGCGGATGAAGTGAAGATTTTATGCAGATTCAATGAAGTAACTTTTGAGCAGTGAATTAAAAATAGGATCATACGACGAATCTAATTTTTACTTTCTTGCAACGGAGAGCCTCGCGCGAGAAAACAGCGAATTTTTGCCAGAACCTCTCTTATTACAGGGCCCTGGTAATGAGAAAGATCAATTCAGTTGCTAAATTTAGAAACAAATTCTTCAACAGATGGTGTATCCTGTTATGTGGGACTTTGATAGCGAAAAATCTAATGATGGCAAAACTGTCTGTCCGTCCGTCTGTGAACAACGCTAGCCGCTAAACCGTTCAGGCAATTATCTCTAAAATTGATATTCCCTAAATGATCTAGCTGATGTTGTAGCCCCTTCAATTTGAAAGCGATATTTTAATTTTGTAGGGGTACTTTACATACAGTCTTTGGAATATTTTCAAAAGTTTAAAAAAATGTCTCCATCGTTTTTGGTTACATTTTGTTGTTGGATATCGCAAAGGACGTTTAAGAGACTGGTACAAGTCTCATGTTCGATACAAACATTGATTTTTCGAAAATTGCAAAAATTCAATTTCTTTCTGCGTTTTCCTACAGCCACAACTATGAAGATAGAGATTTTTCCCTTAATAAAATCTGTCTCTTAAAGATAGATTTTGAAATAAGGTCATGTAATTTTTTTCGAAATTTGGTTACTTTTCCAGTAATCTTGCTTGAAAATGCCGGTGAGAAAGAACGTGCAGTTTTACGACTAGTTTTTAAAATGCGTTCGCGGATTTAACGGCTACAGTTTCACTTCCTGCGCGAAACCCCGAGAGATGGCAAGTCCAACCACTGCCGGACAGCGAGTGCACCTCTTGCGAGATGCGTGTGGCGGCGGCTGCGGCTGCGGCGAACCGCGTTTATCTCCGGCGGCGGCGGCGGCGGCGGGCTGCTGCGCCAATAATCTCTGTTCCGGTTCCTGCGCTGCGCGCTCCGCGCTTTAAGCCTCCGCGTCGGTGAGGCGTCACTCGCAGTTCTCGGCGTTCGCTGTCGCCCTCGCTGCTGCCTTCGACGCCATGCACCGCCCCCGGGGCCCGCGCCGGGCGCCCTCGTCGCCGCCCGCGTCCTGGCCGCCGCCGTCGCCGCCGCCCGCGCTCCTGCTCGCCCTGGCGCTGGGCCTGCTGGCCGCCGCGCTCGCCGACGCCTCCCATCACGAAGCGGCTGCCGGGTGAGTCGGACGCGCGTCCTGGCCTTCGAGCCCCGCGGAGCCCCTCGCAGCCATTTCCACGCCGCTTCGTAGCAGGGTAGCGTTCAGCAGGAGGGGCCCAGCGGCCGGCTGCGCCCATCCTTCGTGGTTTCTACGCGAACGCCACACATTCACACTTACATGCATTACACTACCGCGCATGCCGGGAGGCCAGCAGGAAGCTTACGGCTGGGGCGATGCCCTGATGGTGGGAGATACCTGGTTAGGGAAAACCCCGCAAGCTGACGTGTGGATCGGCGCCGGTTCTCACCATCGACTGGAGGAAGATCATCGAATCTAAAAAAAAACTACACTTCACTTCCGAGGTTTAGCAGATCACGCACCTGCAATTACTAATTAATCAATCTGCAGAGTTGGATTCTTACGGTCGAAGATATAATTAATTTTTTAATGAATTAATAATTAATTTGTTTTTTTTGCGTCGCATTTCAGGAATTCTGCTATTACTAAAAAATCGAAAACTGAGATTTTACTATATTTTATGAGAAATAAGTCTTCGTCTCTGACATTATACCAATTGACTCCTGATAGTACATGCATCGCTATTTCATGAACGAAGACTTCTATGGAATAATGCTGTCCCAAATTAAAAGTTTGTCCATTTTCATAAATAAAAAACAAGAGAAGTAAACAATTTTTTACGTAACATTAATACCGTCGATTAGTGGGAAACACAATTTTACGGGGAAAATAAATCTCGCACTCCTGTACAAAAAGTTTTTGTGTGTATTACACCAGTATTCCGAAAAAGTGATGATATATTTATTCAATTAAAAGATATTGTCAGTTATTAATGGAAATATAAAAGGTACTTCACGCCCAATAATTCCAAATGATATACTGTATGTAAGACATTACGATGTTGTTACCGTGTCTTAAAAAGAAATAAATACCATTTGCGACTGAAAAGTTATACTATAAAGGGTACAAAAAGAGGGTGAATAAATTTGACATCAAATTACAATATTATCAACAGGGCGATTCAAAATTGCCTTCGGAGGGGAGATGCGTCACAACAAAAGTCGTGCTGTTCTAGCAAAGTCGTAAGCACATTCTCGCCAGCAAAGAACAATGGCACAGCCCACGGTGTCAAACGTTTCGATAAACGCCGCCAGAAGGTACTACTGTACTTCAGCTTCCGCGTCAATGACCCCCATCTCGATCAGGTTTTTGTCCAGTTTCCTCGAGCAAATGCTGAGATGGCCCCTTGTTTACTTCTGGACGTAAATGTAGCTTCCCCATGCGCACGTTTTGTTGAACTCTCCTTTTGCTTGGAATGGTAAGAGTAGAGGTAAGGGCGAGTTGCCATTTTGTTAGCGATGCAGAAAAATCATACTTGCAAATCGTATACCGATGCAAATTAGTTTTCTATAACTCAGAAACGAAAATGACTATTTTTTAAATATTGCTAATCTTGCTATTTTTAAAATTTATTTTTATTTATTTATGTTAAACTTGCGCAGATAATCTTTTCCTTCCTACGTCAACGATTTTTTTTACTGAATAAATCTAAATCTAAATCTAAGGCGTCAGCTCAGCCCACGAGGGGGAGTTGCCTAAGCGGTGTCCCAGGGTAATTGGCACGCCTGGCATTGCGACTCGACTGGGACGTCACTTACTTTTTCATAATCCCCCGCACTATCCGCACTATCTTGAGCATGGCGTCCAAAATGACACACGTTCCTGTGGCACACATTGTCAAGCGGTAACACCTTGTTATTGTTATCAATGCATTCTATCGTAAGACAACGATTCACAAACGTCTGACTCTTTGCCAGTGTACAATACCCTTGAACTATGGAGTAGATATACTGACTTCTTTTGTCATAGTGTAATCTCTCTTGGATAATTTCAAAACGATGGCGATTTCCAAATTATGTTTCGCAAAAGTGGAATTTTCATGGATAATAGGAGCATCACCTCGCAGTTTCAAAGACATTTTTTTATCTCTCTGTACGAGCGATGGCGCCGCTGGGTGGGACAGAAGGTGGGGGGGGGTATTCTCGAGTGGCACTACTTTAGGGGTGACAACTGAAACGGAGTAGTTAAAGAATAATTTTAACAGATTCCCCGTTGTATAGATGCCACGATGGTAATAGTTTTTTCTGCAGCATCTGGGCCAGGTCAGGACGTGCGGAACCGTGCGGTGACTCGTCCTAGTGGCAATTGGCTTCGCGTGAGTCGATCTTTTAAAAGGGATGTTAACTATGCCGAAAACAAATCCACCATATTCAAGTACTAGATTAGGCCTGCACAGCGTTTTGCACTTTGTGCGAGAGCCGAGCGCGAGCCACTCAAGTGCACATGCGGAGAAATTTGAAGGGTGGGGTTGAGGCAAATTCTAGGAGCTGGGACCACCAATTAGAACGTGCAATTCGAACCTCAGCGCGTAAATTGAAAGAACAATCGACGAGAAAATGATGGTTACTAAAGATTGGTAGCATATGAGAGCTAGAAAAGGTATGTATACTACTGAAATAGTATAGGAGACGAAAACGATACCGAGAAGGGAAATTGTAGAAGAGTTAAAATCGAATTAATATTGAAATATTCAATGGTAAATTATAATTAAAGTAACATTAATTTTTTGTCATATGCTTTTAATCTATTCCTGTTCTCCGAAATTTTTTCGCGAGGCGGTGGGATGCCTATGTATTTCATTAATTTCAAATAGAAATTACTTTAGTTGTTTTTTTTAAATGTACATAACTTTTTATAATTAGCCGTTCTTCAGAACATTTTGTACAAGGCAAAATTCTCTATCATCAATTTTTAATTTTAAATATTAAAGTTTTGTAATTTTTGAAAATATGGAGAGTTCAACGAAAATTAGACCTGCGCCAATCTGTTAAGTGTTTCTTGTTGTAACCATGGAGAAAATTGAAGACAAAATGGAACTGATTTTGAGAAAAGGTTGCTTTTTATTACATAGATTTCAAGCATAAATTGCGGGGGGGAAACTTCATTTTAAAAAAAAATTTGCATTACCTTTTTTAAAGAGCTAATGTTTCGAATAGATTTTGTTTATCGCAAAATTCTCCATCTCCTATTTTGTAATTTTAAATGTTAAAATTTTGCAATTTTCGAAAATGCAGAGAGTTCGCCGAAAATGGGACAAGCGCTTTTTTTACAGTACTTTGATTCATAAGAGGAGAAAAATTACAAAAAAATTGTGCTATTTTGTTTGTTTCTTGTTTTTTGGCAAAAAAAAATGTTTTTAAAAAAATAAAAATTGCCGATATTTCACGCAAAATTATGCGAAAACTAACCAAATTTCCGAAAAATTATACATGACCTTATTTGAAACTCTGTATTTAAAAATAGGTTTCATTACGGAGAAAATCTCAATTTCAATATTTTAGTTGTAGGAAGACGCTGAAAAAAATTGAACTTTTGGAATTTTCAAAACATTTTAAGGAAAATGAGACCTTCACCATGCTCTTAAGCGTCCTTTACGCAATGCAGCAACAAAATTTAATAAAAAAATGTTCACCCATTTTTTTGAAAATTTTGAAAATATTACTGGGGCTTCATGTTAAGTTCCTCTCAAAATTAAAATATCAGTCTCAAATTTAAGGAGACGTGACATCAGCGAGATCGATTAGGGAATATCAATTGTGGAGAAGCTGAACGGTTTAGGCGCTAGGGTTGACCACAGATGGGCAGACGGACGTTTTGCCGTCAATAGATTTTGCGGTATCAAGGATCCACAAAACATGAATTTTAACTAGAGTTATTCATGTACACGTAGGCTTCCGCGGCTCGAGTCCATTACTTCTAGGCTGTCGCAGGCTTCTTCAGGGTGGTACACCCTGAAGAAGCCTGCGACATGACAGGCGAAACGTCGGCCTATCTGCCAACGACGCGGCGTCACCCGGACAGCCTAGAAGTAATAGAGTTATTCATGTTAGAGAAAGTAATTTACTATACATAGGAAGAAGATTTATCCCCTTTTTCGTTGCCACGGTCCCGCAATAAGAGTTTTTGTGTTGAAAATTCGCTGTATTCCGGTGCACGATTACACTTTCTTTATAAGAGCGAGAATGTAGATAGAGAACGAGAGTGCACATACAAATTAACGAAAACGGAACATAACACAGAGTATGAAAATGTTTTAAGGTTTTCGTATTTTAGACAAAACATTGTCATGATTTTTTGTGAATACATTCGATTCCAACGTGGCATTATACTACGGGCTGTCAATATTAAAAGAATGAGCAAAATAAAGGCGATGTCAAGAAATTAAGTTTAATTTTGTGTCAGTGACAACGTTATTAACAAGTTCTTTTATTCTTTGTCTGAGAACACATCTTGTCTGTTCTTGAGAGAGAGAGAGAGAGAGAGAGAGAGAGAGAGAGAGAGAGGAGAGAGAGGAGAGAGAGGAGAGAGGAGAGAGGAGAGAGACTGGGGAAAGAGGAGAGAGAGAGAGAGGAAAGAGGAGGGAGAGGAGAGAGAGGAGAGAGAAGAGAGAGGAGAGAGGAGAGAGGAGAGGAGAGAGAGGAGAGAGGAGAGAGACAGACAGAGAGAGAGACAGACAGAGAGAGAGAGAAAGAGAGAGAGAAATCACGACGGTTAAGGCAAACTAGTGGGGCGGCAACAGCACATACTTTCTCGTATTATTGCTCTGATATATTATTCTACTACATAAATAGGCAAAAGTGTTTTCAACCAGCAAAAATGATTTTCCGCACCGAGACACCAACTCAGGTCCTCAGAGTTAGCTCGCCTTCACCCATACCACTATGCCACAGAAGCGCCATATGGTTCTAACTCAGGCCAACGCTTAAAAATGTAATAATTTCAACGGAATTTTTTTCAAACGCACAATTTTTGCAATTTTAGAAAATACTGATAGTTTGTCGAAATGGGAGTATCACCATATTTTTTACATACGAGGAGAAAATTTAATGAAAAAAATGGATGCGGTATTTGAGAAAACATTCTTTTTAGAAATTGCATAAAGTTCAGACATGAATTATGCAAAATCTTCTGGCTTTGTCACAATATTGTTCATTGCATTTTTTAAAGAGCTGATTTTTTAGAACAGACTTTAAAGCAAAAATCGTATCTTCAATTTTGTAACTTTGAAATGTTAACTTATTGCAATTGTCGAAAATACGGAGAGTTTGCCGACTTAGGGTTTTGTAACTAGCACCATATTTTTATCGTCCCTTGATACATAGGAGTATAAAATTTAAAGAAAAAATTTGAAGAGAATTTTGAAAAAAAGTATTTTAAAAAATTAAAATTGTCTATAATTTGCGCAAAATTACATGAAAACTACTCATATTTTCGAAAAGTTGAACATGGGTTATTTTAAGAACGGTCTTTCAAGAACAGATTTAATTAAGGAAAAAACTCTCATCTTCAATTTTGCTATAGCAAAACGCCCCCAAAGTTTGCATTTTGCCATTTCTGAAAAAGGTATTTCAACAAATACGAGACCTGCAACTGCAAGAAGTTCTTTAGTGGGCCAAAGATGTAGAAGGCGGAGGATGCGAGATCAGAAGAGTAAGAAGGATGACGGAGGAACTCTAGACGCATATCCTTGAGTGTCACCGAGGTCGCACGAGCCTTATGAGAACGCACCTTGCCATGGTCAGTGAGAACGCCTGTTGAGACGAGTCCGCTGCGCTTGGTGCGAATAGCAGGTTTCAGAACAGCTCGCACAAATTCACAAATGTGGCACTGGTCACCGTCTTGTCCTTTTCCATGTAATGTTCCCTTGGGGACATGGGACCCTTGTAGTCAGCATCACCTTTTGTGCAGATGGCTGTCTGCGGAACTTTTGCGGCTGTGGCGATGTCGGATGCCGCAATGCCGTACCGGAGCGCTTGGTCTGTGGTTGGTAGCGGGCATAGACCTCGTCTACAGTTACAATCCGCTCCAAAAATGCGTCACCTTGAAGTTTGTAGCACCTCCTTGCAGACATCCACTCGCCTCTCCTTCGTTTCGAACGTCAGACGACGAGGGGCCCACCTTGCGGCCACTTTCTGGTATTTCAACTCATCGTGAACAATATGCTGAGTAGAGCAATGACTGACCTGTAATGCCGTTGCAATTTCATCGATGGTGATCTTCCATCCTGCAGAAACAAACTATTCCGCCGCTGCAATTGCCTCGCCACTCGTGTGCCTGGCTTGGCCTTGGCGCTCCTCAATTTCTTACGCCGTCCGTACACCTGAGTCTGCGATACACATGCAGCCCCATATTGTGTCAACACGCGTCAATGGGTTTCTATTGGTTTCGTGCCTTCACTGTGTAGGAAACGGATCGGTGCACGCTGCTCTTTAGAGCATTCCAATAGAAAGGTCGCCATATTGGAAACGTCCGTATGGCGCCGCTGAGTCACGTGGGAACGCCAATTGATGGCGGGAGAGTCCACGGGCATGCGTGCGAGGTCTGATTGCGAAGGAAGCCGTTTTCGATTTTGTACAGCTTACCAGTTTTCTTTTGACTACGTATTATCCAATAATTTAAAATAATCTGTTAATGAATTTCATAATTGATATAAGAAAACACTTACCAGGAGCTGCATCTGCTTCAAACATATAAATCACAAAATATTTTGTCATATAAAAATTTAATTTGATTATTTCAATTGATGTAAACTAGGTATACGAATCTATTTTGTATTATTAAAATTATGCTACATTGTATTTTCACAGAAGGGAGAAACGGTCTTCTGCATTTAACCTAAGATACTTTGCCAAGGGCAGAACACCCTCTGCGGGAGGAGGAGTAAAAGAAACCAAAGGACAAGCTCCAACCTTCCAAGGAGGTTCGTAACAAAAAATTGGATATAATGTTCTTGGATGCACGGTCGTCCAAAGAAGGGCAGCTAGGGCAACATGACCCAGGCCCTGACTTAATTGGGACCTCAAATTTTATTTCATTCAAAATAAATGTAAAAAATTCTGATGCAAATTGGAATGTTAAATAGAACCTGAATTTTTGAAAGCTGTTTCATACTTAACAGGGTTGTATTTTGACTGTGTACTCATCTATTCAATAGATATTTTTTTGCTTTGCAATGAAGAGAAAGAATTGCAACCCTCGTAATAAAATACCTGAAAGTGAACAATAGGTATTTATTGGCATGTGTCCATAACAATACAAATTTATTATAAAATTGCGAATTATTTAACATTTATCTCATAAATCCTTCCATGTTAAAGAGTATCTTTGTTCTTTTGCTGAATATTATAGGCAATCTAATATGATACCTTTGGACTATAATTATCATTACCCATTTTTTCCCTTTTGCACTAAATTAATGATCTGTTCATTGGTACAGGCAGAGTATGAACTGACAATTCACTTAATGTTGCCAAGGTTCATCAAGGAGACTTCAATTAAATCTAAAAATGTCTGAAACAAAAATGATCAGACAAGTAGACATTTCTTAGTATGGAGTAAAATGCATTAAAATATGTACCCTATAGGTAATCTTTTTCATTTACATGCATTTTAAATCAGCTAAAAATCCAAAGTAATCAGGTTTATTAAAAAAAATAAGTTGAAAATTATAACTCTTGAACCAAAAAAATAGTATTAAATAAGTTACTTTCACATATTTACATTAATTTTTACTTGTAATGTTTGTTTCAGGATGTGTTTCTCGACCCATGAACCCTCCACATACTACAATTCAGTGTCATACTCATAGGTAATCTTGTTTTAAGTTCATTTGATACTATATTACTCTCAAAATAATAAATTGTTTTATCTATTTATTATTTATTGTATTTGTACTTTAATATTGTAGTGGATGCCGCTTAACATGTTTAAGAGACCATCTATTTCCTAATGGTGAGAAACGACTTATAGCAATTTGCAGAAATCAGAAGTGGGAAGTAGAAGATACAGATTGGACCGCAATTCCAGACTGTGTTCGTAAGTATTTGAAACCAATAAAAGAGAGAAAAAGAATGTTTCAGTGCAGTTATTTCATTCTTTTGCTATTTTTAATTTTATTTTTTTCTCAGCCGAATGCCGCCCACCATGCCAGAATAATGGAATATGCATTAAACCTAATGTATGCAATTGCACAGAAAGTTATGTGGGACCACAGTGTCAGTACAATCGTCGACCATGCTTTAATGATTCTCCACTTCCTGCAAATTCTTTTAAAAGGTGTAATTCAAAGTAAGTATTTTGTTTAATACAACATTATATATTATTTATCAGACTACAAATTGAAGAAGGTACTGGCTGAGGTATTTCCCATTTAGATAGATGTCTTGTTAAAAAGTTCCTTGTCACAGAGTAGTTATGAATACTGAACTTAAGCCAGAACCAAATTATTGATACTAATTAGGGTATCCATCATTTTAAAATACTTTCTGATACAAGTAATTTCTCTATTAAGTCAATATATTCTTTTGTTTCAGAACCTGCACAATTACATGTAATGAAGGGCATAAATTTCCTGATGGGTCACAAATCACAAATTTAGTGTGCCGAGATGGCACATGGAGTCCATCTCGCAAAGACTGGTCCTCAGTTCCTGACTGTCAACGTGAGTGACTTTTTAAAACTAATTCCTTAAAATTAATGTGATGTTATTAATGAGAAGAAAACAAGAACAAAATTCATATTTGAGCAATATACTGTACCATAATATTGATACACCCTCATTAGAGATTTTGTAATCATTATTTTTAGAGAAAACTCAAATTGTTGAGTACTCGGAGAGTACTTTTTTAAAGAAAGATGCTATATGATTCTGCAAAATTGAAATTAAGGTTACTACTGTAAAATTGGGTAACCTCAATTTAATGGTGCATTTATGTTTGTCTTTACGTATAAATTTGAATTATTATGGGTTTCATAGGAATAAATGAATGAAAATATTACAAATTTAAGAAAAATTAACTTCTTTATTGAAACACTTGTACCATAATATCTATAGTATATAGGAATATCCATTTTATGTGTATATTTATGCTCCCATCTCATTGATTTATAACATCTAAGATTCAAGTAAATATTATTGTAATCAAGCTGGTGACTACAGCACATTACTAATTCTTTTGCTATGATATTTGTTGGCTTATTTTTCAACTATTTACCATAATATTCAGGGATGAGCAGAAATAAACTTCATTCCCATTATAACCAATTTAAATGTCTTCTCAATATCAAAAGAATTTTCAATAATTAATTTGCCTGACTGATTTTTACACTTGCATTTTCTTAGATTGGTTGACAAATCAATCATTAAGAATTAAAATATTTGGAAAATTTATTTTTAGAATTGGAATGAGAGATTAGATTTATTAAGAATTCAGCCATTCAGTAATAAAATAGGCAATATTTACTGGAATATGTAAATAAGATTGATATACAACAAAGTTCTGTTACACTTTTTAAATAAGAGAAGTATTCATTTTTTTGTTCTATTGTGGGGTATTTAAAACCATAAATACTATTTTTTTTCTTTATATTTTTGAATGGCAAATTTACAAAGAATGTCTAAAGTGAACCACAATTTTTGAAGTTTAACTTTAAGAGCTTTTTTAGTCAATCATGCATGAGTTTTACATAAGAATTATAAAATTAGGCATGCCTTTCCAAATGTTCATGACATTATTTTCAAATTCTTCTTGATCAAATATTTTTTTTCATTATCACGGATCTTACACTTCAATGTCTTGAAGTTTTGAAGCTGTGTCGATGTCTCAGCCGTGTCGATTCCGCCATGTTAGAATCATGGAAAGTTTCCACCATGGTTAGAATTCAGAAGTTCTCCAGGAAATGTTTTGTAATCGCTCCCAATAATATTACATATTTGTTACTTGATTCAAATATAATTTTCAAACCACATCTTTTAACATTAATAACTTTCCTATATTTATAAATTTAACCAATCATATTTGCAACTCAAATAAAATTTTTAACTACTAAATACATTTTGACTACCTTTAAATTGCAGTAATGTCATAGATGGATATTCCTATCACATACCATGCCTCACATTTTCTACACATTCTATACCTATGTTAATAAAACAATTAAGATATAAAAATCAAGTCCATCTCTTGAAAATTATTCCACAAAATTCATCTGTGACTTAATTTGCAACCCCTGCAAACTCTGGGGTAGTTTTACAAACGTTTCTAAGAAATCTATCACCCTGACTTGTGTTCACTTTGGAATCTGATGTTCTCTCATCCCTTCTCTTTGAAATCTAGCAGCATCGTGATCTCAAAAGTACATACTGATAACATGTCATCTTCTTATTTATTTGTTTGAACACTATTCTAACAAATTTTGTCATTGGATATGCATAACTGTTATTTTCACTTTCTTACCCCATAGTCGACCCTAATACGTTATGCAATTGGTCAATGTATTTCTGTTGAAGACATAACTTTGAATTAAATATTATTTTTTTTAAATGTGCTGGGAAAAACAAGAACACTTTGGAAGCAACTGAGGGAATATTGATAAACCAAGGAACAGATCCACAAACCTAAACCTTAAACATTCATCTGATGATATTAGTTCTTTATTTTCTAAATAAGGTTTATTCTTTACTAAGGTTATTCCCAATCAATAGTCCTCAGAGTTGTTTTAACAGTATTGGGGGCCTTTGGGCCTAGGTTAATTTGGGGGCTCCTATTCTTACCATCACCGATCTCCCCCAACCTCCCATTTTCGATGCTGAAATATAAAAAAAAACAACTACCAATCCACACTGTCTTTTATACTTTTTTATAATTTGGAATGTATTTCTTAGTGATTCAATTTAAAATTATTAAAACAAAACATTTACATGTATGTATAAGTAAGTAACAATAACAGATTTATAATTACATTAAAAGACACTGCAAATTAAATAGCTTTAATGTTTTATTGAATTGAACAATATAAAATTGAAACGCAACAACCAGCAACATTCCATATTATAAATATTATCCAATGATGCGTGACACATCACTTCATTATGCCAATTTTTTGCGTATAGTTTAATCATGCATCACTTTTTTGTGTTTAATTTTTTTAAATTTAGAATTAAATATTTTCTTAAGAACTGTCAGGGGCCTTGGCTCAAGCCCTTCAGACCTGTGCATTAACAAGGCACCTGATGTTCAATGTCCAGAATATCATGTCCCTTCCAGCCTCAATCATAACAGAACTCTGATATTCATGTATTAACTTCAATGCTTTACATTCGATGAGGACAAACATGCATATTATATTGTTTATTGACTAACTAAAATGCCTTGCTTACTTTCACTTCTGACCCAAACTATTTCTAAGGAGACATTGCCTGTATTATATGATTTCAAATATCCTTGAGATATCTGGTAAATTTCAAAATTTACCAGCTAATTGTTGTGAATTTAATATTCTAGCTACTTGTCATCCCATATGTCAGAATGGTGGAATCTGCTTATCTTATAATATGTGTCAATGCCCACAAGACTTCAGAGGACCACAGTGCCAATATGGTGAGTGCAGTTTTGTTTAGAAGTTCATAAATTCTCTTCATATCAATTTATTTGTATTTCCAAAATCTGTACAATTTATTTAATTTAAAATATTTTTCAAAGAAGTGTTCCTCAATTTTTTATTCATAGCTCATTACAATATTATTTGAACTTACAGCTAAAGAAGCTTGTGATCCACAAAAACTAAATTTCAATGGGCAGTACAAATGTACAGGAGATCTTAATTCACTGACTTGCCATCTAAAATGTCCTACTGGACGTTTTAATGTTGAGCCAGCTAGTGGATATAAATGTGAATATGCCACTGGAACATTTTTGCCATCACCTATTCCTCAATGTATCTATGGTAAGTTAAGTAATGCCAGATTTTTACATCTAAGCTACGGTTAAGTATAGAGCTTTTATGACTGAACTAATGATAATTTCTTTTAGATCAAAACTAATACTCTGAAGATTTACGTATTAGTTAATTATTGTTCAAGTAGAATCTTTTTTGTATTTAATTTTATTTTAAATTCCATCAACATCTAGGTTACTAGCAACTAAATGAATACAATATTTTGCATTTATCATTAACAACATTGAGTTTTTACAATATTATGGTTTTATGATTATGGATACAAAAACATCCTGTAAAAAATCTTAGTATTAACATACTATGAAAAATACTTTGGTATTTATCATCAGTTAGCATCTTTTGTAAATTTACATATAGTGTAAATATTAGTCTATTTAATATTGATTGCTATGGACAGACATAATATTTTTTGTGTATAATTAGAAAAAGAAAGAATGCAAGAGCAGAAAAAATAATCCAAATCACAATAATGTGTATAATATTTAATAAGTTTACTTTCTCCAATACATAATAGTATAGAGGAAGACATGAACTGCTGAAAAAAATCAATTTGAAGATTTGACTGAAGAACAAATTTGGGGAGTTCCTTACACTGAAAAAGTGTTTAGCTGAACGCTGATATTTCTGTTCAGTCATAAGGTCTGGGGGCCCTGTTCTATTTAAGCATCCAAACTCAAAACAAAATACTAATCTTTTAACTAAAACTATGTCTTATGAAATCATGAATGAAGCTCTGTTTTTTCTATTATAATGGACACAATGAAAGATGTATTATCAAAGTTGACAAAATAAGCCAAATTTTTCTTTTTTTTAGCATTGAGAAAAATGAATCTGGCAAGTCAATTAAGATAAAAATTAATGAATCATTCATAGGATTTAAGTGAATCGAAGATCAATGAGAACAAGGTTTGCATATTGATATTGTTGAGGATTTTGTTAAAGGAATAAGAATTGATTTATTTATATGTAGAGGTCAAGTTATGACGTGCTGCAGTTATGAGTGGAATTTAATATTTAAAATGGTGTTCAGAAGCAAAATTAGATGACGCTTACGTTACATTGTTTGTACATCATACTGCTCCTATTTCAAACCTTATGTTTAACGATGACATGAATGGAATATTAAAAGTTCAGACATTTTACTGTTTGCTGGAACAAATTGGTTTTCTTTGGGCGTAGCATTAATTGGTGGAACGTATCAATTGAGATGAATTTAGATAAAATGCAAAATAATCTTACTTTAAAACAACTATGTCCTAGAAAATGGTCATCACAAAACAAGTCCTTAGTAGCTATAAGTTTTGAATATTTTAATATTTTGCAATCTTTAACAAAATTTACATTTTGTAATAAAATGTCGGTAGTAAATGAAGCTCCTAACTTGAAAAAAGAAATGGAACATTTTGAATTTGTTTTCCATGTACAACATTCCAAAATACTAATATAAACTAACACCTTCAAAGTCCTGATTTTGATTTACAAATGGCACAGAATTTAATCAATGACCTAATGAAGAACTGATGACTCTTTGGAATCACTATGATGATTTGATAAATGAAGCAATAGAATTATTCGAAGTCTGGAAAGTAGAAGAGAAATTTAGCGAAAAACAAGAGAAGGAAATGAAATGACATTTTGAGGAACTTATGGTATCATGGTTATGGATCATGGTAAACAAAGATACAAACTTAATATTAATATTTTTTAATATTAACCATAGATGCCTAGATATTGCCATTAACCAGTTTGAGCGACTGTTAGTTGAATTGAAAAATACAGTGGCAATTTTTAATGTGATTCAGACATAAATTTTGATAGCTCAATCGGTGGAGGAAATTTACGAAGAAGCACAAAAACTTCAATCCGAGTAATCTGTAGATGTTGTGGAAAACTTGTCAGTTATTGTCTTTACACATTTGCTTAGAGAGTCAAATTTTTAAACTAAGATCTGTTAAAGATCTTGCAAACTTCTTAATAATTGAATATTGCTCATTAACAAGTTTTCCCGATGTATGTAGGCCTACAGCATTGACATCATTTTTGACACTTACAGTAAAGCTCCCAGCATCGAAATAATGTTTTCCAAATGAAAGCTGATTTAAAATTATTTATGAAGTTCAATGGCACAAGACAGTCTGAATAAATTAAATATTTTTTCAATCGCGAAAAAAAAACAACGAAGTTTTTGAAAAATAATATTCCCACTGGCATTGTCAAAAATTTTTAAATGCGCACAAAAAACTAACATTCAAATTTCAAAGAATATCGTTAAATGCACAAATGATATTTGTTCTGTAATAATTTATTGTAATAAACTTTTTTGCTCTTAAAATTCAGTTTACAATAACAACAGTAAATTAATGACACGGGACTTTAGTTAGGGGGCCCCCGTATGATGTCTGTCCAAGTGCCTCCTCTGGTGAACTTATGCCACTGACTATACCATTGAAACATCTTACTGGCCTAAGGGCATTGGTGTCAAAATTAGAATTAGCATTAGCAGCAAACCTCCTCAGAGATATCCCCTCATTGTGGGAAGATATTAGGATACCATCTACACAGTACGCCATGATGAGTCGTTAAAAACAAGCAGGCATCGAATTTAATGGTATGGCACCCAAACACTTCAAGGTTTCATCCATCTTTGTGTACCAACTTTTTTCAGTTTGTCATTAACCATGCAAGGATTTCCTTAAACTACACACTACCTTTTCATCTCTTCATAGATTCACAACCATGCCCTTGGCCTTCAATTCAATGCGACCTCAGCCTCAACGCAACCTCAACCCATCTCCTGAAGGTTTTAGGTGGCTTTGTGTAGATCTTTCCTTCAAGATCTTCATTTAAATTTTAATAAACTGATTAAACCCTGAGTGATCAGACATGATTTCCTTTTCTCAAGCGTTCCACCAGATCTATACTTATTCCTCAACACCATTTGACAATCCACAATCTTATGGTCTCTTGAAAGGTCAACAAGAACCAGGTGCTGTTCTTAAGGGAGGATTTCACCTCACCTATACCCTCACACGGCTTGGTCGCTCCTGTACTTCTTCAGTCAAAAACAGTGTTGAACTATTTTATTGGTCTTCCTCTTGAACTAGATCTAGAAACCGTGGACCGATCAAGACTTCCTAGTTGTATGCCTTGAACAGGGAGGTTGGCAGACGTCATCTGAAGAGTTGCTCTTATTGAAACCCAGAAATCCTCATCAGAGGACTGGATGACATCATTGAATTGTAGGAAAAATCTTAATCAATGTCGCTGATAAGTAATTTGTTTCTGCCACAGGTTTCGACCACTCCGAAGGCAGTGCGGATTAGGAGTGGCAGCGTGTATGTCCAAACTAACGCATACATTTTACCTCTTCAAAATATTTCTTGAACGTGGAAAACTATAGCTTGTTGTGTACAACCGTTTTTCATGCATCGGGCTTTTAATCCTTGTCTAAAACAACTTTTACGTTCATTACAGAAGGTACAATTATGCTCATGAAAAAATAACAGAAACAGTATCGGTAAATCCCAAAATGTATTTCCATTAAAATATCAGAACCAATTTTACACAGCATTATATAACATCCCCTGTCCTACATATATTACTCAGTGTTTATGTAGTAGTTATATGAGAAAGTAAACACAGAGTATATAGAGTAGTATATGAGGAAGTAAAAACAGTTAAAACTATATGTGGTGTTTGAGGAAAATGGAGATATATTGTGCATTAATTGTATATTTTCTCTGTCAAATTTCTATGCTTCTCCCTTGCAGATTCAGTGTTGGAAGTAAGACGAAAGATTCCGCCTTCAGGATCGCAAATGGTCACTATTGAGTCAGGAAGGAAGACACTAAATACTTTCTGGAATAATGCAAACTTATCTGCCATAATAAATAGAATCCCCATTGATGTTGGTGTATTTCAAACAATTTTAGAGAGGGCACCAACTCCTGGAACTTGCTATGTGTGGGGAGAGCATTACAAAACTTTTGATGGTAAAGTAATTAGGTAGGTATTTAACTGTTGTTCGATTAATAGGTATATATGAATGTATTTTGGTAAAATGTGAGTATAAATTAATGCAAATTAATATGTCTTCATGTTATTGTAAATTTGTGAAGGTAATTTGTTTCTAATGTTTTTGCACATCATGTTTTCATGGTTGTAATTTTTAGATATTTTCTTTTTGTCTCCTGCTTTGAGTAGCAGATACATGATGCTCTGTGTCAGCCAATCCTGGAGTACCTTTGGGTTTTCTAAAATTTTATTAACAGCCTTTGCTAGATGATGATTAATATCAAAGAAATCACTTATTTCACATAATATCATGATTATGGAATAAAATTGCATGATTGTTATTTTACACTGGCTTGCACTTCCTGCTGTAGTGGAGACGGAAACAGGGGTGGGCATAAAATCCTATGGTACATAATGTTATCTAACTATTGAGAACTCAAGCAACAGAAGAATAAACTAAAATCGCTCATAAGCTATATTTATGACTAGTGGGACCATTATACAAAGAATGGAAGCAAGCAAATAAATAAGAAAAGCCCTCTGATAATATTATGAACATTGCGAACTTTCATAAAATGCCATGCTAACTAAGTGTTGGGCTCTATATGAATGAATGTAAACATATTTCATAACTTGATAACTGCAACTCCTTTCCAGTTTCCGAAGTGACTGTTCCTACACCTTAGTGCAGGATGATATTGACAGTACATTTAGCATTGATTTGCAACCCCAAATTAATGGATCTCGTCCTATTAAAGTATTTGCTCAAGACAAAGCATATACTCTTTCAAAGAACGGTGTGTATCTCTACAACTGAACAGTATTTTGTTATTACTCAAAGTCCTCAGATACAACAAATATTATCTTAAAGATGTTTAATGCTTACAAACTGATAATATTTTATTTGACAGATAAAGGACTGCCTATATTGAAAGTTGGATCACGAATCTTTAATATTCCTACTCAGCTGCCTGGTGTAGTAGTGAAATACACTGCCCATTTTGTTGAATTTTCTATAAGCTTAGCTGGATTCTCACTGATGTGGGATACTCAGGTATGTCACAACAAGCTTGACTTCAATATGTGTCTCCTTAGATACGTTTAAGAATTGTAAGTATGGTGCACTGAAAATAGGTAGGACTATAATGATGTGAACTAAAAGAATAAGAGTAAAAGAAAATAGTAATACAAGGCCTTTATCAAAGTTATAATCATTAATGTAGAGAAAATTCTGCTGTAGTTTTAATAAAAGTTAGCTAATTCTTCAAATTTTGACTGTTTAGGACCATAAAAAGTGTGACTGTTTAGGACCATTCTTTTGCCTATGTCAACTTAAAATGTTTAAACAATTTCACATTGTAATGTGAATAGTATCTTCAATATTTCAAAAGTTTCATGATAACTTTTCTGTTAGCTCATTATCAGTGTTCACAGTTAGGTAGTAGTAGCTGTCTGGAGACAACACGTATTTGTAAAATATGTTATCCATCACTGTAATTAATTTTAGAGAAATATTTTTTGTTACATTTTTTGGTTTTCAGATTATTATTTATAAAATTATTTAAAAATATTTACTAAACAATGAATAATATTTGTCTATTGCATTTGATGTAATTCCATTTCAAAACTGTGGTATTAATTTTCAGATAATCTGAATGTTGTTTTATTGAAAAATGTTTCTTCCAGAATACAATATTCGTTGAAGTTAAGGAACATCTATGGAACCGTACTGCTGGTCTGTGTGGGAGAATTGATGGTTACCCAGCTAATGATTTCCAAATGAAAGATGGAGAAATAGCTTCTCGAATTGTACCATTTGCTAATAGTTGGCAAGTTGAAGAACTTGGAGGTATGTAACTTGAGGATTCTAATTTTTATTTTTACTTTATAGGCCTACATTTTATAATTGATTTTCTCATTTTGCAAGTGTGCTGCCTTGATAAATTTATAGATGTGTAAGAAATAGAGAACATTTGCCCTGGAGCCTAATGTGAGGTGCAACTTTATAAACAAATAAAAACACATCAATATCATGAATTCACTTCTATACAGAAAAATATTTTTTATTGGGTGCAAAATTAGTTGTATGACAATCAGATTATTTGAGCATGTTTTATTCTTTCTAGAGAGTTGTTCATCAGTTCCTGAGGAATCCAATCCATGTGATTCACCTTCCGCTAGAGATGGTACATCTACTGAGGCAACAGCTTTTTGTGATAAATTACTCACAGATCCTCATTTTGCTCCTTGTCGATCAGTAAGTACAAAATTAAAGGTCAAATTTTTAACAGTTTAACTTCTGGCAAATCTGCTTTATGTAATATCTTATATAATAAAACTCTTGTTACAAAAATGGAATATTATTTATTTAGTGCTCTAATCATATTAACATTTATTGTTGAAAGTCATAAATACGCCAATTTATAATTTTTTCATTAGGGTGGGAGATTTTTGGAATCATACATGGCTTTTCTATGAATAGGCACTTTGAGAACACAATTACCTTTCATTTTTCATTTATTGAAATAATATTTCTTTCTGAATTCCGTCATTTCCATTGAAAGCCGCCGATTGCCACACATTCAACAATGTCTTTCTTTGGTCCTGTGATGGTCACAAAAGGAGTGTTTCCAGAATTGTCCCTGTTTTTAAAGATAATATAATGTTTTTGATAAACAAACATTGTCTGATTGATAAAAAGGGAATGTAAACAACAAAATACATCAATTTATTCTTACTCAACTTAGCTTCAGAATTTACAGGACAAATAACATACAAACAAGTGAAATAACTATAATAATTCAAATTATAAAGTAAAAATCACATTCACAGATAATTAAAAATACAATTACTTTCAGTCATATATCATACATGGAGATCTGTGTCTTTCACCAACTAATTGGAAGTTAATGGCTATTGTTTTGTATTACTTTTATTTCTAAAATTTATGCTGAGCTTGAGCCTTATGCATTACTATTCAGTTTCTTTTTAAATTTTCACTTTCCTTTCACTGGCTTTCAACTTTCTTCTTGACTGACGAATATCCTTGGACCACCAAAAACCATTTCTCCGCCAGCTCCAATGCAAGCCAACTCCCTCTCCTCCACACTCAAAAATACAAAATCTGATTTTTAAACTTCGACTTTCTAGTTAAAAGTTCCAAACTGTTACTCCAAAAAGGCCAGCTTTCTACCAAAGAGATTCAGTATTGAATTAATTAGTATACTAAAATGCAAATTAATCAACATACCATGGAGCTCATGTAACACCTCCATGCTGCTTCTCTACTACTTTCTTTCACACCTGTTGTAGTAGTAGCAATTCCTTCATTTGAGTGTCCACTGTTTTATGTTGAGGTGCAGATTCGTAGATCCAACAAATATATTTCCCCTTGATCACCTGTAGGCAACTTTTTCATTTGTCTCCTACTCCATATGCACTCCTATTTGTTACAGTCTTTCCCCATTACTTTCTTCTATTGTTCATTTTAAAAATATATTTAATTATTTCTTTTAATCTTAATGAAGACCACATATTTCTGAAAATATACTCAAGCCCTTTCTTTCTTTATTAATTTCTACATCATCTTTAATTCGGTGTTCTATTTATCTTCTGTTACTTTTTATTGTGTGTCCTGGAAAATATTATTAATATTTCCTCACATTCAGAATGAATACATATATACATACAAACAGGTCTCCAGGAATAAAAGTTACAAAATTCTAGAGCATGTAGAGGGGTCAAAACTGAAACCTTCTTGCCAATGAACTTCTAGTGGGAAATTCCATATAACAGAGTTACATGCATTTGTACATGTCATTTGCCCCTGATTTGTTAGCAACCCTGAATGCACAGATGTTTAGCAGGTACATGAAATCTTCTCAGGATCTGAACATAACCTGTTGAACATTTGTGCTTAAGGAGAGGCCTAAAAATCAAGATCAAATTATTAGGGCTCATGGCTAGCAAGTTAGCTTTTCATGCCACGACTCCTGGTTTGATATGTGGATAGTGTAACAATTAAATTGTCACTTTTCAATGCCGTGTCCCAGTTCATAACACTGGAAGGTAGGAAGAAAGCTTCTCGCAGGTTGAGAATGGGAAAGCTTACAGGTCCCCCAAATCCATTGAGGTCAGGGTATATAAACTCCCGCATACATACCCACAGTAAGTTATTTGTACGTATAAGAAAGATTATGTTCAAGAATAGTTTTACACATTTACATAATTATTATAATTCTCCAAAATCAAGTATTTGCACGTTATACGAGCTAATATTGTTAACATTATGGCATAATCGTTACTAAACAATCTTCTACATGTTTGTGCCTCTAATACTAATTTTTATTTGCTGCAGGTTGTTGATGTTCAACAGTACTATGAGGCATGTCGCTGGGATTTTTGTGCTTGCCAGAGTGGTAGCAAAAGAAACAATTCACAAGAGTGTGCTTGTAGATCAATTGCAATGTTTGTGAAGCAGTGCAGTATTCATAAGGTGGCTGTACTCAATTGGAGAGATGCAATATCTTGTCGTAAGTTATTGAAAAAATGCGAGAATATTACATTACTGTACATATAAGTTTAATTAATAATTTTCCTGACCTCTAGTATTGTAATTACACAAGTTGTGAACACCAGAGTATATAAGATGCCAGTTAAATTTATTTCTACACAGAATAATGATTTTATTGGAATATAATGTTTTAACAGTCGTTATTTTCTATGTGATGAAGTAATTTTTTCATGTTTGTGAAGGTTTAATTTCAAAGATACAACAAAAGCTCTTCTTTGGAGATGAATAATTCATCTTTAGATATTAATGGTTTACTATCCCGTATATTTTAATTCCGTATTCAATATGTGGGCGTTTATAATATAGCATATTGTTTTAAGCGTATTTTTTGATAAGAATTTATTCAAATATATTAATAAGAAAATATTTAAGTAAATTTTATTACCTATTTCATCAATGTGTTTATCAAAAGTTAGATTTTCACAAACATACATTCCTCAAAATTTATAATATTCAGTATTTCATAGTTTGATTTTTTACATCAACATAAATGTAGTTGTTAGATTTTTTCATGTTTGGGGGCTTTAAGTGCATAAAGTTTACTTTTTCTGCATTTAAGATCAGGTTATTTATGTCTAAGTAGGTATTTATGTCTAAAATACATGTACAGGCTTAAGTGGGTTAGGGCATTAATTGATAGCTGCATTGCCTTTAACTGAGAGATTACCCTCTGACCCGTAGATCCTAAGGTTCAGTCCTGACCGTGGCTGAATCCAACTGAATTCAGCCACTGTTAGGAGCAAAATTCTAGTGACCAGCTGCTTTAATAGGTAGTTTTCCATGGTTTCTCCGATTAACACCAGATGAATACCAAAGCAGAGCCCTAACATAAGAGGACCTCAGATCATATGAGATCTTCCCTTCCTCTTCCTTATCCTATCCTCACCCCTTACACACACTTTCTCTTACACAACGATGTCTAACTACACTCATTTTTACAATGTAATGAAAAATGAATTTGTTTTAGTATGTTTTTTAATGGACTAGTATTTCAAATAAAGTTGTTTACGTACAGAGAATTAGTAATTGTAGTTTTGATAGTATGTTATGGATATTAATTTTAACATACCCTATGTTAATGAAAAATGTATTAATGGCATTACAAATTCCCTCTTAATTATTAAATTTTACACCTTTGTGACGTAGCTGAATTCCTAAGTCAGTTTTTCTGCTTCCTATTTTGATTTAAAATATTTCACATTCTTGAGTTATTGTTTGAATTATTTATATTTTTATATAGTTTCTTATTTTAAAGGCTGAAGTAAGGGCCTCTTCATAAAGTTTCTTTCAATCGATTGATTTGTTGTAGAATACCTGTTCATGAAAACCATGTTAATTAATCAACTCATGAATACAGCAAAATAAATAAACACTTATTGAAATTAATTGTTCTTCTGAAACCATAAATTTGGAATATTATTTTCTGGAGATTTATTTAAAAGTTTATGTAATACTTATATCCTCCTAAAAATTTAACCTTTTAATTTAACCTTTCTGTTTTCTCCCCTTAAAACACCATTAATTAAACTTAATTCAATTTCAGCCATGGACTGCAATGGAGGTCGCGTATATATGACTTGTAACCCTGAAAACCAACCCACTTGTGGCTCTGGAGAAGAAGCTGAGAAGACTTCTATTTCAAGAGTGAGAAATCCATCTGAATATTGTATTGAAGGTTGCTATTGTCCCCCAGGGACTGTTTTGCATGGACAACAGTGCATTACTCGAGAGCAGTGTCCATGTCAGTTACGAGGACGATTCTTTCCACCAGGACATACTGTACCTAAGGACTGTAACACTTGGTGAGCAAAAATATTTATTATATGGAACAGTGAATTTTTAAATTACATTTAAGTGATTTAATTTTAAATTATAATTTTGTATTTTGATATTGTTAATTTTTATTTTAAGTTGAAATATCTTTTGTTAATTATAAAATATGAAATACTGTTATTTATTTATTTTAAGATACAATATTTCTTCAAGATTTTCCTATTTTATTTTATTTTTTTAAATATTTTTTCTCCCAATTCGACGCAGTGGCCAAAACTGGGTATTCTTTAGGGCTGGATGATGGTATAATTCCCATTCCCCATATGGCCAAATTTCAATGTTGTAGAATTACACCAGCATTACTGTATATATACAGATGCCAAACTTTCACGTTTTTATTCTCTATTAATTTTACAGCACTTGTGATAAGGGTCGATGGACGTGCACTCAAACACAGTGCTCGAGCCGTTGCTCTGCCATAGGAGATCCCCATTATACAACTTTTGATGGTAGAAGATTTGACTTTATGGGGAAGTGTTCATATTATCTGGTGAAAGGTGAAAATTACAGCATAGAAGCTGAAAATGTGGAATGTTCTGGGGCTCTATCAAAGGTGATTTCTTTTCAATAATAATGTTTGAAATAAAAATAATTCTATTAAAAAATCACTTAATGGATTCTCATACGGTTTTCTTCGTATCTGTGTCTCATATCTTATTCTTTGTGTTTGTATCTTCTAATATCACAATGTGTTTTGAATATTTTTCACAGGATATTATTGCCGTAGGAAGTTATAAGCCTACAGGCTCTCCATCTTGCACAAAATCTATAACTATTAAAGTTGAAGATAAAAAAATACAACTGAAACAAAATCGAGAGGTTTTTGTGAATGGAGTTCAAGTTACCAGCTTTCCCTTTGAAGTCGCCGGCTCACAAATTCATCCTGTATCTTCTATCTACATAATTGGTATAAAATACTAAAAATGAAAATTTGATTTAAGTAATGAAACAAATCTTTGGATTAAAAAAATACAATATATTTGTGTTACAGTAAAACTGCCTAATAATTTGACTGTTTGGTGGGATGGTTTATCCAGCGTGTATGTTGATGCCCCTCCATCCTTACATGGCAAAACGCGGGTAAGTCAAAGGATAAGCCTTACATTTAATTGTTAACATTATAAGGGAATATTATTTAATCCTGCATAAGGTTTTACTGACTTATCTAGGTAAGTAAAGTTTGGCAGGCTTTTAATATTAAAATATGGGTGTACAAATGTTTTATTCTTTCACTTTTGCATAGCTCAATGTTCTAAGGATTTGTACTAGTACCTGTCTTTAAATCATTAAAAACCCCTCTTCTAAAAGAAATGAATATGTTCATCTGTAACTAACTTTTGCTCTGTCATTTTCTCTTGTAACTACAATGATATATGGATCTAATAAACCATTTAACTGTGTAATAATATCAGTTGAGTACTTTCCAAACTCTTTCAGGCAGAAAAATTTGGATCTGTTTGGAAAAAATTTAGTTTTCAACCTTTCTGGAAATGCGTTATTTTGAGATCATGATCACAAAAAAGTTGAGTTTTTTAAAAACTTCTTAAGACACCATTTAAAGAACTTATATGTGCAAGTGCAATAACATAAAAAATGCCTCAAATGTAAATAATAATGTGACAGATGTTTTAAAAAATACACCTGTGTAATTTTTGAAAAAAACAAAAGAAAATAAAAATGTTGTTTCTGTCGAGTTACTCAGTTCCGTTAGCACTATCTGAACAAAAAGTTTAAAGTCAATATAGCATGGAAAAAGACATTTAGACCCTTTTTGCATCAGCGGATCCAGAGACGAATTTTGTAAGGCGATATTCAAGACGTTTTTGTCAAATATGTCAGAGAACAGATTTAGTAAAATGTCGCAGGCTCCACTCTGCTCATTTATACTCTACGATTTTATTCACTTCAATGATAATCTGAAAATATTTTTGCTTGGAAGTCTTGTGACAAGTTAAAATTAATAGTTCCCGAATAATTTTTGAGGGGGGGAATTTCCCTCGTTTCCCTCCCTGCAGATCAATGACTGGTTTTTGAGAAATCTTGTTTTGAATGTTTTTAAATATTGCCCATATTTCACTCAAAATTGCACTAAAACTACTGACATTTTCAAATATGTGTATGTACATGACATTAACTAGAGATATAAATGTGGAGAACAAATTTCATTCAAAGAAAAAGTCAATATCTTCAATGTTATAAAGTTGTAAAAAGACTTCCAAAAAATATCAAACATTTGTAATTTTCGAGAAAGCAAGTTAAAAGTCAAAGTCGAAGGTACATCGACTTTTTAAGTGCATTTTACTCTATTTTTACAATGAATTTAAATGAAAAATTTGGAGTAAATTTTTGCTTTGGGGGATGATTGGTTGGTATTTTACCACCTTTTCTCCCCTGATTTTAAAATGCTAGACCGGTCGTCGTGGCGGACAGTCACATCGACCACGCAGATCCCTTCCCGACTTATTTAATTTATTATTAAATTTGAGTCTAACCCCTTCGGAAATGGAGAAAGTGGCTTCCGTGGACACCACGGTGTCCGATTTCCGGATCATCTTCCCCTCTATGAAATTTCTGATCTCGTCATGATGCTTTATAGATTTAGATTGATTTATTTAGTCAAAAAACATTAAAAACTTTATGTGATGTAGGGGGAAATGATAATATGCGCACGTTTTCTTGAGTTCTAGAATCCTTTCCCATCATTAGTAGTTGAATAATAAATAGTTGAAAGATGAGTAAAAGTTAATAATAAATAAAAAATAATAATTAATTTTTAAAATGCGCGATATTAGCGACATTTAAAAAAATTGACATTTTCGTTTCCGAGTTACTCGTAGTATAGAAAACTGATTTGCAACGGTAACCGAACTGCTGATTTTATTTTCTGCATTGCTAACAAAATAGTAACTCGCCCTTACCTCTACTCCTACCACTACAAGTAAAAGGAGAGTTCAACAAAACGTGCGCATAGTGAAGCTACATTAATGTCTAGAAGCGAAACAAGTGGTCTCGTCATTTGCTCAATGGATCAGGAACTCTGGACAAAACTAGATCGAGATGGGTGTCATTGAACCGGAAGCTGAAGTACATTATTTGTTACAAGCATATTAAGTTGTTTTTTAAATTATACAATACAAATGTAAACTAATTCATTATATTTCACTGTTTTATTAAAATAAACACTACTTTTCTTTGTGTTAATCAGTATAGTCTCTAATTGTATAGAAACATTTATATAGCAGAAAATATTTTACTTTTAACTTAAATTTGTGTACCGACTTCAATTGTTTAATGTCATCTGGCAATGTGTTGGAAAATAACGTATACGTATTGTATGTGGATTTCTGGTAGTGAGCTGACTTGATTAATGTGATTTCTACGACGTGTGTTATAATCATAAATATCAATATAGCATGGAAATATGCTACCACCGTTAAGTAAGTCAGTTTTGACACATATTACAGATTCGTAAATAAATAGGCAAGGCAATGGTAAGATTCCAATCTCAATCAAGAGAGGATTACTGGGATCACACGGATGCCATTTTTTCATTATTTGAATAATTTTCTTTTGCAATCGCCATTTCATTGCAAAGGTTTGAATACTACATGATAAGCTTCCCCGGATTATTATGCGATATCTCAGGCGGAAATCCAGATTTTCAAAATACAGACAAACTACATGAATGCTAACAGAATTTGAAAGAATTCTGAATGCGTAATATAAAGAACTTAATTTAGTGTTTCATTCGATTAAATGTACATTCTATTTGAGGTTTGACTGAATTGAGAAACCTAGAAATTTTGCTACCTTAACATCAGCTAATTGCATATTGTTCATTTTTATTGGAGCTTGCGATTGCTGATTTGAAATGCAAAAATGCATTCAAACTGTTTTTCCTTCGTTAGCTATTAATTTGTTATTACAAAACCAATTTGAAATCGTACTATTAATTGTTTCCTTTTGCAAATAACATTCATGTCATAGGCAAACAGAACCATTCTTCCGTTTTTAATAGACGAGGGCATATCGTTTACGTATAACAGAAAGAGGATAGGACTTAATATAGAACCTTGCGGGACCCCATATTAAATTGGTAAAGAATTAAAAAGATAAGTAAATAATGCCCTTTCGTTCCAGTACGGTATTTCTTCTCTTTGAGATCGATGTTTAAGGTACGAAGTTATCCGATCTAGGGCGATACCACGAATTACGTACAATAACGAATTAGTACGTACAATTTGAGGATAGGCGGAATAACAAATGTTTACATTTTTCAGTGATGATTGAAACTAACTGTTTTTGTATTTTTCTCGGGTTCCTCGGTATCTAATGAAATCATAGCCACTTCTCGTGTGGCCGAAGGCTGCATAAATTTCTTTCAATTTCAGGGCGCTTTAGAAACTAGTAATATCGGTTTTTCCTCTGCGAATATCAAATTAACGTTTCATCATCTGGGCTTGAACTTTATTCTCAGTTGAAGCATTGTACAATCCGTCTCGTTTCACCTCTAGCTGCTTCGAATCGCGCCTCCCCGGGAGAACAGGGCGGGCACACGCGGGCCAAGAGCGCTCCCTGCGAGCCAGGGGCGATTCCAGCCCATCATTGGGAGGGGGGGGATCATAGGTTTTCGTTATTAATGAACGTTGTGAGCTCTCATGTATCTGGTAAGTTCCTTCCTGTCATAATTTCTCAATTTTAATATTGTATTGTAAGTAATTTGCGTAGATGGCGTAGATAAAACCAATCGATAAAGATAATGTGACATTATGTAAGTATGAAGTAATGCCAACTTCCGAGTGGGCTTTAAAGGCGCATTCTGAAGCCTCGACGCTGCTTCCATCAAATTTGATATGGATGCTTTAGATGAGAAGCCATTTCAGATAAAGTAGTTCATTCCCAGGAATGTTACTGTATGAGCATTACTGACCAGAGGAATTCTCTCCCCCAACCTTTCCAGACAGGGATCCTCAATGAACCAAGATTGTTCAAAGGTTGTAATTTGAAATGATGAACATTTCGCGACGGACAATGTCATTCCGAGGGCTTCAAGATATTCCACCTCAATATTAACCAATTCTTGAGCTCCTGGGGCATCTTTTGCTAACACCAGATCGTCAGCAAATGCTAACACGGACACACTCCTTCCCAATAGGTCATGTTTTCCAGTTTCTCAAGCAGACTTTCCATGATGAGATTAAAAAGGAGTGGGGACAAGGGATCCCCCTGACTTACTCCTCTACGAATTGGCCCCTCAATTCCTTAGGAGGGTGCTGAATGACGGTGGTAACATGGGCGTAAGAGTCCATTAGTAAATTGGTTGAAGGCGTCAGGGAGCTGGACAGAGACCAACGAATCCCGTGCGTCTCCTGGCACGGCACGTTCGGCTCCCCGCTGGCACAGACTCCTCGTACCAGCTGGCCCTCCCCATTCATTCCCCCCCCACACACACACACACACACACACTACCGCACTCTCCGTCGTACTCGCTCGATTAACTCAACTCTCGCCGAACTCAACTGCACTCACTGTCTGGAACGGTACTGTCCACTTGGGGCTGGCAGGCCAGATGGCTTTAAAAGCTTGCCACACGCAACAGAAACAATGCCTTAAAATGAAACGATATCCGTGAGATAATTGTTTTGAATAAATTTAATACAATTACAAAACCAATCGGATAGAGTGGAGAATGACCCCCATGCCCTCTTACCAGGATATGCCGCTGTTCAGTAATCTGTTTTGCTTACTCTTGCCTACATTTTTTTACGAGCTGCCTATGTCAGTGCATCACTATACGAGTTTTTCTGACGAGAATTGCCGATTTCTGCTGCAGTATTACATTTTCTCTACGAGAAAGTAATAAGAGACTACAGTCAGTGGCGAATCCAGGGGGGGGGGTCATGAGGGCCGTGCCCCCCCCCCCAAGGCCTTACCTTTTCGTTTGGTACCTTCCTTTAATTGGCAAAATTGATTTAAATATGTGTGTTAGGATTATGTGATTAACAAAAATATTATATAGTATCATACACTGCAAAAGTAATATACAATATAATTACTAATGTTCATTATTTTACAAAAAATCTATGATGCGGTCCCCTTTCCTAAATGATCTGCTCGAACCGCCCGTGAAGACAGTATTCAGCAGTCTCTGGTATGTCCGGTTAAGGGTTAATTACCACTTTCAATGTTTTTTAAGATAGATAAAATTCTGAAGCAAAAACCCGTCCGTCATAGATTTGCTTAAATATTTTGAATGTTTGATATTTTTAAACATGGAACTTGAGTATTGTTATGTGATGTATGATAGTAATAAACAAGGCTTGAGTGGAAGAAATGAACATATATTGCTTTTTTAAGGGACTCTGTGGCACAATGAGCATGAATCAGAAGGATGATTTTCTGACACCTGAGGAAGATATTGAGCAATCTGTAATAGCTTTTGCCAACAAATGGAAAACAGATGAGAAGTGTGAAAATGAACCAGAAACTGAACATCCTCAACCATGTGACAAAAATCCTCACAAGAAGGAGAGTGCAAATAAATATTGCAATCGCATCCGTGAACCTCTTTTTGAACGTTAGTAGCACAATTGTATAAAATGATTATAATAATTATTATACTTATTAAGATTTTGATATTAAAAAACTTTTTCTACACTTTTGAGCACTATTTAACAATCTACAATATGAATAGAGTAGACACTTAATAATCCGTAATATTGTTAATACTTTGTGATTATTGTTTTATTGTTAATATCTCTTTAATTTATTTCTAATTTACTTTTATGAGTAATTTGTCATGAACGGCGTGATTATTTTGTGTCATTAGGCTGTCACTGGGTGGTGGATCCTGAGCCATTTATCCATAACTGCTTGTATGACATGTGTTCCTGTGAACAAAAAGTGAGCCAGTGCTTCTGCCCAATCATTGCAGCTTATGCAAAAGAATGTACTAGGAAGGGAGTTCATATTGACTGGAGAGGAAGTGTACGAGAATGCGGTGAGTAGACATCTTTCAAAAATTGAATTGTTCCTTCTAATAAATCCTATCCCAATGAATGAACAATTCAGCTTGTTTTGAAAATCCTATTCTTCCTCTTTTTATTAAGTGCAAAATATGAAAAATAATGTTGTATAAGTTTCTATTGATTATGGATTCTACCAGTGGCTGCCGCTGCCCCCAACAAACAGGGGGGCTGTAGCTGCATCGAATGACGGGAATGTAATTTCCAAAATTCAGAACACGAATATATACCGTTATAAAACGTAAGCTATTCATTTAAATTAATTAAAAATAAGTTAAATAAGTACATATTCAAAGTTTGTATTATTTCTGCATTGAGATAATTGTCGGAATTCACACAACACAAAAAACGGACTAGTATTCGAAAGTCGGTGATCGCACTCCAGAAACAGCAACAACAAAACAACTCTTAAACAATAACATATCTAACACACGTGTATTCACAACTCACACCGAAGCTCCCAAAATGACTGTCGGCGGGAAGAGAATTGCACACGCGGTGCATAAGAAGAGGGAGAGAGGGGATTTCTTCCACAACGGCCAACTTTCCACAAAACTAACTGCACTCTGCAAATGTACACCATCAACAAACCTAATATCGAATGAAAATAATTTCTTCAAACACACACAATGCATTCAACACCGTCAAGAACTGACTCAACTTGTGTACTGTACTTTCAAAAACACGTAAAATTCATAAAACCAAGTTGCAGCTAGTGTTAGACGAAGACAGAAAATTGATATTCCCCTCGGAAGACGCCGTGCAGCACTCGGCGACAAGACAAAGGGCCAACGCAACTAGAGCCCTATATTGAAACTTAGAGAAAATGAGTAAATGCAATAAACGCAGAAATAAAGCCAAGAGCGTAACATTGTGCAACACCTGGAAGGACACCAGAAGCCGGAGAGAACGCCCATTAGGTGCTCTTTGGTGTTTTCTTTTTTTTAATTAGTTGTGTCTATGCAGACGCAACGCTTCTCTTAACTCCTTAAGGGGCGTTGAGCGCATGGTGGAATAAAAATGATTGTGGTTTCAAAATGATTTCACTTACATCGATGTTGCAGCAGTGTCTTGAATACTGAATATCAGTAAAAAGAAAATGTATATTCCTAAAATATTGTTAGATATTTCTCGATTATCTGAAGGTTGTGCTACCTAAGTACGAGCCGTAACTGTATTTTGCATGTAATAATGGATGGTTCTATTAATCAGGTTCCACTTTATTACAGACAATCAGTTCATTTGAAATAAAATTAACAGTTCATAAACGTGGTTTATTTCATAGTTTATTTTATTTATTGTTAAGAAGTAATGGATGGAATTTTCGTTAATAAGCAACTCTACTTGTGCTTGAAGCAGCTGTTTAATGAAGGTGTTAAATTTTAGGAATACATTGCCCAAGAGGCCAAGAATATCAGATCTGTGGTAGCACGTGCACTCGCTCCTGCGGAACCATTTCTCAAAATCCTCACTGTGAAAAGCAGTGTGTTGAAGGCTGTAATTGTCCCGAAGGACAGACTCTCAAGGACGAGTCTGGAGAGTGCATACCTATATCCAAATGCCCATGTCAGTACAAAGGATTAGAATTTCAACCTGGTCAGAAGGAAGTCCGATCATCATCAAAAGGTCCTCAGCTATGGTAATTATGTTTATTTTTATTCGTTTTTAGCTGCATGCAATTGAAAATTGTTATAAATAATATACGATTGTCTATGATTTGAATTTTCTGATGTCACTTATTGTTCAGTAACTATTACATAATATAAAAGTCCTATTGCTTTTAAAATTTTTGTCTGACGTTCGTTTTTTTGTTTGAGTTAATTCCAGAAATGGCCAAACTAATTTGAATAGGGTTTCTTCTGAAAGGTAAAATATTTTGTCGAACATATTTTGGGTTACTTTTTTCTGGTCATTTCTTTCTATTGCATAAAGAAGAATGTTTTTTTTTCAATCATAGTGAAATTTTGTTAACATGAACTTCAAAATAAGAGAAAAGTTACAGTCGACAAGATTTAAAACTACCCCAACTATCTTTCTACTCTCTTAAAGTAAATTTAAGTAACTCTCACTTTTCCATGAATATATAAAAACATTAGAGAAATCCACCAAAGTGGAATCGACGTTTCTTAAAACCGTAACATTGCCTGCATTATATATTTTTACTAATTTCAAAAGTGTGATTAGGCTTGTGTAAATGAAGATCAAAATTGCTTCTGAAAGTTAACCGTGAGTTTGCAACAATGCAATTGTTTACAACTGCCCATAGCAGCATGGTAGTGGCGACGAAAATCGTAGCAAACACTGCAGGGAGAGGCTTGGAGGATCAAATGAAGCAGAACAAGGGGGGAGATAGAATGACACAGGTGCATGATGGGGTTGGGCGGCTGGAACGGTGCTGGGTGAGATCAGGGAGCTCCGGGAAAGGACACGGGAAGGGTAGCCAGCGCAAGGTAGGGCGGGGATACACTACACATAGAATTATTTCCTTTTCCTGAGTAATACACAACCATGATTAATACCTACATAGCCAATGTAGGGTGCTTTAACTAGTTATTAATACAGTTTGTATTTTTCTGATATTCTCTTTTACACAGTTTCAGTTTTTCCGTTTCAGTAGGTACTAAGTAAACACATTAGACGTGCGTAAACACGTTTGAACTCAGAAATCTCTCAAGTTCATTTGTGCTTTAACTTTATGGAATGTGTAGATTAGAGAAAGAGTTGTAATTCTGCAAAGCATTGATTTTTACTTTCTCACTACGGAGTAGAGAAAAAGGTATGTAATGCTGGGGGAAATCGGCAGAAAACCTCTTATACAGAACCCTGGTAATAAAATAGAGGATACATCCAGTTGCTAAAATTAGCAAAAGATTCTCTAACACGTGTAGCCATAATCCATGTTTCGTGGGTCCTTGATACAGAAAAATGGAATGACGGCAAAACGTCAGTCCGTCCGTCTGTGAATAAAGCTAGCGGCTAAACCATTCAGTCGATTTTCTCCAAAATTGATATTCCCTAATCTCTAGCCATCGCTGGACGATGCCACCTTGAATTTGAAACCGATATTTTAATTTAGAGGGGGGGGGGTACCTTACATGAAGCTCTTGGGACATTTTCCAAATTTTCAAGAAAACGGCTCCATTGATTTTGATTAAATTTTGTCTTTGGATAGTGTAAAGGATGTTTAAGAGAATGCTACATGTTTCATGTTCGTTAAAAACTCTGATTTTTCGGAAAATTAAAAAAATCCGAAGTCTTCCTACAACTAAAATATTAAAGACATATTATTTTCCCGTAATGAAATCCATTTCTTATTGATATATTTTAAAATAATGTCATGTACAATTTTTCGAAAATCTGAGATTTTAGTGTAATTTTACGTGAAAATACAGGCGATAAAGTACGTGCAGTTTTAGCACCACTAGTTATTTTTGTCGTCCGTCCATATTTGGTCAACACTAGCACACACACGGAGTTTTATCGAATATATATATATATATAGTTATATATATATATATATATATATATATATATCCATATTTCTCAATTTATCTGGCCGCTTTTGAAGCCATGCGAATTTGAAATGGATCTTTTAATTTCTGGGAGTATTTCACTTGAACTTCGAAGGACATTCCATTTTTTAAAATTATGCCAACTTACTTTCTATCTCGGCTACTACGTACTTACACAGTAAAGATAAAATATAATGTCGCAGCAAAAAGTGGCGATTATTTGATAGAAAATCTCAAATCCATATCCCTGAAACCGAAAATGTGTGTAATTCTCGTTTCTACGTGTAGTTAACAAGTTCACCTGATAAGTTCTGTAGTCAGAATTAATATTTGTGGATCCTGGATTCTGAAAAATTGGTTTTTGGTCAAACGACATCACTCATACATAAATCTTAAGAGAATTTTGTCTCCAAAATTGATATTTCGCGGTTGACACGATTTTGAGAACAAACGTCAATGCGATCACATGGCGTAGTCACAAGATTGGGGTCATTCAAGCATCCTTTTTGTGTAGAACTCTTGGTTAACAAAGATATCATATTCACTCTCCTCAATTTGCATGCCCGAAAAATTCTTCAAGGATCCCGTCGTATTCTTAAACTTCTCTACTGCAGTTGGACAATAAAAGAGTCGATTTCATCTTGATCCATTCCTGCCACCATCCTGTCGTCCAGGTACATAGCAACAATTAATTTCTTATTCATATACGTTTAAATACAGATCAGACTGGCGTAAATATCATATTTTTATCATTTATGAAATTGACGAACCGATGATTCCAGAAAAGAGGGGATTGTCTAAGACCATAAAGGCTTTTCTTGAGCTTACAAATTAGTTCGATTTTATTATCAGTTATATACAACTTACACTTCCTCGTGAAGTGAACCCTGCAAGAATGCTGTCTTCACGACAAATTGACGTAATTTCAGCTTCCCCACAGCAGCGGCAGCAAACACGGCACGGACAAAGTCAAAGCGTGTTAACCGCCAGAAGGTGTAATCGATGCTCGGCTTCTGAGCGAACACTTTCGCAACAAGTCAAGCGCGAAAGCGTCGTCGGTGATTAACTTCATACGGAGAACCCAACGCTTTGGAATCTTTTGGTTGAGTCACCAATTCCCATGTACAATTTTTAGCCAAGGGTATCAATTTCCTCCACCGCTGCAAACTATTTAGCACTGTACTCCTAATTCAATGCATTTTCATAGGATGAAGGATTTACGACGTTGGTAACAGCAGAAAATGTTGAAGATGACCCAAACTCTTCCGCTTTCATCCAAGCTGGCTGTTTCGCTGAACATCGTGGTCTTTCTCGTTGCATAACTTCCTTTAGCGATTCCTCTGGTGGATGCTTCGGCAGTTCTGGAGATTCCATCTCAACAGGGCTGGACTGGAACTCCTCAATCTCTTCCCTTGAACTGCTTTTATAATTATCACTGTTGATATTTTATTATATTACTTTAGTTAATACAAACTCGTTCAGAATTGAAATACACATGTGAGGTATCGACTTTTTAAGAGACTAGGCGTATACTTGGTAGCCATCTCCATGGTTCCAGTAATCAACCATTTTCCCAGGTACACTTTTGTGGACAAATTTTCAGCGAAACTGTTTAGGAATTTGAACATAGCAATCGGCTCAGTAAATCAAATATCCTAAGTTTTTTCTGAAGACTATTTTCCAAGAGATTACTGATGAATTAGTTGAATTCGTTTTACTTTATTATTTTATGTGATTACATAATCATTACATATAAGACATGTTCAATGTCCATACTGATGTAGCACATTTCTTAAATTAATTAATAAATTAGCACAATTAGAATTTAAAAATCTTTGTTTCTTTCAGTACCTGTACCAATGCCAATTGGATCTGTCGACCTGCTTCATCTGAAGAAATCAAATTATACCCTGATATTGGCACAATGAAGTATAACTGCAGTGCCCGAAATAATGAAGAATATACATCATGCTTACCTTCAACACCTTTGACTTGCAAAACTATGCATAATAAACAGTTATCGTCCTCTGCTTTATGCAAAGGGGGTTGTACTTGTAAAAAGGGATATGTATTGGACACGGATTCCAAAAAATGTATTCGTCCAACTGAATGTCCTTGTCATCATGGTGGAAAAAGTTATGGTGAAGGAAATTCAATTCAAGAAGACTGCAACACATGGTAAATTTTTAACACTTTGATATTTAGTGTCATTCTCAATTCCTCAAATAGTGAATTTCTGCGAAATACAACATACAACATGATATTATTTATATTGCCTTCTTAGAGAAATTAAAGTTGTGTTGTAATTAGCCAGAAAACAACTGACTCTGCATTAACTGGTTACTTTACGTGTTGATAATCTGGATAAAATTTTTTATAGAAACCCTTTTCGTGCAAAGTTAATAACTTATTTACATTTCCACATATTTAAAATTAACATTAAAATTTGAATCTGAATAACAACATTCACATTCTTACATTTTATTTGTTATTTCATACTCAATAGTGGCAACTAAGGACATTTCTTTTGTTTAATTGAAGTATAAGTTTGTGAACAATTAAATATTGAAGATATTTAAATGTGAAATATTGTTCTCAATTCAAGTAATTCATTTTCTAGAGTTTTATAACTTCCTTTTATCCACTTTAATTAATTAAAATCAAACTTTATGAAATAATGATCTTCTATTAACAAGTCCTCTTCTCACCATTTCAACATTTAATCAAGGAATATGCTCATACTGTTAAATCATATATAGCTTACCATAATTGTTATCATATACTGTTAGTATTACTATTAGTAGTGTCATTACTATTATTATTATTATATTTATTATTATTATTATTATTATTATTATTATTATTATTATTATTATTATTACTATTATTATTAATTATAAGTAGTAGCAGTAACATCACTATACCAAGTAATGTTATTTTGAAAAATGAAACATTACAAATCTTGAAATGTTAAAGTATTTTAAATTAAATTAAAGTAAGTTAAATGTTAGACTATTTTGCTACTAAAAATAATTATCTACTATGTAATATCTTGATATATCTATAACAAGTATTGTAGTATAATCTCTAGGCCAATGATCCCATCTTGATCAGGTTTATTGACCAGTTTCCCTGGTCCTTTGAGCAAATGCTGAGATGGCTCCTTGTTTTGCTTCTGGACAATAAATATAACTTCACTCGCTTCACTCAAGAAGATGTATGTGATTGTACTCCCTCTATATATATAATATTTGACTCATCATACACGATTGTCATTGTATATGTGACTCAATAAATATCATCTATTATATATTATCCTGAAATAATATTATCTATTTTCTATCTATTAGTATCAAATTCAAACTATATCCATTCACTGGATGACTAGTCCAACTGAAAGGAAAATTATAGTACATTGGAATTTGAACCATATGGATAAAATGGTGTTTGGGGTCTTTATGACCACCTTTGATAATTCTCCAATCTTGAATTGTAATAAAAATGTTTTATGACATGTATATTGTAAATAACTAGGGGACAGATTTTGATGACCTAAAACATCACCAAAAATGATCAATAAAATGCTCTTAAAATGTTTTTAAAATGCTTAAAAGCAAAGAAAAATTATGTAAAACTGATCAAAACCAGTTCAGATGATAACTCAAACTGTTGGATATGTTACTAATGTAATCAAGGTTTCTTTCTTTCGTTCAAGTGGACGAGGAGTTTGCAAGTTTGCAAGCAACAAACTGGATCCAGAAACCTTTTTCTTTAGTTATCATGAAGTCCACCAAACTGACTGTCATGCTGAAGGCATCACAGGAATCTTAGATTAAATGCTCATAACTGTTGACATTACAATTTCTGAGCAAACAAATTGAATAGGCTACTCAGGAATTCTGTAAAGAATATTTGTTGCACCTCATAAATATTACTTGAAGAAAGTACCATTAAAATTGATGAAATCTATGGAAAATGCTTAAAAAATGACTTACTAGTAAAAAATCGAAGAAAAATGCAAAAAAATAGGTCATTTCCTTTTGAGATAACATAAAATTAATTTCTATACTAAAAGGAATCGTTCTAAAGAGAAAAGGAAAAAAATAACATTGCATTAAAATCCACTCCCTAGAAATAACTATTCAGATTCTTGAGGATTTAACTAAATTTTACTCAATTATTCAGTTAAAAACCCTGTTTTTCATTCTTTCTCATAGTATCTGCAAATCTGGCAAATGGAAGTGCACTGAGAGAGTGTGTGCTGGAGTGTGCTCTGCATGGGGTGATTCACATTACAAAACATTTGATGACAGAATTTTTGATTTTCATGGAACTTGTGACTACCTTTTAGCTAAAGGAGCTATTAGTAATGATGAATCCTTTGATATTTCCATACAGGTTGGTATTCAGAGATTTTTTTGCCATTGAAATCAATTTAGAATTATTGTACATTGTTTTTTGTTGTTTTTAGATTTAAATAAAATATTGTTATACATTTTTAAAGATGCTTATATGTTGCATTTTTCCAGAATGTGGAATGTGGATCTTTGGGAGTCAGTTGCTCAAAATCAGTAACTATCAAAGTAGGAATAGGAAGTCGCCAAGAATCAATTGTATTTACTAGAGATAAACCTCTTCCTGCTATTACAGGACTGACGAGGTAACTGTCTTCAGCTTACTTAATTGTGTTGTTTTTTTGCATAAGAGCTCAGTTTTGTGTATGTGAGAATTAAACGTATAGTATATTTATTTGTTTTCATTTTTGTCACTAGTACTGTATTTAATTTTTAGAATTCAGGTACGAATTGCTGGACTCTTTGTTTTTGCTGAAGTGGCAGATCTTGGTGTAGTGGTGCAATGGGATCAAGGCACACGTGTTTATGTGAAAGTGGAGCCAAGGTGGAAGAGTAAGGTAAGGTTCAATATTTGAATGATTAAATTAAGCAATTGAATTGTCCTTCCTTTTCAGCATATTTTACAGTAAGTTTTACTTTATATGCTGTAAGAGTCTATCTCCTCTTTCAATGTTTTTCATTGCTCTATTATTGAAAATATTAAAAATCAGAAGGGTATTCTCAAGCATCACAAAGTTACTCTCCTGTTTTAAAAGTGATAAACTCTTACTTAAGTAAGCATTAATAAAAATCTTTATGAATATTGTTAGTGAAAAAAGGATTAAAATTTATTATTAAGATAACCCTTTTTTAAAATCTATAATTATAATTTGAAGTAGTAAATACTCTTTAAGGTTTAAATGTTCATGATTCATTCAGAATGGCAAATAAAAACATGGGCAAGGATGAAGTAGACGTTCAAACAATGGAAGGGGAGGGATCTTGATCTTGTTGATCATGACCATGTCAGTGTACAAATGCGAGATGATTTCTGTTCATCTTCAGAATTCAGCTTGATAACAAAACACCTTGCAATCAAATTCACAATATTATGATATATATTATGAGTCATTTCAGATCAAATTGAACAAATTGAAGGAAAGCTTGACCTTGAAGTCCCAGGTTTAAAAACATTTTTTTCTGTAAAGAGTATAATCAAAAGTATAAAACACAGGTTTTTCCATTTTGCCACAAACATTTTTTCAAGACAATATTAACTTTTAAAATTTTCAAAAAATGGTTGGATTGCTTAAGCTAAGCATTTGTAACTAATTTTTTAATTGAGACAGAAATTAAATGTTTTGTAATATTAAAGATTTTTTTCTCCCTTAACCCGACAATTTAATGATTTGAAAAAAATACCATTGTGTTCTCTAAGGTATTCTACATAAGTCTAGTAGATTTCAAAGAGAAACTGAGAGAGAGTACTGAGAAATTAAATTAATAGATGATCTTACTTGTTTTGCTGCAGCAATTGCGAGAGAGTGAGCATAAGCCAATCAGCTATAGACAATTACCATCATTATACTTTCACAGAGCAATAAATAGAAATATTCCTTCACACCTTAAAATGTGCCAGATGTATACTTATGATATTCATTGCCAATTAAATTCAAATTATGGATTATCAAATGGCTTCAATTTAGTATTAAACGGATGAAATAGAATTAATGTATGTGATACAATTAAGTAGATTTTTTACCATTTCTTCTAGCAAAGCATAACACTTTACTATCCTAACCTAAAATTAATACTGTGCCGTGACCTATTTAGTCCCTTACACCACACTAACATCTCAACAGCCTTTGCCGCATTAGTTAACTGATAAGAGTTATGCTGGGTATTGCACAAAAGAAAAACTGTTTCCAACATTGAATTTTATTCCATGTACTAAAGTGAAGTTAATTAATCTGTTTAGATTAAGGGTCTCTGTGGAAACTACAATGACGACATGATGGATGACTTCCAAACTCCTTCAGGTGGCTTAGCAGAAGTGTCTGCCACTCTTTTCGGTGATTCTTGGCGACTTCAACCATATTGTCCTGATTCAGTTGAAATTGCAGTGAGTAAAAATTAACAAAATATTTCAAAGACTTATATCTAATATACTTTTTAAATAAAGAGCAAATAATTTGTGATTAGAGGGTGTTGTCTTTAATCTCTTCTTTTTAGTACAACTTAACGTTAAGATTTATCTGATATTGATTCCATATGTATGTATGTACTTTGGCATAAGAAATCTTTATGAGCTAAGACCTGCTAGCGGCATCCTTGCCTTGCGACCATGGGTTAAGGGATACATGTGGTTAGCACATAACCACGTTAGTTCCATTTATCTTTATTAAATATAACTTCTGATCAAAATGAATGTGAAAGGCTACATTAACTCTGGTCAGTACTTTTCTTGCAAATTCAAATACTCCTTATATAAATCATAGTTTATAAATAATCAATATGAAAGCAGTAAACCAACCTCTTAATAGCAAAGCAAATGTACAAAAAGGGAAATTAAAATTAATTAAAATTTTATTATTTTGTGATTTTAATGATTGTGAACTACACAATTTCAACTTGAGTGATCAAAAGATAATGAAACAAACTTATGTCAGTAATTACTCACTGACATCCTATTAAGATTATCTTCCATTTATTATCTTATTGCTGATTGATAACTTAATACTCTTTATGATTTTTTTTAAAACATTTAAAATAAATAATATCAAAGGACTGATAAGAAATATTCTTTATAATAACCAAATGCAATATTAATAAGAAGCCAATAATGATTTTCTCTGATACCTTCAAAAAATTATTTTGCTAATTTTGAACAGTTTATCTGTTCACATGCATGATAATATCAAAATGAATGATTTGCATTTTAATGTTAAAATGTAACGGACATAATGTTTAAAATCAGTATTCTCTACCTATTTTCTTCTTCTTCACACTCTATTTCTAAGATCAAACAACTTGTTTATTACATCATAGTAAATGTTTTCAAAAATGTTTTGAGCTTATTTTTTTATACGATGAAATTATGTTTTTGTTTTTATAAGGATACATGTATTGAGCATCCAAATCGTAAATTATGGGCAATGCAGAAGTGTGGTGTGTTGAAATCAGCAGTGTTTCAACCTTGCCATTCTGAAGTGCCTGTAGAACCTTACCTTGAAAGGTAGGTAAAGATTATAATTGAGGGAAAGCAAGAATGTAGAATAAAGTTTTGCCCTCAATGTTCTATGTAAATATTTTTTGTATTCTGGGATAATAAGCTATATTTATTTTCAATGAGGAATGATACTGTTCAGCACAGTCTTTATTTAATTAATTACATATAAAATTGAGTTAGTTGTAATTATAGTCAAATGTTTCTATGGAATGTAGCCTTACTTCTCCCTCACCTTGCGATTCTTAATTGTTTGAGAGTCAATAAATAATGGGAAAATTTGTTCCTAAAATGTTTGAAAACTCATGCATGTTGAAAGTAGTTTTAGGTCACAAAATATTGCAACCTACCTAATCTGAATTATTTTTGTAAACAGGTGTATTTTTGACTCTTGTGCTTGTGACATGGGTGGCGATTGTGAATGTCTATGCACTGCATTAGCAGCATATTCTCATGAGTGCAGTGCTCATGGGGTACACATCCGATGGCGCTCTCAGAACCTTTGTCGTATGTTTTCAATATTATCCTTGTCACTACTTTAAATCGATCCAAAAGTACCTTATTGAAATCATTAACAATATTAATTGATGTTTCAGCAATGCAGTGTGATGAAAAGTGCAGTAGCTATAGTCCTTGCATTGAAACATGTCCAAAAACAACATGTGAGAATCAGTTTATTGTAAAAGGTCTTTCACAACTATGCAAAGAAGATACTTGTGTGGAAGGTTAGTAATATAGTAAATCAAAAAAATTGTGTCCATTTGAATTAATTATTTGATCTTTTATGCAAAAATTTTAAATCATGTGACATACAAGAGTTACAAATTTATGTGCGTTTCTTTCAGTTGACAGCATTTAAGTATTTAAAACACATAATTATGTTTAAATATAAGAAAATCTTATTTTGTGGTCTCATACACATATTTTACTTACAATTAAAAACATTTTAAATATTTCTTTTATGTGTTATCTAGGTTGTGAACTAAAACCTTGCCCACCAGGCCAAGTTTATTACAATAAAACAGCCCTTGAATGTGTACCTATAGCATCATGTAAAACAGTATGTATCGAAGAAAATGGCATAATTTATTACGAAGGGGATCTCATGGAGCAAGATGAATGCCATTCATGGTAAGAATTAACTTTTGACAAATAAAAATGTTTTAAAAATTAATCATATAATTTGAGAATAGGTAATATACATAAAAATCAAAGTAGTTTATTAATTGTGGATTCCATAATAAATATATCCTGCAATTTGAACTATTAATTACCATTATTATTGGGGGAGAGTCCTATGAATTCCATTTTTTGAAAGGAATATTGCTTTTGTTAATTAGTTTATACTTTTTTATGTCCTTCTCTAGCATATTTCAGAAATGTATCTCGTAGTATTTATAAACTGAAAATCTAATCAATTATTTTTTCTTTCTTAAGTTCGAAATTCCATTTCCCTTAAACATTTCAACTATTTTCAAGTCACTTTATTATTTTCTTCTTTTTTAAAATGTTTCTCAAGACATGCTGAGTTTTAATAAAGTCAATAGTTTTTACTAACTGGTGTTATTTGATTCAATTTTTTTAGTTATTGTTCACGCCACAAGAAATCCTGTAAAGGTACTCCTTGCACGACACCTCTTCCACAAATAACAACGAAGACACCCTTAAACCCTCCCATAGAATGTGAAAATGGATGGACACATTGGATTAATAATGTCAAAAGAGATTCAAAGAAAAATCAAACAGTTGTGACAGAACCTCTTCCAACTCAAAGTGATCTGGTGAGTTTCTAAGACTATTTCTTCTTAACCAATTAACATTAAAGTAATTCTTTTTAAGGAACAATTGTGTGCTTTTATATGAATTACCAACTTTCATATTTACAGGAATAATTTAATATTCTTTAATTTAAATAACATAAAAATTTTATTAAAAAAAGTTTAACCTGTTTCTTTAATTAAATTCTTACAAATTCTGTTAATAGTAGAACGTTATACATAACATTACAATAGTATCTATTATCATAATGTAGAAAATATTACTTTTTGTTCACAATAACTGGCGTTAATGTGGTAATTTTGAACAGTGCTCCTTAGGCATCATTGCAGAAGGAATTAACATCAATGTAATTCAAAGCTATTTATTACCAATTAAGTGTTACTATATGAAATCTAGCAGTGTAATTAGGTACTTTATTGATGTAGAAGCCTCCATGAATTGTCAGCAAACTGAAAAACATTGTGAAATAGGCAAATGTACAGTAGATATAGAGCACACATTAATTTTCCAGGCTTCGTAAATTAACTTGTCAGCACCTGTAGATTCTATGAGCAGTGATCTGAAGGTGTTAATATTTTCAAATATTAGAATTCGAAAGATTAAAAATTCTCAGTTCTTCAATTTGTGCTAGAATAGCATTATGCATAGCTACTATTAATTGCAATTGACGAAATTTAAAAGGGTTTTCAGATAAACAGAAAAGAGAGAAATGGAAATTAGTTGCTTGTGACTATAATTGATTTATAGCTGCATCTGGAGAAAAATTATTAACGTTTGAAAATTTTGTCCTGTATCAATTTTGAAGAAAAAAAATTAAAAATTAATAGGGGTAAATTTATTATTTTTATTCTTCAAAATTGATACAGGACAAAATTTCCTGTAAATTTTTTTGTATACCTGTATTATAAACAAACATATTTCTGTTGCAAGATTTCATTCATAAATTGGTATTTTAAGGTGCACACATGGGATTTTATGGCACAGCTGGTCCTCCCAGCCTACCTTCACTGTCCAACTTGCCAACATCATCACCTGTCCTCAGTGCATATCCTCAACACCCATCTTCGTCACTCGTCAACATCACCTGTACTCAACACCCTTCCAAAACCCCATTGCCCATCTTTATCCACATGCCTCACTGCCCATCCTCTCCACCTGTCCTTTCTGCATGCCTCACTCTCCATTCATCCTCCTAATGTGACTTCGTAATACCAATTATGTAACCAAGTGCAACATTAATTTTGAAATTTGTTTCCAAAATTAATTTTTGTTCTTTTAAAAATTTATTATTCTGTTATACAAAAAAAAATTGCATATGGAACTCATTTATAATGCTGCTTTATTGCATTCATACAAATTCAAAAAGTCGCTCCTAACGTTGCTCATTTTCAAAACATGTACTTATGCCAAAATATATAATATTAAAAACTGGTTGCGTAATATACAATTATGATTTTCTCTTCATTTTTACCTGAATTGTAGTAAATAAACTTTTTTGGTTTCGTTTTCAGAGTAGCATGACAAATGGATCTGCTCACTGCAGACTCAACCAAGTTGAATTAATTGAATGTCGAGTTGTCAGCAGTCTTAAAAGTCATAAAGAAACCGGTCTGAATGTTTCATGTAATATCGATGAAGGTTTGGTTTGTTATGGAAGTGAATGTCCTGATTTTGAGATACGTTTGTTCTGTAATTGTGGTATGTTTCATAATTTTATAATGTAGTAAAGTACATTATCTGTGACTTGCCAAATCAACTTTTTTTTTTTAAATTTCCAGGTCCAATTACAACACCTACATATCCAGCTGAAGTGACTACATCAAAGATAGTGTGTGATCCAAAGAGGCCTAACAAACCACATGAAGAGAATTGTCACTTATTTTATCAGTGTGTTAATACACTAGAAGGTTCTAAATATGAAGAAAGAAGTTGTGGACCAGACATGATGTACAACAAGGACAGACAAGTGTGTGATCACCCCTCTTCTGTGATAGCGAATTGGCCTGAGTGTGCAAGTAAGTAATTCTATTTAGAACTAAAATTAATCACTGACCGAGAACGTTTATGGCAAAAGAATCCATACCAGATTGTAATGAAACTTTCAGGAATATTTATAGTAAAATACAGGCAGGGTGGTGTCAACAGACTTTTTGTTGAAATTTTTGGCAGAAAATATTATGTTTGAGTGAATTGTCCATTATGTGGTCAGTGGCCAATTAACAAACCAATGGCCAGAGGAAATCCAAAGGAGGGGAGTGGGCATGCCCCCTCTCCTACAAGTCAACTTTTACAAATTCTATCTATTTATTCAATTTCCACACATTAATTGTGTCACATACAAAGAAGAGTTCCCGTTATAAATATTCATTTTTTTTATTTTTTCAGACTAAGTAGTTTTTAAATTAGTTCAAAAATATTTAGGAGGAGTCCAACAAACTACAATTGGCCCCTCATCCTCCAAAATTCTTTCTATTTATGCTCCTACAAATAAAAACTGTCTTGGCATTACAAACTTCAGCATGCAGATTTTCTGATTGCACAGTTAAATGGAATTGAAATCACATTTTTAGTGATTCCTAGCTGAAACACTCAGCATTGTCTGAGGATATATTAATCCCATTCATCTACTAGACAGGAAATTAATTCCATCTATTCTGTATCCCTACCTTGTTCCACTCTGCTCCACTAGAGCATGCCATGCTCCACCTCAGCCTTTTGCCTGTCTCCCACATCCCGTTCGGGTGGAAACCTGAACCAAACCCTGCCATCTTCCTTCTGCCACATTTACTACAAACATCGCTGCCACCTCCATCGTTGCTGAACATACGATGCACTGTTGCATACTCTGGCAAACTTCCAGTAACAAACTTCAATTTCCTTCCTTCAGGGGATGAATTTTGAAAACCCTATGCTACTGAATAGATGCATCCTAATTGGAGCCCATATTTTAAATTTCACGTTTCTGGCTTTAGTATTTTTGGTTTTGCATTTACTCTCAATCTATTTGTGTTCTCTCCTATAATAGACTTTCAATTTGATACAGATATTTAATTTTACTTAAATTTAGAGTTAAGCGTCCCTATAACGGAAATTCCTGAATTTTTTTGTTTCCGGAAAATATATGAGAAAGTAGTGATTCCCTCCCTCACTATCTCTAAAGGTTGTGCAGTTGATTAAGTAAAATCAAAACAATAATTCTCATTTTTTCAAAAAATCAAGATGATAACATTTTCGAAATGGGAGGCTTGCCGTGGTCGGTATGGCATATCACGTTACTTCGTGAAGACCTTCAATTCCTATGCCGCCATAGCACTCGTAAAGGGGCAGATGCAAACTGCATTGCAGATGAGCTTGGCGGGTTGCATATTCTCGAGGCGTTGGCTCTTAAGTTCTACCTGTATGCCAGACTAATTTTTCGAGGACTATTCCTTCATTAAAATGAACCTATACATTTTAATAAATGAGCTGATCGAGTGTTTAGTTCCTTAATGTTTTCCGCTTTAGTTTTATCGCAAGGCAGACTCTACTAGACATGTTTGTGTTAAAATATTTTCAGTTGGCAAGGACATCTGAACTTTGAACATTTTCTGTTCGTGCGGCACTTTCAACAGATGCAGATGACCACGTTTTATCTTTTAACTACTTCTTCAACATTCACAATGTTTCTTCGATTGCAATACGTTTATCCACGTCGACGGTTACAAATAATATTTCAACGTGATTACGAGAAGCGGGCAGATCTAGCTGTCAAGATACCGCTCAAGTTTGCATGAAACGATTACGCATGGCAGCGATTTTGAATTTGTTTGTAAACAATCGATATACGTGACGATGATAGAAACATTCACATTCCTATCGGCCTGGGAATGCCCAGGTCTCTTCCAACGTTCACATTGAATTACGCGGGACTTGATTCTTTTCTGAATTCCTACAATGCTTAAACTGCTTTACTTCGTTAAACTCCTATAATCACTTATGGAAGTAATACTTATTTATGCACCAAGGTCGTCATCAGAGTTCTAATTATCGAGCGGCGTCAAAAAGCCCCAGGGCCTTAGGTTCCAGAACCTTTTTGTCGCCGTTCGATCATTAGAACCAGTTAACGCCCGTGGCACTGACATGATTTAATTTTTATCTAATTTTGTTTATTCATATTTGTGTATTTACTAATTAACTAGTTGTTAACTTGACTCGGTTTGTCATTTCACATTTTCCTCCCATAAATACCTCTCATAATCTCTCCGTATTATAAGAAAACACGTAATATTCAACAGTTTTCATATTTCACGATCCTCTCGATCCATAAATACTGAAATATTCGTACATGCAGAAAGTAAATTGAAAACTCTGTTGTGAAGATAACCAACATAAAAAATGTGTCAAAATGAAGTAGATATTTGGAAAATAATTATTCTGATGAGACAAGTTATTGAGCTAGCGTGTCCTGACGGATGCAAAACCCATTTCCCGAAAGTTCACATTTTTAATACTAACTTTTCTCAACTGACGTTTATAGTAGAAAACTGAAATTTTCAGTTGTTAATAAATGTCTCCTGCATTTAATAAAACTTTTTTTTTATTACCTGGTATTATCCATACTACGCAACTTTATTTACTAGACAACGTGGTAAAAATTGCATTATGAAAAAATATTTTTGTATTTAAAAAATAGTCAACAGTTTTCAAAATCATTGTTTTAGTGTGATTATGAGTGACATATCTGCAACCTGTAAAAATTCAATAAGCCTATCCTCAATAAATTCTGGAATTAGACTCAAACATTGCCAGGACATGGCATTCCATATCCCTTTAATGTTAAAATTCGATGGCATAATATCGAATTACTTAACAAAAAATGATTGGATTCTTGAAACATGATTGTTCTATTATTTTAATAACCGCAGTGATTTTTGTTTGCACATTGAGTATGTAATATAGTATATATCAGTTTAGTGTTACATTGAACCTAATCATATGTTACCATTTGTCAGCTTTTTAATTTACTTATTTATTTAACGTCCGGAAATAGTTAAAACTGTATGTGAGGTACAAGGGGGAGAAGTGCAGATTTGTCTGTGCTCTTGAATCTTAATTCTAGCTCTTATGCTACGTTAATTTGAATTATGAATTCAGGAACAGAGAGGGTTTTGTCAAAGTTTAATAATTAAGACTGTATTTGTGCCCAGTGTTACCTTGTTGCTGTAACAACAGTTTTTTATAAGTTACTCGTCATATCATGAATATTATTGAGCGGAAAACGTTTTTATCGTTTGTAAATGTCCATTAAATACATGACGCGTATGGGGTCGCAAGCTCAAAAGCATTGATCTTCTTAGAAGCTTGGTGATAAAAGAAACAACGTAAAACCAGGACACCCCTTTAAAGTGACTAAAACTTCAATTAATTACATATTAAGTCTACTCTTGGATGAATTAATATTAATATTAGAAATGTATTTTTGAAGGATCTACCGAGGAGCCTCCGATATCAACAACTTTACGACCGGAGTCTCCAGGGACAACGCCGGCCACTGCTCGACCACGAGGTAAAACAGGCTTGCTTTTGAAAATTAGGGGCATTTTATTAATTTCCAGTACAAATTACTTTATTTTATTTCAACTGATTTTCAAAATATATACTAATTAATATATATTTATTTATATATATTTATTTATATATATTTATTTATATATATTTATTTATATATATTTATTGATATATATTTATTGATATATATTTATATATTTCGGCAGAAAAAAATCATTGACGAGCCCTGATAAAAAAAAGTGAATAAATCCAGTAGCTAAATTACGAAAAAAAAAACTCTAACACGTGGTGTAGCCAGAAGCCCTGTTTTCTGAGTTCCTGATATCGGAAAAATTAATTGACAACAAAACGTCCGTTTGTTCGCTTGTAAACACCACTAGCGCCTAGCCCATGCGTAGGGTGTTTTCCAAATTGAAGAAACCCCCGTTCCTCTGGCTCGATTCGAAGCATTGATATTTTTAAAATCATGGGGGTACTTTACACGAGCCCTTCGGCGACTTCCGCGTTCACACCATTAATATGCACACTTCCAGCAATTTGTATACATTATAGTATTTGTGTGTGAAAGTATTTCAAATGACTTCAAATAAAGTTTTTCGAACACAAAAATGTTCTGTGAAAAAGAGCTTGAAATTTTGAATTTACAGTAGCGCTTAAACGGCTTGAAATTTTTCAATGAAAATTGCCATTTAGGACTGGGGCTTACGGTTTTTTAAATATTTTTAAAATAATATTTCGATTCTACTATTATAAAACCGAAAAAATAAGAAAATTGCAAAAATATGTACTTTGGGCGTCGATAGATGGCAACTGGCAAGAGTATGTAGCAAGACAGAATAGCTAGCCCAGACCAATGGAAATAGAAAACGAATATGGGAAAGTTTGTGCCATTCTGAAGCAAAACTAGTTTTTTTTGAAGAGAGCAATGTATATTAATGAAAATGACGCAGGTTTAATTTTCACTGAAACGTCTGAATTTTCGAAAATTTCCAAAGTTTAAAATATATTCAACACCTCTACAACTGCAATTTTCGGGTTTATTGTATTAATAATTTTTGTTCTTTAGAATTAGATCTTTAAATATTATCTTGTGTAAGTGAACTTTCGAAACTTACATATTCGATTCTTCCCACTTTTTTCGCTTTCTGCAGAAGAATGATTTTTACGAGATAGTTGAAGAAGAAGAATTGGTCGGTTAGAATTTGCAATATTATAATATCACTGTAACATATCCGTTACAGGTAAAACGAGAAAGTATGTGCTTTTGTAGTACTAGTAGTTTCGTCCATAAAATTGTCATTGCTTAAAATTGGAACAAACACAGTACCCAACTTCAAAATTATTACATTTTTCATCACAACTTAATCAACATCCTTCAAAATTTCGAATCCCACTTCATCGTGACTGCATTTTGCAGGGTTTTAATTTATAAAAATCCCCATAAATCTGAAGAAATGTTTTGTAATGTTGGGTCAGCACAAAAATAAAAACGATCATCAAAAAATTACTATTGAATGTAGAAAAACAAAAACTTAGCGGTAAGGATCAAATGGCCTTGTATCAAGCTTGTATCCGAATACACTTGCCGTTTAGCATGTATCAGATAAACAAACGTGAAAAATACACCACACTGCATTGACAAAGCCGCACAGATACAGTGCTGAAAGGTAAACTGAATCCATGATTCAATAGAATACCCTACAGTAAACGTAATAATTTGGGTATAACTTTGCCTTGTAAAATAATATTAATTGAAATAATTTTAATATTTCTTGGTTTCAAATTCTAATGTCTTATTTTTTATTTCAGTAACTACAATTTCATCCTCAACAACTGTGAGCACAATTAATAAGACTCCTGAAGGTAGGTCATTATTTGCACATTATGTATAGTTCAGTTTATTAGTCGTGCACATATCAGCTGCCGCGGTTTCATCCAATCGGAAGCTTATATGTCGCTACAGTGACGTTACTATGGGGACGTTCAAGCTTCCGATTGGAAAAAACAGTGAACAGCTAATTTACTCCAAATAAATCCTAATATATAATACAACTTAAATCCCTAAACTCGTGTTGGCAATTTGAGGACGTAGTCGCAGTGAATGCAGAACTGCGCCCAGATGACGTGGTGACTACGAAAGTGTTAGTATTTACTAGGCTGTCCGGGTGACGCCGCGTCCATGGCGAAGGTGCCGACGTTTCGGTCGCCATTCTGCAACCTTCCTCAGAGCGTAATGCGCGGAGATGTGCTGCGCACGAGTTTAAATGGGGCTTAGTTTCTCCTCTACCCGAGTGCCGGTTGGCCGGGTGGTCGGCCAATGCGGAGAGAGTGCACCGGCCAATCAGGGGCGGGCTCTCCGCAGGGTGAGAGGAGGCGCTCCGTCAGTAATCGGACGTTGCGGAGCAGCTAGGACTGCGTCCGGGCGATATCGGACTTCCTGGTAGAATAGGTGTTTCCAGGCATCGTGTAGACGTATGCCTTGGTCAGCATTCAAGTTATATGGGGTGTTTGATGATTTCCACCGCCTCTTTTACCCTCCCCGTACCCCAGCGGTCTTCTCTGGCTAAGAGGCGTGTGTCATCAAATAAATAGCGTGGCCAGTTTTCCATGCGTGCAGGGCTACGGCCGATTTATTCGCATTATTGTATTTATAATTACGAATATGTTACCGGAGGCGTTCCTCTACGGTACGTCCCGTCTCGCCAATGTAACTATGGCCGCGGCTGCATGGGATCTCGTATACCCCCGATGACATAAGGGGAGGGACGCGATCTTTCACGCGTACAAGCTTTTGCCCGAGCTTTGTAGGCCGTCTTTATATCAAAGCGGCTCAGAAGCTTGCCAATCTTATCTGTGACACCGCGTATATATGGCATAGTGGCTATTTTTGTGTTGGGATTGTCTCTAGTTTTGGTGATATCAGAAGTTTTGGCAGAGGTCGTACCCTGCCGTACCGCTTGGTTGGCAGCGTTTGCGCTATATCCGTTGGCTCGAAATGTAGTCTTTAGGAGCTCCATTTCAGAGTCCAACGATTCTTTGTCACATACCCTAGTTGCTCTGATGGCCAGCGTTTTCAGAACCCCGCGTTTAGTTGCTGGGTGATGGTGAGAGCCAGCGTATAGGTAACGGTTTGTGTGGGTGGGTTTCCGGTAGACACTGTGCCCTAGTCTGCCGTTCACTTTCCGACTCACCAGCACGTCGAGGAAAGGCAATTTTCCCTTTACAGATGACGAATTTTCGGCAGCCCCTCGACCCTATGCAGATGACGAATTTTCTTGAATTGAGAGTTTCACAGTATCGCAAAGATTGCAATACCGCATACAATTCCGCAGTGTACAACTTGCTTCTGGTGGAAGTGTCCAAGTTTTTGATAAGTCTTCGGTTACAAATGCGCTTCCAACCTGATGTTTTGTTTTTGAACCATCTGTGTAGATTATTGAGTGATTTGCCACGTATTCTTCGACTTTTAAATATATGGGAAGGCATTCTTTTTTCTTTACACTGGTAGTATCGAGTCTAACTTCTGGCATTTTCAACATCCAAACTGGAATTTCATATGGTTCGTGTTTCAAAACTGGTGGTAGGACGATGTTATAGCATTTGGCTATCTCGATTGCGCGGATGTTGGCTGGACGAGTAGCTGAAGGTTTTTGATCGTAAATCTTTGCCAGCTTAGGTCGAGTCATCAATGAGTGGTTTAAATTATTCGGTAGTGACAGCAATTTTGATCTATAGTTGAGTAGCATTGCTTGTCGCCTGTGATGTAGCGACATGGTGCTGGTTTCACAGTAGAGGCTTGAGGAAGGACTAGTGAGGAAAGCGCCAGATGCATATCGGAGGCCTGCATTGCGAACGGGATCTAGTTTCCTTACACTTGATTTTCTGACAAGAGTACACTGCACATCCATAATCTATTTTGGATTGATACAGTACCACGTTGAGCGTACCACGATGGATTTGTACAGGAGGAGTAAGATGTTTCTACCGGCTCCCCAATTTATATGGGAAATGCATCTTATTACGTTTAGAGCTGTTCTGTATCTACGCAAGGTATATTCTAGATGCTTTTTCTATGTTAAATGTCTATCAAAAACCAAACCAAGGAATTTTGCCGTTTCATTGTATGTCAGTTGAACACCATTCAGCGCCAGCTCTGGATCACTGTAGTTTTTTCGTTTCCTACAGACGTGAATGCATTTGGTTTTGGCTGCTGGAAATGAGAAACCAATGTTTTTCGCGTTCTGTACTAATTTATTGATTGCATTTTGCATTTTGAATTTGATTATTCCCGGTTATTTGGCTGAGTAAAATATAGCAATGTCATTTGCATACATGCATTTTCCAATTGACGCTTCTATGCCGTCAAACATCTCCTTTATCGCTATGACAAAGAGCGTACCACTCAATGGAGAGCCTTGTGGTACACCATTCTTTAGTACGTAGCTTTCAGAGGTGGACTGTGACGCGAACGAAAGATCTCATACTAAGGAAGCTGGATATGAATTTTGGTAGATATCCTCTTATTTGCCAGTTATATAGCTGTCTCAGAATATTATATCGCCAGGTCTTATCAAAAGCTTTTTCCATGTCAAAGAATACGGTAACCATATGTCTTCTTTTCTTTTTTTTCTTTTTTGGCGCCTTCCTGCAATTACAATATTGAAGATAACAATTTATTGATGAAATTAAATGAAATTTGTCCTTCATAATTTGGTCTTTAATTAATGTCATGTAAAGTTTTTGTTAATATTAGTAGTATTCCCATACGTTTCAGTGAAACAATAACAATATTTTAAAAAATATTAAAAACAAGATTTTCTCAAAAATGGCTAGTTTTTTTTAATTTCTACATATATTGCTAACTGCACTAATGACATAAATACTGTTTTGGTATTCTTTTGTTGTTGTTTTTCAAATTACACAAATGCAATATTTTTTACATGATTCACACATCTATTAATTTTACATCTCTCCCTCTCTCCCCCTTTCTCTTTTCCTCTCCGTCTCTCTCTCCTTCTCTTTCTCTGTCTCTCTGTCTCTCTGTCTCTCTCTCTCTCTCTCTCTCTCTCTCTCTCTCTCTCTCTCTCTCACACACACACACACACACACACACACGTTGTTGACATTTTTGGCGATTTGTGTTCCTTTTGCATTTGCAAGTGCTTCAAACATCTTATAACGTTTCTCAAAAACCGATTACGTTTCTGTGAAAACGAGCACAAAATTGCTCATTTGCTTTCAAACTTTTTGGATGGATAATGCTAAACTTACTATATAACATGATACAAACGCCACTTTGATGTTTTCTTTTGATGTTTTTTAAATTAAACAAAAATATTTTTTTAATATCTTAAGTCATTTATATTTACATTACATTTACATTAAGGGAATTTCTAATGCATTATTACATTTGTGAGTACAATTTCCTTAAACAGTTTCTTATAAAGTTTTTCGAAAATGAAAAGTTTGGGGTGAAAATAAGCTTCAAAATGCGCAATTTAAGAAACGTTCCAAAGATATTTTCTTAAAAAGGGCTCCAAATTTTTCAATGCAAATGTACACATAGGAGGGGATTTTACCCTTTCTAAAATATTTTGAAATTCAGTTTTCAATTTTACAATTAGAAATTAGAAAGACTGATAAAAATGTGCTTTCAGCACTAATAGATGGCAGCTGAAAACAGGGGGAGACATTACCAAAAAGATAGATTATACTAAAGAGATAAAGAAACTACATATTAGTACGATAAAGTCTGTGCCATTTTGTAGCACCACTAGTTATTTTATGTCTATTATTTAAAAAGGTTGTTTCCTGGAGTTTCCATTTTTCAGTGGAAAATTTTTTGTTATTTTTTTTTTAATTTGTTGCCATAAAAAACAATGAAATCTACATTGATATTTGGTGAGGTGGAAGATTGCAAAATACCTGCATTCAATTTGAACTCATGAGGGTATCTCAGGATAAATCAAGAAACATACAAGTATCTAAATTCAGAACCTAAATAAGTAAATAAACTCTCTTAAGAAATAAATAGTTTTAGAAATATATGATCACTAAGAAAGTAACATTTGCTGTTATACAAATGTATGTATATTATGTGCTGTCTATATCCAGGTTTTTATTGATAATACAATAACATTTTTATTTATGTGAATATGTTATTTTGAATAACATTCATTATTTAAATTAAATAATATGAAATATATTGGAAAATAATTTTAAATACTTACTTATGAGATAATTTTATTTTTCTTACAGAATGCAAGCCTGGTGATGTTTGGACATCATGTGGTATTCCTTGCAATCAAGTGTGTTTATACTATGAATATGTACTCACACGCAGAGGATTTTGCTCCAGTTCTGATGACTGTATACAAGGTATATTATTTTCAATAGTCTTCATCATAATCAAAACACACACAATAATTATTTCTGTCTCCATAATTGTGAATTATTTTGTCAATGTTTTTGTCCTAGAAAGAAAGAATGCTCTAAGTAAAGAATTAAAAAATTGTGCATACCAAATCATTCACAACAAATAATAAAAAAATAATTTCAATCCTAAGCTGAAGTATCAACTACACAAAAACTCCATTGATATTAATTTTTTGTTAGTATGTTATTTTATCTTTCTTCCTTCCTTCCAACAGAATAGAGCAGTCATATTCTAAACATTTTATAATGAATGCTAGGTCAAAAAGATCCCAGCAAAAAGTTTCCTCTCAAATAATTTTCGTAATCACTACTAACTCATATTCCGGATTACCACATTTGCAGACATACTCCTGAATCCTAAATTTGATAGGCAAGAAAATAGAGTAGGCAAGGTAGTCTTTTCAAACTTAAGATACATAACGGTTTATTTTACTGGTGCTTGGAAAAAAGTCAAAGTAAACTTCATAAAATCTGGTCTTATTAATTTCGTAAAACCCACTAAAATGGGAATGAGTATTGTAAAAAATAGTTTGAATTGTATGAGAAAAAATAGTTTGAATGATGCATGGTAAAGTAATCATGGAAATGAAGTAAAAAAACAACAGTATACATGGGGAAAATTGTCTTCTCAGCCTTTGAAAACACGCGCGTGCGAATTCTCCCATACGCGCGCCATATCGCGCACGCACGCACGCACGCACGCACACGCACGCACGCACACACACACACAGGCACGCCACCCGCAAGTGTTGCTGAGTGGCTCTGCGTAGAAGGGCTCTAAGAGCCCTTAAATGGCAATACTTTTAAACAATGCAGGCTCTAAGAGCCACTCAGCAGTGCTTCGGAGCGGCGCGGAGCTTCCGGAGTCTGCCGGAAAAGCATTGGTTTAAATGGTGGTATTCAAACGAGCAGCGCAGAGATGCATTCGCCAACAGCTCAGTCGCGGTTCCGCAACATCATCATCAGAACACAGTTCTATTTAGCAGCCTTCATCTTACTCTTTGGCCCCCACACAAAACCAGCCAGAAGCGTCACTGAGCTTAAGGGTCGCCCGAAAATTACGTAACGCTAACGAGGGGGGGGGGGATTGAGGTACAGTTACGCTGCGTTACATAGGGGTAGGAGGTAATATTTCATTGTACGTAGTACTGATATTTTTTTTTAATTTTGCAACATCGGCTAAAATAATTCCTTTTATTCAGTCTTGCACTAGAACATTATAGTATTCCCAAATATAATTAAAAACACGAATAAATACAAAATTGATCAATAAATTGTTACAATAAATGCAATAGATTAATGGAATAGATTGATTTCTCATCAATGGCATATTGATTGTCAAATTATGAAGCAAATATTCAAAACTGATCTACAGAATATTCTAGAAGCCAATTAATAGGCACAGTAGACGTAAAGACCCATGCGTCATCCCAATTTCTCACCTATGCATCCTTTCATCATTGAAAAAATATTCCCAATTTTATAGGTGGGTGTAGTCTGCATGACCAATTAATTCTGACTTTATTTTTAACAAATATTTAATATGTAACACAAATAAAATTAATAAAACTAGTAAGGTTTATAATTTTATTTTTACTTGTAAAATGGGGAGGGTGTGCCTTGTCGCAAGCGTTAAGTAATTACTTGGGGGAGGGGATTAAGCCCGTTTTATAGTTGTGTTAAAGGGGGAAGGGGTATTCAAAATATTTCGAATTTGCATTATGTAATTTGTAGACACCCCCTTAGCTATTTACATCTCAACTGCTTTGCAACCACTAGCACCCACAACCTTGGAATGACTCAAGAATCTTTCAGTTCCCACGCTTAGGGGCACTGGTCGATCAGTGGCTCCTTGAGAAAGTGATCAACACCAATGTGCCCTTCCTGCGAAATGAAAATAGTTGGATGACTAACCTTAACAAATATGAACATGAGGTTCTTGTTCATTTGTGCTGATACTTTGCAACAAAAAATAAAGTTAATGTCTTAGGGCTGGCTCTTTGCCACTAGTCTAATCCATACCTAGGATGTGAATTGGTAGTTTTATCCAGTCGTTTTAAAATTCGTTGGGGGGGGGAATCGAAAAATTGAAGAGTGAAACAAAAACTATCTTCTTTTGTGTAATGCATTCTGAACAAATGATGTTGACTCATACAGATTACTGCTGCTGAAAAAGTTGCTAATCATTAATTTCCCAGCACGGGTTCATCAAACTAAGAGAAGTTTATCCCTGACATAGGCCTACCCTTCTTCAATTTTCACCCTGTCCGTATGTATTTATTTGGAAAATACGTCATTACGGCGGAATAAAGACCACCTCCCTCTCCAGGTTAGTTCTGAGCTAAAGTGATCTTTGCTCCTGCCTTGCCAGTTTGTCACCCCCAACCCCCTTCAAGTGCCCAATCCATGTGACAAGTAATTAACACCATTGAGTTTCACTATGTTTGTTAAGTCATTAAAATTAAAAATTATATTCAAAATACATAAAGAAAAATATATCAATAAAATATCTTGACAGAATTTTTAGCTGTAAACCTATGAAAATGTCAAAGAATAGTTGAACAAATGCAAAAATTCTTAAATCACACCGACCGAAAGAAATGGTTGAAAATAATACAATATCTCAAGAAGGTAGTTAGATGACATGAGGTTAATTTAAAATTTTTAATAATGCAAGCTATAATTTTTTTTCCTTCCATACTCATGTTCCATGATATAAATATGAAGAAAGAATTATATTTACAATACGTAATTATATTTATATCAATGAGCAATACTAATTAAATACTGGGAATATAGAAATGTCAGAGAATCTCTGAGAAATTTCACTTTTGTATTGAATTCCATTCTTTCATGTCTTTCTTCTTTCTGTCATTCTTCTCATGTCTAGGTCGAGATCTTTTCTTGTTTTATAATTATTGCACAACACATTAATATTCAAAAGTAGTGAATAATAAATTAATAAGCAAGGAGAAAAATATAAAATTTAACAATTAAATCTCATAATTGAAAGGAACAATGTTATGAAAATATCTAATATTTTGTAAAGGATGCTAAGGTGCTAAGAAAATTCCAATTTCAATAGATAAATTAGTTGTCTACTCTATGATTTCCACCCATTCTCTGTATCGCTACTTACAAGGAGTAATGGAAGAACAAAAAAAAAAGAACAATTTAAAATACTATTTTCCTAGTAAAATTGATTTACATTTAGTTAAATAAATCAATTAATTCTCCTAAGAAACATTAAAAGAAAAACCTTTCATGAAATTTTAATTTGATACACTGTAATGTAATGTTACCTTGCTTGTATGTTAACACTTCTTTACAGGGTGCTTTCGTGAAGAACTTAGTGGAGGTTGCCCCAAAGGATATTATTGGAAAGATGAAAATGAATGTGTTTCTATAGCTGATTGCATGTGTTACTCACATTCCGGAGAGCCTGTTAGGGTAAGCAAGATCTTCAATAATAGCAACTTTTCCTCTAAGGAATCATGTATGGAAATTATTAGTGTTTTCTCTCTTTAGCCAGGTGCAATTATTCAAGAATCAGACTGTACATCATGTCAGTGTGTAAATAATGAATATATATGTGACTCATCCCGATGTAAAGAAACAACAATTGCTTCAGTGATTATTGAAGGAACACCAAGCACTCTCCTTCCACCTGTAAATGACAGTAGTGTTTTCCTGTCAACTGCAACACCCCCTCTACCATGCAGAGATAATAAGTAAGTGTGTAAGTAAGTGTATAAGTAGTGTTTTGTGAAAACAATAACCTAGCTATAGAAATAAGTAGGGCCTACTCAAACTGATATCAGAAATGCAGTTGTGAAAAAGAAGCTTCAGATAAAATTCAAATCTACTCAACTGTAACTTTTTGAAAAGAACTAATAGAGCCCACTGCCTTTCTAACAGATTTCTTCAAATGACTAAAGAAAAGGAGAAGATAATTAGACTCACACCTCTTTGGTATTAGGTGCTTTTATTTATTTAGAGCTAAAAACAATAAAAGTCTCTGTGTGGTAGGTGGAGAAAAACTGTATTAATTTCTGATATTTGGGGGTGAGGATTTTTAGTAATTTGACAATATCATTACAGATTATCTCATTTATGCTCAATCATGATTGACTCAACCTATTTCATGTTTTTACATTATTTATCTAGATTAATCCCTCTGGTTGAAGGAAAGGAAAAACTTCCAGATGTTGCATTTTCAGCAAGCAGCTATGGATCAGGCAATGGGCAACAACCACATTTTGCAAGAATTCTCAGAAAATCAAAAAATGGTAAGGTATTTACAATTATTATACTGTAATCATTTACATAAATAATATTATTTTTAAGTAATATTTATAAGTCATTTCGTTTGCTGCCATAATATTCCTGTCTTATTTTGTTACATTATTCTTGAATTGTAATTTCTTAAGTTATGTTATCATTATAGAGAATGCATGGTCACCAGCAAAACAAGACACAAATCAATTTCTTCAGATCAATCTTGGAAGTATAGAACCTATATATGGTGTGACAGTACAAGGAGGACCAGCTGGTTTTGTGACTAGTTATACTATACACTACAGCAAAAATGGAGATTTGTATCATTTTGTAACAAGAGATGGTAAAAATGCACATGTAAGTTTATTATTAAAAAAATCATGAAAGCTTTTAGCAAACAGAAGATTTCATATTAATTCTAGAGAAGTATCTATATGTGCATAAATATATAATAAGACTTGTATTGTTTACACGAATTTATGAATTGAATTGAGAGTAAAAATTGTAGATAAAAGATATTAATATTTCTTTTGTATGAAAAAATTGCATTAACATATCTTAGGTATTTCGGGGACCAACAAATAACACTGAATCATTGAAACAAATCTTCCATCAACCAGTGGAAGCCCAATACATACGTTTTGTGCCTAAGACATGGAAAAAAAACATTTCCATGCGGGTTGAGATTCATGGTTGTGAAGAAGAGATATCAACCACTGAACCCACAACATATACGATGCCTACTACACTAGAAACTATTGTTTCTTCAATATACAGTACTCCTTCAGTTGGTAAGTTGTGTGTAGCAATATTAAAGGGTTTTTTTTTTTTTTAATTAATCCAATTCTTGCAAATGTTTGTGTACTACAGACTGGTTACTGTACTGGTCTGTAATACTCTTCTAAAATAAACAAAGAGCATAGAATCATAATTACATCCTTCAGTACACATGCTGTGAATTCAGTCACCTAAATTTCATCCATCCATTATATAATTAATTTATATTTGCTTAGGATATCCTCTGGTCTATAATTTTTGCCATAGCTTTTTTTTACAGTTCTATTGAAATCTTCTTAATGTCTATGAAGAGATAGGTTTCCAAATTATATTCTCTTCTATTTTCAATTACATGTCTCAGAATAAAGATATCAGAGCATGAGTGGCCTTCTGGGATTCCATATTGTTCATTTAATAGGTGTACTTCACTAATGGTTTTTAATCTATTGTTTAGAATTCTGGCATATGCCTTATAACTGGTATTACTAAGAACATTGATTTCTTGATAGTTTCCAGGGTCACTTCAATCTCCTTTCTTAAAATAGGGATAACATTTGCATTCTTCCAAGATTGGGGAATTCTTCCATTTTTCCAGCACATGTTCAGAAAATTTAATAGCCTAAGTTTATAAAAAAGCTACTCTACTTAAATAGTTTTGCATTCAACACCTACATGCCTAGTGCTTTTCTATTCTTCATTTTTGTCATAGCTGTTCCCATTTCATTCATTCTGACGTTATCTTATTTATATAATACATACATTTTTATGTATGTGTCTCCACATGCTTTATATTTGTATTTGTGATATTTATTTCTTTGTTCTAAATGCTGTTATGTTTCACACGTGCTTGCTATATAACTTCTCCCACATCATACATATGATAAGATGGATGAAATACATAATTGAACATAATAAAATAATTTTAATGAAATGTTGTAATGATTCTATACAGAATGTTTGGATGAGATGGGATTAGATAATGGAATGATGAAAGATCAACAAATCAGTTTATCCTCAATAAAAGACAATGACGCAGTCAAGTATGGACCCTCTCAGGTGCATTTAAGTGCAGCAGCAGATATTCTCCAAAGAAAAAGTGGTTCTTGGAAACCTCTCTTAAATGACAAAGACCAGTGGATACAGGTTAATAATACTCCATTATTGCAATGTTTATTTGGTAAAATATGTTTTAAGCATTTTGTAAAAATGTAATGCTGTATCTGCAGTTTGATTTTCTGGAGCCACGAAACTTAACTGGTTTTATCACAAAAGGCTCTGAAAATACTAATGACTGGGTAGAAGCTTTTAAAATATTGTACAGTCATGATGGTACAGCATGGAATCCTTTTCTTGGAGAAGAAGGCTCTGAAAAAGTAAGTATGTTATTTTCTATTTTTAGGTTAACACGAAAGGAAACACTTCTTTTCCAACAATAGAATTTAAAGAATTTTAAATTATTGAAGAATATCATGATGAAACTACTCTCGCTCTCTCTTGTTCGATCTCGATCTCTCTCGTTCTCTTTCTCTCTCTCGTTCTCTCTCTCTCTCTCGTTCTATCTCTCGTTCTCTCTCTCTCTCTCGTTCTATCTCTCGTTCTCTCTCTCTCTCTCGTTCTATCTCTCATTCTCTCTCTCTCGTTTTCTCTCTCTCTCTCGTTCTCTCTCTCTCTCTCGTTCTCTCTCTCTTTCTCTCGTTCTCTCTCTCTCTCTCTCGTTCTCTCTCTCTCTCGTTCTCTCTCTCTCTCTCGTTCTCTCTCTCTCTCTCGTTCTCTCTCTCTCTCTCGTTCCCTCCCTTTCTCTCTCTTGTTCTCTCTCGCACTCTTTTGGTCAATGTATACAAACATTTTCTTTGTATATGAATGTAAATAAAAGTGCTTAGTTGCTTCCAATTTTGAAATATTCTAGGGTACTTTTGTTAAGTGACTGCAAACTAAAATATTTTCTTCAAGGTTTGTAATAAAATTATTTTCCCTAACTGGTATGTTTTGTTCTTTTTGAAATTTTATTAGCAAAGGTTAATCCTTTTGTCAGTTTTTATTCATAACTTGAGTTGCAATACTTCAAGAAAATTTAATGTTTAATGGCAAAAACCTTCTCTCATACCTACATCACCAACATACTCTCAAACCAACACCCGTAACTATCTGATGGGTAGAATGTGTAGAATGCCCCTGTGATATACTAAATATAAGTTCATGTACCTTAGTTAATCACAATAAAGATAAGAGTAAAAGCTTATTATGGAAGTAGTAACAAGACGACTCTGTGGTAGCTGTTGTGATTTTTATATATTTTTAAATTTCTTTGAATAATGGAGTACGTTTATGTTAATGGAATACATTTATGTTAAAATAAATAAATTTTAAAAATAATAAATTAACAATAGAAGCTTCAATTACTCTTTTTAATATTTAACATTTATGTTACAGGTATTTCCTGGGAACTATGATGCTGTCTCAACTCATCAGAATACTTTTGGACATGTATTGCGAACACGATATCTACGTCTATCGCCATTTAAGTGGCACAAAAACATTGCAGTCAGAGCAGAAGTTATTGGATGTTTTGAACCATATCGTGAGTACTCTTTCTCTTCTCTCCCAATCTAAATTAATAGAAGCTGGCCCAGAATGAAAAGAAATTTCATTAGCCACATTTTGGTATTCTGATGGTAAAACAATCAAGTTGGCTATTTTATTCAAACAATTGCCATACATTAACATGTATTTACAGATTAATTATAAGTTTAAAAGATTTTTTAAATTGAAGAGGTTTTTAAAATATTATGTTTTTAGCTACAAACATACCATTGCCTCCTGGAGAACCAACTTCTAGATTAGATTGCCGTGTGTGTGAGGGAGTACCTTCAGAGAAGAAGCGAGGAGGTGCTTGTTTTCGCTGCCTCCCAGACTTGTGGTGGGATGGAGAATCTTGTGTCAATCGAACACACTGTCCTTGTTTTGTGAACCATGTTCGGTCAGTAAAAATAATTTTGTGTTAAATTTGCAACAAAAAATGCACAAAATATACACAATGCACACAAATAAGCACATCTGATGAAACATGTAACTTCAATGTTAAATGAGTCATATATAATAAATGTAAAGAAGTTTAACAGTGAAAATATTATAATTTTAAATGTGATGATTAACTACAATGTATAATATTATACAGTTGATTATCAAGCATTTGTGTCAAATTTAGTGCATATTTTAAAATACAATGCATTGAATACACATTGAAGAAATCCTTTCAAACCTTCAGAAAAATTAATTTCTAATTATTTCTAGTAGTATCTTTTATGCTTTGCAGTTGACATCAATGCAGTTATTTTTCAGATACAATGTTGGACAGTCATATGTGACAGATGATTGCAAAGAATGTGTTTGTAAATTGAATGGGCTTCCAGAATGCAAAAAAATTCCAATGGAATGCGAATGTGAACCAGTGAGTTGAATCTCTGTCAAACGTTTATAAAAATTATGTTTGTTTTGAATTAATTTCATTATGTATCTTAAAACAGGAGCAACAACGAGTTCTTACGGCAGTTTGTGGATGTGCTTGTAAAACATGTGATATAGGAACCCGTCTCTGCCCTACATCGAATATTTGTATCAATGAAAGTTTTTGGTGCAATGGAGTTGAAGATTGCCCAGATGATGAAAGGAACTGCCCAACTACTTCAATTCCTACTTCTACACCTACTGCTCCTGTAGTGGCAACTCCATGCCCCCCTGTTACATGTCCACCTGGAACAAAACCTGTCAAAATGTCTGCTCTGTCTGAACGTAGAACAAAAGGTCTAAAAGGGGCTGCAAATTCAGTGAATAAAAAAGGAATGAAAGGTTTGTTTCTGATACTTTGATCTGTTTATTATTGTTAATCTTCATCTTCCATAATTTAGTGAATATATTTTAATTATTTCTCAAATGTATTTTCAATTTAATGAGATATATAAAATCTATTAGCTCTAAAATATGATAATCATTCAAGTTTTGAAACCGAGAAAATTACAATGAATTCACATAGTCATCCTATTTCTCAACATATTATATTTAATGTATTGAAGTCTGAAATCATTGGGATTTGCCATCTTCCTTGCGCAGTGTCATTGCTGCAACTTCTTCTAAGCTACTACTGCTAGTAATAATAAAGATAATAATAATAATAAAGATGATCTCCTTTTTAAAATAAATCTCAATTCTCTTTCATCAGGAAAGCTACCATCTGATTCAAAATCTCATACATCTCTGGGAATAGAATGTGAACCTGTGGTCTGTGTTCCAATCCCTCAACCAACAACAGAGAGGCCAGAGACATGTCCAAAAGTTGTACCCACTTGCCCTCCATCGTTCAATGTTGAAAGGGTACCATCTTTAGATCCTTGCCCGAAATATAAGTGTGTCCCACGACATGCAATATGTAACATAACACATAATACAGTAGACACATTTGATGGGATTGAGTTCACACATGACCTGTGTAACCATATTCTAGCAAGGGATAGTAAAGAAAAGAAATGGAATATATCATGTAAGTAAGGATTTCTATAATTCAATTTAAAGAAAATTACCTTTATTTTTGATCAAAATAGTTTTATAGTATGCAACAGTAAATTGATAGATGTATGTAAGGATACAGGTACAGAAATACATCTTTTAGCAATTCTTACATAGCTTATAATATCTCATTTTAATTTCAGTAATGAAGAATTGTTCAGCAAAAGAATGCCCTCGCTTCTTGAATATAATTCAAGACTCATACAACTTCAAATTATATTCAGATTTGAGTGTAGAACTGAACGGTATTATTTATACATCTCATGAGGTAAGCAGTGAGCTCTTCCTTGTGTGACAGTAAAAGATTCTGATAAAGATGTAATAAAATTGTTGGAGATGAAATGTGTATTTGCAAGAGTATTAAAGATTTACATTTTTTATTGTATTATTTTTAAAACAACTGAAGCTCATTATTACTTCTCAATAATGTTTATAACAATTTTTGTAAATGCTGTTCTTTTATGTGTTACAGACAAAACATTTAGGAAGGAAAAATAAACCATATGCAGTGTATCATGTTGGTCAGTCACTTATTTTACAATCTCAGCACTATGGCTTTTGGGTGATTTGGGATAACAACCAAAATCTAAAAATTGGTGTAAGTAATGAATAAATTCCTGCTTTGTATTGAAATTAACTAATGCATGGTACCATATCCAAAACCTTGTTTCAATATCTTGTAATCATCCAAAATAATTAAATCCTACCTGCAAGCTAGCTAGATGATAAAACACGACATAAAGCAAAAATTACAAAATTTAACTGTTATACATGATCTTACTACATACTGGATCTAACATATAGCATGATATATGGATATGGATACATGATATCATAGCCAAGTGGAAAACCAGTTTGTCATCTACGATTATTTTTATTTCTCACCAAAAATTTTACTATACAGGGAGGAAATGACAAAACTTTAAAAGTTTACTTTTGAAGTTGTTCTAAGGAGAAATTCATTGGTAATCAGTCATTTCTTCTTCCAATAATCTTATTTGCATGATTAATTTAGTCCAAGGGAAGTGAAATGTAGACGTGAAAGAGTTGATATTCCGTTGAGCATGCAATTGAGAAATGAATCAAATATCCTGCCAGATGCAAAAGTGACATTTATTGGTGCACCCCTGTTACTTATTTTCAAAAATGTTTCAACAGGATATGTGGTTAACAAATCCATATACTTTTGAATACTGTGATATGCATTTCACATGAAAATACTGTGAATTCCCAGCAGTGAGGAATATGCAGACATGACTTATGTTTAAGGTATTTGTGATGGTGGTGCATAAAGAGCGGTACATAAATATCATAAACAATTTCCTAACTGCATAGTTCTGCATAAAAGCATATTTATAACACCATCACTATGTTCTGGTTCAGAATGAAAATAGTTCATTATCTCTAAACTACAAATGTGGCCTTTCTCCAGTTTCCACAAGTGACTTTTGTGAAAGAAACTGAATAAAATGCATTAACTAATATAAGAGGTTTCTGCTGTTGCAAAACGTTCAGTATGGAAATTTCTTCACAACAACCATGTTGTATCCTTGCAAATTTTGTAATGTAAGACATTAATAAGGTAGAGAATCACATATGCAGTTTTGTACTTGGCTTCTTCAAAGATCTGGTATTTGCAGTAAGATGCTATTCATAGGCAAAGCATCAATGATGAAAAGTGAAATAATTAATTCGAGAAAGGAACAGTTGTTCATGGGCTCCTTCTAATTCATATGCAACTCATGAAAGATAAGTCCTGCAACAATTTTCTTTAAATGTCCAATGTTAATAGTGTCAAAAATTGAATTTTTAACAAATTTTTAAAATTTTTTTAAAAAAATTTAAAAGAGCAAATTTTTGTGAATGTATTTTTGAATGGCATCATACTTTTTTACTTCCCTTTTGTTCAAAGTTTAATAAGAAACTAATAAACCAACATTTTTCATATCATTCTTAATAAATAGATCTACTTAGTAGAAAAAATATCAGTATTACTGGATTGTAAAGTATTCTATTCAAATCATGATTTTCAGGTGACTGGGAAATTGTTTGGAGCAGTTGAAGGTTTATGTGGAACTTTAAATGGCAACCCCAATGATGATCGCACAACACCTTTAGGAAAAATTGTGAAGGGTAATGATGAATTTGCCAAAAGTTGGGTTATACCTGATGCTCCAGAATGTGAACCAACTGAATGCCCTATTCACTTACAAACTCAAGCTCAAGAAATATGTAATTCAATAAGGTAAGATCTATTCAACTCTTGTTAAATGTATTTAAAATTTTGTTAGATAAAATTACCTTTCTCTGACGGCAATGATAAGAATTCGTTCTACACATTGTCAGTGAGAAAACTGAGATGCAAATTTAAATAACTGCCAATAGAGACATAAAAAAATATGACACCCTTGACGAGCTATAGAAGAATTTCTTTAAAATATTTTTGTTAAAATTACTAGCAGGGACAGTTTTCTTCCTTCATGCATACAGCTTACACAGTACAGAAAAAGTATTGTAATGCTGTGGAAAAAATTATGCTTTTACAACAAACAAAAATTGGTAAGCCTTGGTAACGGAGAAGTGGATAAATTTTGTTCCTATAGTAAATTACTTCTTCTAACCTGTTGTGTAGTCAGAATCCATGTTGTGTGTGTAAATGGCGTTTGCATGTCTGTCTGTGGATCACACATGGTAGTGCCTAAACCATTCAGCTAATTTTCTCCAAAGTTGATATCCCTCAATCGATCTGAATGAACTCAAGGCAAGATTGAAACATATTTTGATTTTTGGGGGTGCTGTGCATGAAGCCTAAACAAAATGTTCTCAGCAATTATTTCAAAGTTTTGGATTTAACTTTGGATAGCATGAAGAACTCTTAAAGAAATGTCATGGATCTCATTTTCGTTGAAACCCTTGACTTTTTTTTAAAATTGCAAAACCTCAAAATTTGTTTGGCATCTTAATTTATTTTTATTTATTTACTTCAATAAATGGGTAGAACCCTTTCAATTCAGGGGAAAAAATGACAAGTACAAAATATTAAAATTTCAAAAATGTAAATATTTTATTAAATTGCATATTTAAAGATTCTATTTTAAAAAAAAGGAAACAAGTGACCATTGGAAGAATGTACACAATATTCTGAAAGTCTTGAATAAATATTTGATTTATAATATCCTACAGCAACAATTGAACACGATCTTACTTCAAGATTGATTTTGATGAACATATTTCATTCAGAAAAAAATTCTATCTTTAACTTTGTAGTTGCAAGAAGATGACAAAAAATTCTGAATTTTTACAAGTTTCAAAAATATCTTCTTTTAACTACAATAATGAAGGTAGAGTTTTTCCCCTTAATGAAATCTGTTCATCAAAAACAGATTTTCAAATACGATCATATAAATTTTTTTGAAAATATGAAGTTTTGCATGACATTTTAAAAAATTATTTTTTCTCAAAAACAGCTCCAATTTTTCTTTAAATTTTTTCCTCATATGTAAGAGAAAATGGTAAAAGAAGTGGTGCTGATCACATATTCATTGAACTATTGGAATTTTTTAAACTTGCAAAAGTTCAAAATTTCTTTGGTGTCTTCTTACAACTACTACATAGAAGACAGAATTTTTTTCCTCATGAAATCTGATCTACAAAAGTTGATCTTAAAGTAAGGACATGTCCAATTTTTTGAAAATATGAATCGTGTTTACATGGAACATGGCAATTTTGAAATATTTTTAAACAATTATTTTCTCAAAAACGGCTTCAAAATTTTTTCTTTAAATTTTTTGCTTGTATGTAGCATAAAATGGTAAAGAAATTGGGGCTGGTCTCATTTTTGGCAAACTCTCTGAATTTTCAAAAATTGCAAACAAAAAATAGACATTGCAAAAGTACAGTGTTGATGATAAAAAAATTTCCCGTAATGGAATCTGTTGGACGAAAATTAAATAAATCTCTTTAATATTTAGCTTCTATACATCCCTGCCACTTTAAAAAATTGGACTCAGTTTCCCTTTCAATGTAGAAAAATTAACTTTAGTAATTTTACAACTTTTGCTCCATCAAAGTTTTGGTGGTCTTCAAGAGAGTCTTAGGCCAAAAGTGATTGAGAACCTTTGAACCCTTGAACATTTGTAGAAATTCTTAACAGAAAGACCACATTACATATGGTGATGAATTCAAAACCTCTTAGACCAAAATTACTTAAAACTATTTAATTATTTGTTTTGTTACTTTACAACCCTGTCACTTCAACATCTTTGATTCACCTTTTCTTTTTCTTTAGAAAAATTAACAGTAATGTTGGTAGTAATTTGGTGCAGTGTAAAAATATGCTTTTTGCAGGACAAGTTCTCTCAGCCGTTGTAATTCAGTATTGGACATAGAGCGATTTGTAGCTCGATGCATGGAATTCACATGCTCTTGTTTGTCAAGTACAAAGGAAATAGAAAAGAGTGCTCAAACATGCCGTTGTTCAGCACTTCAAGGTTTGGTGACTTCCTGTCAGTCAATTGATGCTGGTATTGACTTAACAGGATGGCGAACAGAGCATGGATGCAGTAAGTAATATTATTAGCTGTTTCTTATTTGCGTCTGCCATGAAAATTGTACGTAATTCTTATCTTGCAGTGGTGCAGTGTCCTCCATCTTTAGTTTATCATGATTGTTATCGTCACAAATGTGAACCATCCTGTGGTACTCTAAATGATGGGGAGTCATGTGACACTATATCTGGAACCTGTTTCTCAGGATGTTTCTGTCCTGATGGACTTTTACGTCACAATGATAGATGCATTTCACCTGATGAATGTCGTGATTGTAAGTTTTTCATTATCAGATGATATTCATTATAAGTTTGATATTTCAGTTGTTTTAGTATTTCACTTTGTTAGTATTATAGCTAAAAATGGATTTGTTCTGTAGGTGTGTGCGACGGATTTGGTGATTCACAATACATGTCATTTGATCGTTCAAATTTTTCATTTAATGGAAATTGCACCTACGTTGCTTCAAAAGATAATAACCATACATATCAGGTAATTATTTTCATTATGTGTTATCTATAAAATTGAAATTCACCACAAAGAAATTTGGTATTATTTCAAGATTTTGATAACTTTGTAGAGGTGAAGATGTTTTGTAAGTCACTTCCATTATGAATTGAATGAATTTTGTCCTATTTAACAATAATGCAGGTCTACAAAATAAATCATCAGAAAGTAATAGTAGTAGATAGTAATCGTCAGAAATATAATCATATATTTTTCTGGATCAGTTTTTAACACAGTATACGATTTTGTATTATTTATTGAAGATTTGTGCTATCACTTATTTAAAAAAATAGCCAGCCCATTTATTATGAGAGGAATTAGACTCATTTCATAGTTTTCTCATAAAGTGTGTTTGCAAAACTTGGACAAAAATGTGATGAACATCCACAACTAGGTGAACTGCTTCGGGAACATTTAAATATAACATCCCATAGTAATATGCCCTGATGAAATAATTCACATATCTTCATGGTGCTGCTCCATTATTCTGATGTCTTGGAATCACTTTGTTCATTCCTTCTGTTACCAAGGGCATAGGCATGCAAAGCCTAAACAAGTAGAGCCAACTTCATTTCTGGGCACTCTTATGCATTAAACTTTTTATTTATATCATATCACTTGAACAATAATTTTTAGTCTATTTTTGAAATGTTTTTTTTGGATAATTGTCTACTCTGCATTTTTGCAGGATAGTTTAGTACATTTTTCAACATTTTTAACTGTTTTAGGCTGCTTTTGGTTTTTTAATGCATTTTGAGGGCTTTCTGTGAAAGATCAAGTCTACATTGATCACCTTTTAAGTGTAGATTCAAACATTTCTTCAAGTTTTTGCCTAAAATGTGTCCATTACACTATCTTTTCCAAATTTTTTTGTAGATTATCAAAAATTTTGTAGACAATCAAAAATGTTTTCCCCACTTCATTTTTTTTATGTAAAACATTTCTTATAAATTCATGAAGTTTATAAAACAACATTTGAAAACCTACTCAATAAAAAGTCTTGCAACAGTCCAAATGTTCAGATACAATTTCAAGTAACACTGTAGCATTTAAATAATTAAATATACAATACATTTAAAATGTGCAATTTTTTGCATACATGTAATATTTTTTGAAGAAAAAAATTTATTGATTTTTCTAATTGTGAATTATTAGAAATGAACAACTTTAAAACATTTAATTGATTTATTTTGGAGAATATTTTATTCTAATATGTTCATGTTGAAAAAATTTCCATGCACTTTCTCTCACCATTTCATCTTTGAGAAAATATGTGATTTTTATCTTGTAAGCATCTCTGTGACTAAAATGGTTTCTTCTTATTTAAATGTAATGGAAGATAATTGGCATAAATGATGTTACATTTAATTGCGATGTAATAAACTATCTGAACTTTCTTTAAATTTTGTTAACAAATTTTAGAAATATGTTTTCATTGGCATAAATTGTTGGTTTATTGCCTATTTTTACTCTTATCACTTTTTAATAGATTGGTTGCTCCAATCACCTTTGTAATCTCTCATAAATCAGATGGATGCAGTAAGATGGTTAACTTCATTACCTCTGGCACTCTTTGAAGTTTAAACCAGTTAGCCAGCATCGGTATTATTTTCCCTTACTAACAGCACCTATTTTTTTATTAGGTCCTGGTGACAAATCGACAATGCTTTGATGAACCTACATCCACATGTACTGAGGCTGTGGTAGTGCAGTATTTGAATCATTCAGTATCTGTGAAATATGAAAGAAAAACTGCAAAAAATCCTCAGGTAAAATGTCTTTGGCCACAATCTCCTTTCCTGATTAGATTCATTATTTTCTTTTATAATCTTGAATTATTTTATAATTTATTTTAAAAAAATATTTGTGATGTATAACTATTATTATTTGCTCGTTCCTTTACAGTTAATTACCTCGATAGATGGTAAATTAATTAATCGGTTTCCTCACAAAGAAAAACCATGGCTGTCACTTAGTTATGTAGAAAACTCTGAAATTACAATACTAATACATCCAATTCAACTAGAAGTGACATATATTTATCACAGTTATGCTTTCACTGTTCGGCTTCCATCCACCAATTTCAAGAATAATACAGAAGGATTGTGTGGTAAGATTCACTTGAAAGAAGATATTTCTTCCATTTCATTTTTTTCTTAAGTTATATTTTAATCATTATATTTTATTTTCTATTGAGCTAATGTATTACTGGTGCACTAATACTGAAATCCTAATGCAGGCAACTGTAACAAGGATAAAACAGATGATTTCAAAACACCAAAAGGAATATTAACCAACAATACAAATGAATTTGGTCTCAGTTGGTTGCATCCAGTTTTGAATGAAGAACACTGTCAAGAAGTGACTACTGACATGGAATGCAAACCATTGCCTCCTGATGAGGACCCCTGCCTTCAACTTTATGACTCGCCTGTTTTCAAAAAGGTTATTTTATTAAAATGAATGTTTAATACTGGGTAGAAATCAAATTTTACAAATTGAATTTCTTCTCTTCAGTGTCACAACATTTTAGATCCAGCACCATATGTGGTTGCTTGCCAGCATGATATATGCCATAGTGTAAATAGAACTGATGCTGCATGTAGAGATATGGAAGCCTATGTGACTGCCTGTGAACGTGTAGGAATATGTCTGAACTGGCGAAGCCCAGATATTTGCCCTTTCAGTTGTCCTAAAGGTTAGGAAATTTTTTTAAAAGCAAATTGTTCATAGTGCAAGAGATGGAAAAATAAAATTTAGTTCTTCTGGTTTAGTATACATTTTAAAAGATTTCCCAACATTTTTCTTTTAGGGAAGCAGTACCGTTCGTGTCAACCTGGATGTTCTGGAACATGTGAAAGCATTGGTAGTAGCTCGGCTAATTGTTCTTCTCTAGTGGCAGATGGATGTTATTGCCCAGAAAATCAGGTATAATATTTTAAAAATTATTTGATACATAACTATGAAATAATATAAGTTACGTTATAATGATATACATTTTATACAGAATGATTTGCTTTGCTCACAAACTCTTTGCCAAAGTCTTCTGGATATTATTATCTTGTGTATTGAGGATTTGATGAGGATGTATTATTATATTGGGTCTTCTGAACCAAGAAATCTCTTAGAAATTTTGCTGCAAAACTCTCCAGTAATGACTAGAGTTTTTTTTTATGTCAGAACTTAATTTAAGTGAGCAGGCAAAGACAGCAAGTCCTAGAGATGCATTTCATTTTTTCTTTGCTTAATAAGAAAAAACAACTTTTTTGTCCACAATGAAAAAACAAGTTAATATTCTGTTATTTGATAACAGAAAAATGATGGCATGTATCTGCGCCATCTTATAGTGCAGTTGGTGCACCAGTCTTAGTGCAGCAATATTTTGAGATGAGAGTTGTAATATGCAAGAAGTGCTTAACAGAAAGCCTACTCCAAACTAGTAGTTCAGAACATTCTGGTATTAAAAATACATAAAAAATATTTGTAGAAGTAACTGTGCATCTAAGAATAAAATTGTAAAGATTATCTAGCAACTAACTTATTGGTAAATAGTATTGGCAGGTTAAGTCAACCACCCAGTATAAGTGTTGACATCATCATTATGTACTGCAGAATGAAAGACCTGAGGCCTATTCCTATACATACTATATAAGTAAAAAGTATAATATTCATTTTAAGATACCAATAGTTTGTTGTAGCCTTCTGAACAATAAAAATCTATAAACTTCTACGTTTTTGGTCATTTTATAATGACAAAAATTTGGATTTTTTTCAGGTACTGCTTGACAACAAATGTGTGAGTATATCAAAGTGTCTTCCTTGTGATGATGATGGTCACTTTGATGGTGACACATGGCAACAAGACAAATGTACTAACTGTACTTGTTTAGGTAAGTGCAGATTTTGATGTTTAATTCTGTTTCTTTGATTTACATTTCAAGAAACTAATTATATTTATTGAGAACTCAGTACATGAGTAAATGTTTCATTAATTATTGCAACTAATATTGTTTGGAAAACTAGGAAGCCGAAAGGAATGCAACAAAAAAATATGCCCTGATATTAAGACAATTTGCAAAGAGGGAATGATACCTGTGGAAGAGAAAGTATCAGAATTGGAATGTTGCAAGAAGGTAACTTGTGGTAAGTGCATATTTATTATCACACCAGCCTGACTCCAAACCTACAAATGCCATTAATAGAAACAAGTCTTGCATCTATCAGTAACTTCATTATTTTACTTTCAGTGACCTTATCAGTTAGTATTTCTAATATAATTTGTAAATATTTGCAATTAGTAATTTATTGTTTCCTCTTAAAAATGTCAGTTAATTCGTGCAAAATCACATTTTGATTCTAAAGTTTTAGAAAACCTCTTAAAACAACATGTAATTAATTGCTCTGTAATGTTATTGTACATTAATAAACATGTATACTCTTATTTCAGTTCCAGCACCACCATCTAATGAAACGACTTGCCCACCTCCCCAAATTCCATCCTGCCGAGATGATCAAGATGCTACATCAATTGTTGGAGCAGATGGCTGCACAAGAATTGCTTGTGGTAAGTTCAAAATCAGTTGTTTTTTAGCAGTTAGTAGTAAGTAGAAATATAATTCATTGATTCAAGTTTTGTCTTTGTAGTGTGTAAACCGTGTCAAAAAAACAAAACAAAAGTTTGGCTACCAGAAGATGAAGGATTTGAAGGAGGGGAAGTAGAAGAAAGTGTAGAGGAAGTGGAAGAAGAGAAAGAGTTAGGAATTAGAATAGAAATTGATAATTCAGGCTGTTGCCCAAAGAAAATTAGAAAGTGTTATCCAGAGGACTGCCCTCCACACTCCTGTTCATATCCTTTTGTGTCAAGAAAGAAATCAACAGATTCATCCAAATGTTGTGAAGACCAAGAGTGTGGTGAGTTTAACAGAAAGAATATACTTATAAACTGTATGTAATAATAATAATTTATTGAAGAAAAATTTGTGTTAAACAGATTTGGTTGTATGATAAATTCCCCTTAATCAAAATCCTCCTTTTTTAAATTCAAAAAGTACATTTTTATTTCAATTTGGTTATTTTCATCAATACATCATCATTAACTGACCAGAAATTAGGCTCTATAGGCTGTTTCCATTGGTTTATTACAGTATTCTTGGTGTATTATTAGTCTTCCAAGTGTTTCTGCTTTTGCCACCTCTTTAGTGGGCTCCCTCTATCTCTGATCCCTTTATCACTGGTTTGTACTTCCAGATTAATTTTGGAAATCTCTTGTTGTTCATTCTCGGTAAATGATCTTTCCATCTCCTTTCAGACTGTTCTGTCTCTTGTAGTAAAATTTGGTTTTCAATTTCTTTCTGATGTTTGTATTTCTTAGTCTGCCTCTTCTTGTGATTCGCATGAAGTATCTCGTAAATCTAATGTGTGCCACCTGTAGTTTTTATTTGTCTCTCTCTTTTACTACCCGTGTTTCAGACATGGTTCTAGGTTTAGTAGCTATATTGTGGAGTTTCAGTTTTCTTACATACGAGGATTGGTGATAATACACATCGTAGCCTTAAGCCATTGTTAGTTGTTATTGTTGCCAACTTTTCCCCCTCTCTTAACAATATTTTAATTCTTGAGTTCTTGAAGAGACAGTATTGCATTGAGTAACTGATTTAGAACTTTCACCTCTTCTAGTATTTCGAAGAGTTTCTGTCTATTAACTTCGTTGTAAGCCTTTTCGTAATCAATAAATATTATAAAAGTTGGTAGATTCCTTTCCCTTCTTTTCTCTATTAGCATCTTTAATGTAAAAATAGCATCTTTAGTGCTTCTACCCTTTGGAAATCCACACGGCTCTTCTCCCGTGAAATTCTCACATATTTCATTGAGTCTGTTCCTTAGCATGTTTGCAAATAGCATAGAAGCTGTTGATAGCAATGTAATGCCCCTATAATTGTCACATATCTTCTTTGAGCCCTTCTTGTGAATGTTAATAATCAAACCCTCTTGCCACACTTTGTTAAAAAGTTCTAACAATATTTTTTTCACCTCATTCCCTTCATATCTTATGAGTTCTATGTTGAGCACCATTCTTCTTTTAGTAGTCAATTGAATTTATTATGTTTATGTATTTGCATACTTGTCTTTTACAACATTTTTGGAAAATTAACTTTTTAATTGAGATTTTTTTTTATATCAGACAGTGTTAAGTTTTATTAATTAAGTACCTGACATAATTCTTGCTGTTTTACCTCCTGACTCATCTTTTTTCACCTAGTATCAAATTTATTTGCTCAAATATTTCCAGTTGTGTTTTGAAACAATATTTCATTGCAAGAAAGTATTACAAATGCTCTAAAAAGTGGAATTTGTATCTCAGAAATGCCAATTTTGAGACTCCAACTGCCCCCCCCCCCCCTCTGACCTTTTATTTTCAATGATATGTTTTCATCTTTTCTACTAAACAATTCATTTCAGTGCCGCCACCGAATTCCTGCCTCATTGAAGACAAAAATACTGGCGAAATCATAGTAAGGAAGGTATGGGAATCACAAATATTAATGAAATGTAGATATTGTTTTGTACTGTTTATTCTAGGTGACAGAGTTTATCTTGTTGAACAGGTTGGCTCGGTGTGGCATGATGGTCCATGCACAACATGTGAATGTAAAGCAGTTTCTGGAGTGCCAGAGAGTACTTGTAATAAACAAATGTGTCCTGCAGCAGATATAAATCCCAACGTTACTGAAAATTATGTAATAGATAGTAAAGTTACTCCAGGAGAATGCTGCCCATCGATTGAACGCACTGCATGCAAAATAAATGGAACGATTTTGGAGGTGAGTAAACTCCTGTGAAGTGCGGTAATATTATGTCAACAGTGGTATATTTTTGTTCTTCAATAACTACATGTTTATATGTATTTAAATATGCGAGATAAATATTGTGTAATCTTGTAATCTATTATTTAATTTATTCAATTAATCTTAACGTTATATCTGCCCCTTATAGCATTATTTTTTTTTGCACTATGTGTCAAGGGTGTAGAGATTGTTTGCAGAAACATAATTTTTCTAATGATTGTCTATGAATGCTAGATGGTTAGTATTGATTTTTTTTTAATTTTTTAATTTTTAAAATTTGTTTTGGGAATCAAACTGATTCCCAAATAAAATGATTGCAAAGTTTAGGGCAGTAGAAAAATAAAACAGCAATGGCAAATGAAAAAGTTTCTTTTAAAACCAAAATTTCTGAACACCTCTGTTAAACATTTCTGAAACACCGCCCCTGCAAAAAAATTTTTTTTCATGGAATGGGCATTGAAATAACCCGTTTATTGTATGTGAATCATACACATAACAATAATCACCCCTTTCTATGACCATTGATCTGCTCCTTAATAGCAGCTTTCTTCATGTATCGTATCCCTTTTAAGAGACTACCTTCATGAAAATTGTAGAATACAGAACATTTAATTTTCAGTAGTAGTTAAAATGAAAATGAAAATTGGAAATGTGAATGGCACTAGGGTGTCAAGTCCTGTGCGTGTGTGCGTGTCAGAAATCGTGAAACAATATACCAAAGACACCAATAAAATTGCACTCTCGCAAAATTATTGGTTGTCTCCATTTCTTACAACATTCACATGGACTTATGCGTTTTATACCTAACCTATTTGAATCTCTTGCTGGGTCCTCAGAAAACAGCAATTTGGAGGAAGTTGCCATTCCTTTCATAATCCAGGAACAAAGGTTGAATGTGCCTACTGGCTCGTTGCATCGAAACCTTTCACAGCACATATGCCATTTCTCAGCATCACTCACTTTCCAAATGGTTCCCTATTGCCTCAGCCTCAGCAACTGCCTTTTTCTGCATTTCTGATCGGGAGGTCCTAGGATTTCAGTGCCAATAGCACAAGCTAGAAAACTGGGTAGAATTGAATCACAGCCTGGAGAAGAATTCTATCGGCCAGCTGCTCTGATCAGTAGTTTTCTGTAGTTTCTTCAATCAATACCAGAGAAATGCTAAAGCAGTAACCTAACCAATAGTCTACATGCAATCTTCTGCTTCTCTCCCTTTACACACATTTACTACATGAACTACACTAATTACTACACATTTCAGGTCCATAGAGCTTGCCCCTGAGGGAAACAAAGCTGATGTAGAGGTTGGCACTCACCTTCCAGACGAGGAGGAACATTGCTACCTCCTGGGACAAAACATGCATTACACTCAAGAGATATATTACCTCAGTAGAACATGCTCAGAAACAATACTCACTCATTCATGAAGCTACTCTTTCTCTTGCCTCTGCTGAGAATTAAACCTGGGCACAAGCACACATAAGCCTATTGGAGACGTTATTCTTGCAAATTCTTCTTGTTATTTCTTTTGGTCGATTCCTTTTTTGGTTTCCAAGCATCTCTGATCTTTCAACAACATTCTTTTGAAGAGATCATCATCCTAAACTTCAGATGTTAGGCATATCACCTGGGCCTGTTTGATCTTGGTGGTTATGGCTTGAGATGTTCTTGAGTGTTCAATTTCTTCTCTGACCTTCCTGTATCTCTTTATCCTAATGGTTTTTACTTAAAGGTAGCTTTTGAGACTCCTTCCTCTTTATTTCTGTTTATGTGGGTGAACAATTTCCTCTGGTTCTCTTTTGTATCTTCTTCTTGAAAATGTTACCTCTCAAAACCTCCATTTAACTGAGCTCAAATTGTTTATATTTCAGTTACATCTTGATGAATTTATGAATATAATATATTAACTTCCTTCCTAAACAATTATGCTAAATATAATATTCACCTAATGTTTTTCTATTTTTTGAATGTTTCTTTCTTTAGCCTGGAAAAAATATCAAGCAGATTAAACCAGACCACTGTATATCCTACCACTGCAAAATTATGGAAAAGGGAGTTATTGAAAAAGTATCAGAAATTGAACGTTGCAACACAAATTGTAAATTGGTATGTACCACTTAATTCTTTCCAGACTTTTTTATAGCTCTTAGTTCTTCTTTTGGTATTCACAAATATTTTACTTATTTTATTTCACAAAGCTTGTGAAATTAGTCCAAATACAGAGTGAGAAAAAACCGTAAATTACATCTCTATCTTAATTTATAATACACAATGTATGTATATAGAATTAACCTTGCTTAATATAAAATTTCATTTCAGAAACTTTTTTTTTTTAATTTCTAAAACTTCATTCAAATATTGAGAAAGGAGAACTAATTCTACCAACTATCTCATTTCAATATCTTAATATTAATCATTTTTAAAATTATCAAAACAAATTCATAACAAGAAATTTGTTTATAATAAGTTGTTTCATTTTTGTTGAACAATCTTTATGAAAGAAACAATCACTCTTTTTCTGAATACAATGCACTTCAAAAACAATGATATATAAGGCAAAATCAAACTCATTTTTTCAAGGGTTGGAAATATGAGAAACCAGAATCCAAAGCAAGACAGTGTTGTGGAGAATGCAAACCTATAAGTTGTGTTCACAATGGAAACCTCTATCGTCAAGGTGAAAAATGGAAGTCATTAGATGATTGTACGGAATATTTCTGTTTACTTATTAATGGCACAGTAAGTTTTTAATATTTAGTGTAATGGACTAATACATTTATACTTTATACAAAATATAAACATAATGTTTGATTTCTAGGTACAAATTGACTCAGTGACTGAATCGTGTCCTGAGCTGCCAAAAGAAATGAAAGAAGATTATTTAATTGTTGAGAAGAAAGTTGAAGGTAAATGCTGTAAATCTCCTGAATTTAAGGGTTGCAAGTATAAAGGTGTTATTTACAAGGTGAGTTAAATGTGAAGTTAATTTAAAAAGTGTTACATTTCAGACATTGTAAAACTCAAATTAAAATTCTAATAGATTTGAAGTTTTAACATTATAACTTCCACAAAGTTCCTCTTTTTGCCCATTAAATTTTTATAGTTTTTGGGAAGTCTTTTTCAATATTTACAAAAATTATGTTACGTTAATAAAATAATATAAAATAAAATGATTAACTTTCAAAACATCCATAGATATTTGAAAATATTTTAATGTTAATGTATATGCAACCACTTAGCATTATTGTAACTTTATTGAGGTTATTCTTAGAACACAGTTAAATAATTATTGTTGAAGGGATAATTTATAAGCGCACAACACATTATTCTCCATTATTATGTTGACACAACAGTAACCTCTATCTTGAAATCACCTCCCTTAAGTATCAACAAGAACCAGTCAAGTCATTTGAACCAGTCAAATTACTGATTTCTGATAATTTTTGTCAGTTCAAGTAGAGTATGGTCAGTATAAGTATGTATATGAGTAGTATATGTATGAGTGGTGCTCTCAAAATCATTGTTACCGATATATTAGTAATATGTGCTATACATATTATTAAATGAACTGTAGTCTAAATATTATGGTTTATAAGCATTTACAAGTTTACACAAGTCCTGCAAAGATTTGTAGGAGGTTTAAAACATTGGCACATATAAATCTGAACGTAAGCATTATTCATTACAGCTACAAATAACTTTATGATTTCACACACATCTACAATATTCTGCATTCTTGGTGATTCTATTCAAACTTGTTCTCAAGAACAATAATTTACTCAATATTAAAAGCAAGATTGGTGCCTTCCTTTTAAGTCAAATTTTACCACATATTCACAATTGTAGAATACATTAGCTCTGAAGAATATTGTAATGCAATCATAGAGTTCTTACATTTTTGTATGTGTAAACTATATATACTTAAAAGTTGATAATGATAAAGTTGACGAATAATAAAAACTATAAATAATTAACAGACTTCAAAGCAAAGTCAAAAAATGCTACAGTATATTTCCCTAATAGGAGAACTTTCATTTCATGAAATTAAATGTTACAGGCTGAAGATACATGGACATCAACAGAAAACCCTTGTGCAAAATATACTTGTGAACTCTTATCTAGCGGTCAGCTCATTAAAAAGGAATCGATTGAAACATGTTCGACAAATTGCAGTCAAGTAAGCAGATTTTATTGTCTCAATGTAAATAGGAAAATTGAGAGATTTACTCAAATATGTGGAGTAGTAGAGATAGTAATGATAAGGAACCTACAAATAAGGTCACAAGGAACCAAAAGGAACACAAAGGAGATAATGTCAAAAAAATTACAGTTGTGCAGGTTTTGAAGAAAAAAAATAAAAAATACAGCACTATGGTGTTTATGTCATTTTTTACAGTACAACTAGCAGTACCCCTACCAAAGTGTAAAGAACTAGAGGTGCTACAGAATGTCACAGGCTTTCCCGTATTAGTTTTCTATTTCCTTTGGTTTCGGCTAGCTATTCGAACTTGCCGCATACCCCCTCTTGCCAACTGCCGTCTATTGCCGCCCAAAATACTTTTTTTTTTTAATTCTTAATTTTTTTTGTTTCCTATTTGTAGAAAGTAAATATTATTTTTAAAATATTAAAGAACAGTTAAACATCGTTCTGAATGGCACTTCTATTAAAAACATTTAGAGCTATTTTTAAGAAAATGGCGTTTAAGCGCTAAAGTAAATTCTAATTTAAAGCTCTTTTTCACAGATAATTTTTGAGTTTTCGAAAAACTTCATTAGAAGTCGAAGCACTTTAACTCACAAGTACAATAGTATTTACAAATTGCTGGAAATGTGCATATTAACGGCGTGAGATCTTTCAAAAAAATTACATTTGTGTAATTTTTGAACGAACAAAAAAATACCCCAAAATGAACTTTTACGTCACAGTTAAGAGTGCAATTAGCACTATCGGTTCGAAAAGTTTGAAGAAAATATTTAGAGCCTTTTTGCGAAAAGAAGGCCGAAATTTAAAATTTTTGTAACTTTCAAAAATTTAAAGTTAACAGTAAAATTCGGACCTACGCCATCTTTAGAATAATTTTTGAAAAAATTCTGGGAATAGTTTAGACGCTAGTGTTGTTGACGCTAGTGTTGAAAGATTGACAAACCAGTGGGGGGGGGGGGGTTACTATTCGGAGAGGGGTGCAAAAACGTGCCTTTCCGTTGAAATCCGGAAATCTGTTTTCCGCAGTATTACATAACTTACTCTATGCTATATTTCTCCGTATATACGTACGTATACGAGAAAGTAAAACTAATCTCAGTCGGGCCACACGAGAACCACCCACTTGCCTGCATCGCTCCCAGGCCGCCCCTCCTACCTCTTCAGGCGCGTTTACACTGCGCGAGCGAACGCTTCCGAACGAACAATTCTTCTCGTTCGCTCGGTCGGTGGCATAGAAGAGAGATACACTACTACTCTCTACTCTATGGTGGGAACCCGAGCGAATCGTGACGTTCGGACGAGATCGGTTGGCGGAAGCGAGCGAATGTTCGCTCGGTACGTTCGTTCCGTGTAAACGAATGCAGACGTCGAGCGAACACATTCGCCCGAAGCTGAGATGTTCGGGGCGCGGTCGAACATTTCAATTCTACCTGCGAACACGTTGGCGATTGGCGCCAATTTCAACAGTTTTGTGAGCATAAAGGCGAATTGTGCAGTTTGTAGTTTGCGAAGAAAAAAGTATGAAACTTTTAAATGATAAGTTCAAAGGTAGGGAAAAAGAAAGTAGGCCCGGCACGGGGGGAGGGGTATTGTAATTTGCCAAATATTACTTTACGTCGCGACTATTCATCCAATTTGAACGATTAATACGACGTTGGATTCAGGAAGCACCTCGCCATCGCGCTATATGCCCACATTTTTTTTCATTTATTCCTGGAACTATTAAAACAAATTCCACGTCTCATTTTTCAAATATTTTCTAAGGGGCTTCGTAGCGTAAATTCTGTATTAAATACAAATCAGAAGCCGTTTACTGAATGAAAATCAGACCACTTTTTCAGACGTTATTAATAAAATACATCTGGATTACTTTGGTGCTACTACGTGGCGACGACAAATTCAACTATACTGGGATTTTTATTTATTATGATCGCCAGTACTGGCGCGATCATGCAAGATCTAGCGGCACGATCGAGAAAGACTTGAAATACCGACAGATATTCCATCACGCCAAGAAATAAAACCCCAATATAGTGTCGGTATATTTAGCCACGAAGAAACTTGGGTCCCGGGATTGCAGTAATAAGGGTGTATATCATAATCGGATAACACGACATTTTACAACAAAAGCTCCGCATATTTAGGTGCCTTTCGCATTAAGTGAATTCGCATTAGTGAGGATTTATTGTAATATGGATTGTCGCTGGTTGAATGTCACTCAGAGTTGAGGAGTTTAAATTTTTTAACAAAACTTATCTTTAAATTTTGGGGAGGGGAGATCGGTGAAAGTAAGAGTAAGGGCCCCCCAAAGCTGTTAAAACTGCCCTGAATGTAGGGAGGCGTACGTGGCTTTGAAATAATACCATGAGGTATATGGGCACATTCATTTCCTTCAAAGCGCGCGGACACAGTTATTTTACAAGGACGCCGAGCGGTTGTGGTCACGTAACCGTAACCGTAAATTATTCTAATTTTTCTTTTACTTACTCTCGTTTCCTTTGATATGTGCTACATTTTGCATAACTAGATTTTTAGACACCCATGGCAAGCATAGACTTTGCGCCCCTGTCAGGTTACTTGAAATCAGAATTGTTATTTGTTTTAACTGAGTACCGGTATACTCTAAATAGCACCCCTTGTGAATAGCGCCCATGGTACGTGCCATGACTGCGATAGACACGCCTCCGTTTTTTATAATTATAAATAAACTTTCCCTATAATTTTCTATTTCAATTTTGTTTCCTAGTTTACAGACTTTATTGCATTGTGATACATTGGCTAGCGAATTCGCATGGCAACTTGAAACCAATAAATATCTCCACATTCTTTGCATGCCATTATACTGAAGATTTTTCCTCACGCCTCTGGTACGAATCAGTTGATGACGGTTTCATCCAATCGGAAGCTTGAACGTCACCGTAGCGACGCCACCACGGTGATGTTCAAGCTCCCAATCAGCTGATTCCTGCCAGGGACCGAGTTGGAAAAATCGCAGATAGATATAGATAGAATACAAAGTTCATTCTGAATTTAATTTTTTTTTCTTCATTGTTAAGGGATGGATATACAAGCCTTCATCTTCAGGTAGAATTTGTTGTGGTCGCTGTGAGCAAGTGGCTTGTGAGTTTGAAGGAAGAATATATGAACCTAATTCTACGTGGACATCACCCGATGGTTGCACCAATTACACTTGCGCTGTCACGGCCACTGGCAAGGTATTATCAATATCACTAAATGCTTCTGAATAACCTTATGTTATTAATTTAAATAAAATAAACGTGGCATTCACTATTTTAATAATAAAAGGGAAGAAACCTAATTACAAAAGTATTTAATTTTGGGAGAAATAATTATTGACTTTGTCTACTTTTAAAAAATGTATACTGACTTAATTAGATTGTATTTCTTGAATTCTTCCCGTAATTCTTCGAATATCAGTTTCTTTTATAAACAATATAATGAAACAGTTTTCAGCCTCATATCAATTAATTAATGATTGGTTTTCAAATAAGAGGTGTGTTGTTCAACACAATCTAACGACGCTTCAACAGCACATATGCTACTTTCTCGCATAATTTCTTACTTTTGCAATTCGAAAATTCAGAGAGTTGAACGAAAACTGGACCCGTGCCTTCTTTTAAGCCCGCTTTTTTTCCATCAGTGAAAAAAATTGTAAAGCAAAATTTGAAGCAGTTTTTGAGAAAACGAACTTGTTATTGATAGCATTAACTTCAAGCAAAAATTACGCGGAAACGAATTACATTTTCTAACTAGTGCTAAACAGCGTATACATTCTCGTACTATTTATTAATTTGTAATTTTCGAAAATTCAGAGTTCACCGCAAATGAGCCCTGTGCCATTCTATTAAGCGTTCCTTATTCTACCCGTGGGCAAAAAATGGAGATGTTTCTGAGAATTTTTTTTAAAACTCACATTAATTTCAAGCACAAATTACGCAAAAACTTCTTTGCAAAAAAAAAAATTAAACACGCTCTTTTTTAAAGAACAGATTTTGTATAAAACAAAAATCACTATTTTCAATTTTGTAATTTTTAAATGTTAAATTTTACAATTGTCGAAAAAAACGAGTCCGCCGGAAATGAGGTAAGCGCCCATTTTTACCGTTTTTTAATATATGAGGCGAAAATTTAAAGAAAACATTTCGAGACGATGAGGAAAAAATTGTTTTTAAAAATTGCCTATATTTCATGCAAAATTACATGAAAACTATTCATACTTTCGAAAATTTGTAAATGGTCTTATTTCAAGATGTCTTTAATGAACATATTTTCTTAAGAGAGCAGAAACTACCTTCATTGTTGTAGTTGGAAGAAATTGCTGAAAAAAACTGAACTTTTGCAATTTCAACGAAAATGAGACTTGCTTCATGCCCTTAAGCGCTCTTTACTATATCCAAGGACGAAGTTAAATAAAAAACAAACAAACGTGGAACTTTTTTGAGAAACATTTGAAAATTAAAATTTGTTCATGTAAAGTATCCTCCAAAATCAAAATACTTGTATCGGTTTCACACTCAGAGGGCCTTGAGTTCATTTACTTCATTTGGGAACATCAATTTTGGAGAAAATCGGTTGAACGGTTTAAGCGCCAGCGTTGCCAACGGACAGACATGTTTTGCCGTCAATCAATTTTTTGGTAACAAGGACCCATGAAACATGGATTCCGACTTCACAACGAGTTAGAGGAATTAATTTACTATACACAGGAACAAGATTTATCAATTTTTTCGTTACCAGGGACCGGCAATACCGCCGTTTCCGGCGCACGATTAGAATACGTTCTCATTGTGCGACGTAAGGGCGAGGAAGTAAAAATTGTGCATGACCTTCTTCAAAGAACTGAGTTTGTAGTTTTGAAATGTTAAAATTTTACATTTTTCGAAATTCAGAGTTCGGTGGAACTCAGACTAAAAAGCTATTTTTACACCGTACTCTAATATACACGTAGAGAAAAAAATTGGAGTTTTTGAGAAAATAATTTTAAAAATTGCCTATACTACACCCAAAATTTTGCGAAAACTGTCATATTTTCAAAAGAATATATAACGTAGTTATAGGAAGGCGCCGGAAAAAAAAAACTTTTGCATTTTCGAAAAATACGGGATTTTAACAAACACCAGACCTGCACAATTATCCGGAGTGCCCTTTTTACTATCCGAGAGCAAATGTTAATCCAAAAATTTGGAACCATGTTTTGGAAAATATAAACAAATGGTTGGAACTTCGTATAAAGTACTCCCAAAATTAAAATATCCGTTTCAAACTCAGAGGGCATCGGCTGAAAAAATGAAAATCGGCTGAATAGCTGAAGCGCTAGTTCACAATAGGACTAATGTTTTGCAGTCAATCGATTTTTCGATATCGAGGATTCACACAACACGAATTCTGACTACACAATGTATTAGAGGAAGCAATGTACAATATACATACAGAAACAAGATTTATTCACTTTGTCGTTACCAGGACTCGACAAAACGATTTTCTCTCGAAAATTCGCCTTTTTCCGGCGCACGATTACTATACTTTCTCTTCTGACAAAGCAAGCTCACGTGCAAGGCACAATAGTAGCATGTTAAATGGTTTTGCCTCCTCTAAAAAATATTTTGGGTTTCATGAAGCAGAGGAGATCCAACAATATTCTTGCTCATCAGCTAACTGAGATTTGTACTATATTTACAGTATCAAATAGAAAGTACTTCTGAACTATGTCCATCTGAGCTCCAGTTGAGTTCATGTCCTAAAGATAAAATTTACCAGGATAAATGCTGCAGAAGATGTATGCCCTCTCCAGAACCATCAAGTAAGTTTTCTATTACCTTTGATAAGAATTAATCAAACATTTGCCAAAAACAAATTGGGGAAAAAAATTCTTAATTTTACAATGTAAATCTGGAATAGTCAATCATGTCATGCATGCATAACATTGGTTTCAAGCAAGATAATATACATCTATTAAACAATTTAAAGTACCGAATTGGGAGTTGATGTAGCTCATTGAAACACAAATGCCTTGAATTTATTTTTATTATATAATTATAAATACTAATATTCTTTATATTTCTAAAAATAATATCTTCTGCAAACAAAAATAAATGATTGTTGAGAATTCTTGTAATTTCTCAAAAGTTAAAAAAAAAAAAATCAAAAAACTGCTTTTATTTAAATTTGAAGATGGTAAAACACTATGACCTCTAGCAACTGAATTGGGTAGAAGTAACATTTGCCAATTGACACTGATCTTGTATTTTGTGATCACTCTCATTCACAACATTTACAATAATTGCAATATTAAAGAACAAACACTGTAATAAATGCATTATAATTAGAGTCATCTTTTTTTATGTCTTCTATGATGGAATTACCGTCTGAGCAGTAATGAAAGTGAACTCTTTTACTGTCTTCAACCATTTTTTTCTTTATTGCAATACATTTTTCAATTTTTCTTGGACTTTCTAAAATTTAGTGTAAGGCATCATAGCCTTTTGTAGAGACCAGCACTTTTAAGAATAAGTTTACGACCTTCAGTGAATGTCTAAAGTGAAAGAATACAAACTTGTTTGGTTTTTAATAACATTCTCATTGTATACGAAAGTCTTATTGGACAACTGGTAACAGATATTGTTAGGTCTTTTCCAGCATGGAAATGTTGCTGGCATTTGTATGGATCTGTGAGAGAGACTAAGCATATTCAACTTCTGTAAATGTTTCATTTAAAATCATTCAACCTTCTAAATTTATTATTAAAACTAATTATTTTATTAATTAATTAAACTTTATTATTCTAACTAAAAATATTAGCAAATACTATTAGATAGAATAATATCAATTCATGTAAAACCACCATTTTATACTATTAATAAAACATCACACTTTTACTAATATTAAACAAAAGAGACTAAGATAAAACACAAAGGACGTGTGTTTTGGTGTAGTGGCCTTTCTTCCAATATTTTTAAATTACATTTTTCAATTAGGATACATATATCATCAGCAAAGTGCAAATATTCACTAATTAGCTATTACATTATCACAATCTGAACCATTACCACCTAGAATGTTTAGGCCCATAGAAACATGGCCACTCAACAAAACACTAATTTAGTGGGGTTGCAGAAGGTATCCTGGGATATCTGAAACCACAAGAATAACAGAAAGGCCACCACTTGGTGAACAATGCAGAACAGTTTACAAAGAACAATTTTTGAATTGACAAAGGTGGCCCAAGAATATTCCATGAAGATAGCAGTTCAGAAAACAAAAGTTATGACAATACCAGGCAAGGAACTAAGGAGAGCCAAAATAGTAATAAGTGGAAAATTAGTAGAACAAGTAAAAAAATGTTCACACCTTGGAAATATCATAAGTGTATACAATCAAACTCAGAAAGACATAAAAAACAAACTTACAGCTACAATAGAATAGCTAAAAGTTACAATAGAATATGTGGAACAGTTAAGAGACACTTTGGCATAGACATGGACCTGAAAACAAAACTGAAACTCTACAGTATAGCTGCTAAACCTAGAATCATGTATGGCTCTGAAACATGAGAAATTAAAGAGAGAAAGAGAGGCGAACAAATTTACAGGTAGAACTTATGAGATTTCTAAGACACCTCATGGGAATTACAAGAAGAAACAGACTGAGAAATAAAGACATCAGAAAGAAACTGAAAACCAAATGTTTAGTACAAGAGACAGAACAGTCTCAAAGGAGATGGAAAGATCATTTACCGAGAATGAACAACAAGAGATTTCCAAAATGAATCTGTAAGTACAAACCAGTGATAAAGGGATCAGAGATAGAGGGAGCCCACTAAAGAGGTGGCAAAAGCAGAAACACTTGCAAGACTAAGAATCTACCAAGAATACTGTAATAAACCAATGGAAACAGGCTGTAAAGCCTAATTTCTGATTGGCTCATGATGTTGATGATACAAGACAGTGGTGAAGTGGTTGTAACTCACTTCTAAAATTTTAACCTCTAATGTTCATTAGGTTTCATATCAGACTATTTGGAGGCCAAGCGATTAATGTAATTTCACAAATAATGTTCCACGAAGCAATCCTTTACAATCCTGGCAGTGTAGCACAACACATTGTTCTGTCAGAAGTTGCCATTACTGGCAGGAAATACTGTCAGCATGAACAAACGTACATTGCCCCCTAATAACATCCAGAAACCAGTTATACTAAAGCTGTCAAGGATTGTATCAGACTTCAGTGCTGCCACAAACTATTATTCAATTCCTAGTATCTCCTTCCGATTTGTCTCCACTCAATAGTGCAAGCTGGTGTTGTAGCCTTCAATGATAACTAACGTCTGTTGTTGATGTTGATGTGATGTGATGAACCAGAAACCAGCATTCATAAGACCAGGTGATCCTTTACTAATTATCATGATGACTTTCTGTCCACTTCTCATGTTGCTGTTGGTAGTGTGCAGTGAGTAAAGAAGCAAAAGAGCCTGCAACAACACTGAAATGTTCAATGGGCTGAAAAACATGGTCTTGGGTACCAATATTGTATCTATGTGTGATTTTTTGAACAGCAGGCCTACAGTCAAGCCTTCAGTGGCTCGTTGGTTAGCGCGCTTGCTTTCCTTGGCACAACCCCGGGTTTGATTCCCGGCTGGGGCAAAATTGCAACGGTGCAATTTCCTTACAAATTTCCAGTATCTGCAGTAATTATTGTGTGACGATGCGAAAGCCCACCCACAAGTAAAGAAGACCAGTATATTCGGTGAAGGGATGTCTTCATTCTAACCATGCAAACCCCTTATCCCAGTCAAGATACTGGACCACCGCAGGCTGGCCATGGCCCGTTTCAGGCTGTTGAGCCAACGCAGGTCTAGAGTTGTTCCAAACCAGGTGCAACAGCCTCTGCTATCAACATCAATGCTCTGTTGCCAAGTATGGATGACTGACATTTTTTTGCTTCTCTAATTTGAACCTATTCTGATACATGCTCACAAAAGCAGCACAAGAGAATAAAACAAGTTGGAGATGTGTTTGTACCAAAATACTGCACATTCACATCTGACCTCTGTCAAACTTAAATAGACTACATGCTTTCCCTTTTTTTGATGCTGTAAATTCTTCTGACACTTTAAGAGTGAACTTATGAAGTTGCTCTAGGTAAATCATATTACCAGTATGTTACGTGTGTTCCAGATTTTCTTTTTTTCTTTTTTTTCTTTTTTTTTTTCATAAATAGTGTTTCTTTTAACAATGTCAATTTCTGTCAATTTCAGTTAAAGAATGTCAATTAAAGGGAATAACAGCATCTGATAGCTTTATCATCAAAGAGAAACATGGCAAGCATGAGGAATGTATAAATACACTTCAAGATGGATTTGCAGAATGTCAAGGAGCATGTTATTCTGAAACAAAATACAGTTCAGGTATGTTTTTACTTCTACATATTTTGATACCAATAGTTTATTCTGTAAATATACATTTCTTATGGTATTGAAATTATTGTAAATTAACTCTTAACATCACCATCAAAAATATAAATAACTGACCTAAATCGGTTCGCAACTTTACTTCAAAAACATCACAAATGGTTTCTAAAAATTAACTAACAAGGAGATACTTTGTACATCATCAAATAATATGTATTTTCAGGCTACAAAAGACCCAATATTTCAAAATGTATATGGTTATACCATCAATAAACCTTTCATTTCTGAGATATTAGGTATTCTATATTACATAATACCTCATGTACATAATCAGCCAGGTCTACATGCCTGGAGCTCATGTGTTTAGGCATTAGTCAGTCACTCTCATAATACAGGTATGAATTACCTGTTCACTTCTTTTTCGTATTGCTAATTGATTATGGTCATTATCATTTTTTTCTAACCATTTTCAAAACTACAGGATGTACTTTCTTGCCTCGCTAAGGGTTATATAAAATTATAAATGGTCAATTTCTGTACCTTATTCACATGTTTCAGTCATCACTTGCAAAACTCATTACCAATTGTTGCAAATTGGGCGTGAAAACATAAGCTAATAAATCACTGCACATTCAACAATCCAAAACACTGTTCCTTCAACCAGAAACACTATCCAACCACAAGAAGAAATTCTGAGAATTTCAAATCCCTGTTTTGTGGTGTTCTTGTGTTGCAATCTGAAACCTTCAGAATAATTCTAGCAAAAGAAAAGTGCAGGAAATTAGAATCTGCAATTTTAAAAATGCTAAGTTATGCTGAACTACTAATATTAAAAAAAAAAGAAGAAAAAAAGTACATGACTCTTTTTAAAGGACTGTTTTTTAAGAACATTTCATTTTTTTAAATTTATATCATCAATATTGTTCTTTTATTGTAGTTGTTTACAATTTTGAAAATACAGGAAGTTCACCATTTTCTTTACCATTATTTACTACATACAAAGAACAAGTGGTGCTTTAAAATTTCCATACTTTCTCGCATTATTACTAATTGCTCCACTATGTTATATTACTACATATACCTGCAAAAGAGTTTTCAACAAGAAAAAATTTCTGCGCTCTGAGACTCAAATGCAAAGTCTCATAGTTAACTTGCTGTCACTCATACCACTACCCCACAGAAGCGCCATATGGGGCCAAACTCTGGCAGATGCATGAAAATGTTATGGGCTTGCTTCATGTTAAAAACACTCAAAAATCAAAACATCCGTTTGAAACTCCCAAAGCCTCAAGTTGATTGGAAAATATCAATTTTGGAGAAAATCGGCTAAACGGTTTAACTGCTAGTGTTGACTGCACGTTGACTACACATTGACTAACAGACAGATGTTTTGTAATTTTTGAAAAAACGAAAAGATAGCCGCAATGGTACAAACACCATATTTTTTACTGTCCCATTTACATATGAGAAGAAGAAAAAGAAAGAAAGAAAAAAAATTGGAGCAGTTTTAGAAAAAAAATTGTATTTTTTTTACTTGCCTATATTTGGGGCAAATTTATATGAAAACTACTCACATTTACAAAAATTTAAGATTAACTTATTTGAAGATCTGTCTTTAAGGAACAGATTTCATTAAGGAAAAAAAATCGTCAATATTATAGTTGTAGGAAGTCACCCTCAAAAAATTGTACTTTTGCAACTTCCAATCAAATATATGATTTCATTAGACCATTCTCTTAAGCATCCTTTATGCTATCCAAAGCCAAAGTTTGATCAAAAAATTGTGTTCCATTTTTGAGAAAATTTTGAAAATGTTTTTGGGGTTTCATGTAGTGTCTTCAAAAATCATAATATCCTTTTGAAACTCTCTAATCCTCGAGTTCATGCAAATCGATTGGGGATTATCAATTTTGAAGAAAATCCGCTGAATGGTTTAGACGGTAGCACTCTCCACAGACTGACAGACAAGACTTATGCAGTCAATCAATTTTTTCTGTATTAAGAACCCTCAACACATGGATTCTGGCTGCACTACATGTTAGGGGAATTTTTTTCTATATTTAGCAACATGATTTATTCATTTTTTCGTTACCAGGACCCAACAATGAGTTTTTCTGCCAAAAAATCAGACTATTTTGCTATCCTTAGTAAGGCGAGTAAGTAATAATATTAGTAATCATTAGGAATATTTTAGTTGGTCCCATGGGTAATGTTTATAATGTTTATTTACAATCTAGAAGGTAAAAGTCCAGTAAATAATTTATAGATATGCACATCTGATTTCCCAAAGAGTTTTACAGAAACATAATCTGCAAACCTTTCTGTTTTCCATCTTTAATACCTTTAAATAGAAACGAGCTCATTTCCTATCCAGCAGTGATATATTTCCAAGGTTTCCAATATTCATTGTTCAATATTTTATGGGGTTTCTTGTTTTGTAACATTTGCAATTTTTGAAAATTCGTAGAGTTCTGGAGAAAATGAGACCTGTGCCATTTTCAAAGGCATCCAAAAATTTGAAGCTCTTTTTGAGAAAATGTTTAAGCTTCATGCAAGTATCCCCCCAAAAAATATCCATTTCAAATTCACATGAACTAGAGTTTAAGTAGATTACAGAATAACAATTTTGTACTTATATAAGAATACTTACTTCTATAACAGGGGGGAAAAAAGCCATTTTTGAGAGAAAATATTGAAAAATTCTACAAAAAATGTAAAGTAGTACTCCTAAAGATGGAAAGAGCCTTTCCTGCCTTTTATTTTCCAATTGTTTTAGTTTTACTCCATATATAAGAAAAACGGTGAATGAAACAGTTGTCTCCCAAAGAACAATTTTTCATCTTCTAATGTATAAAAAAAGGAATTACAGAAACATAATATTACAGTACAAAAAGAATGAACAAAAATGGGGGATGGAAGAAACTGACTAACTTATATTTAAAAAAAAAAATTTTCCACTTGCTTTACGTTGGCAGCCCAATCTATCTTTCCACCCCAACTCAGCCTTGCACTAGTACTAAAACATCACAGTATGACTGCAGGAAAAATTGCTAATATCTCAGAAATGAAAGGTTATTGGTGATTGATACAGTGTGGCATACACTTTTATTTCCTGAGAACACATTTTATCAGTGATATGCAGAGTTAAGGTATTCTTGTAAGCAGCATGTACGTAATACACTAATGTTATATGTGTAGATATTATACGACATGTGTATCACAATTAATTTATCATTTTACTTTCTCTTAATAATCATTTTACATATTTTCCTTACTCCTCCCATAAGATCTCTGAAATACAATTCATGATAGTTAATATTTGATTGGGTTGGAGCAGTAACACAATGCACTGGCAATAGCAAGCTTCCTGCTATTCATAAATGTTTTGGAGGAAGTGTGTCATATCTTGTTATATTTCCAAGCTCTTCATTAATAGGAACATTTTTCTACAGCTCAAAATCATTGCTGTCTGTAAAGGTTTAATAATTTTCAGGATTGGACACGTATGTTAACTCCTGCAACTGCTGTCAACCAGCTTCACTCACTCCAGTGAATGTTTCTATGCAGTGTGCAGATGGCTATAAATATAACAAAACAATAAAGGTGCCTTCTGCCTGTAAATGCCTTGAATGTAGAGAGATGCCTGCGGCACCAAGAAAACAGCGACCTGTATATTAACATAACTAAAAATGAGAAAGCTTTTGCTGTATAATGAATTTCAAAAGAGGATGTGTACTTCATTACTTCAAATAAAGAGTTCATAAATAACAGATACTTTATTTTCAAAATCTTCACTGACATCAAGAGAAAATACTTTCAAGATAATTTGTTCATTTGGTAATAAAAGTCAAGTGATCACAATAATGTTTCCATAAGCATAAATTAAAATGAAATAATACTCTACAGTAATAACAACAACCACATTTTTTAAGCCAAATTTTCAGAAGATGGAACTGTATCTACAGTCTCTTTTTTCTTTTTAACAACCTCCACAAGGTGTTTATATCGCAGCATACATTCATCCTGTAAAGTAGATTAAAAACAACTATCAGATAAAATTTTGAAATATAATTCAATAATTGGGAGTACTCTAACCAATACCATTTATCATGCAATCCAGTCAGTATATCATCCAGGTCCAAATACTCAAATGGCAAAAGGTTTAATGTTCACCAAATGTCACTATGGTATATCAACAGAATCTGTCTTTCCTTGAAATGCAGATGCCATCATCTACCAATAATTGTCTTTGCAAGTATTTTCATAAGAAGTACAGATGTTTCCCTACAACATTACCAACCTTACCACAACCTGCCTATGAGAAGACACAAAATGTAAGTCTCCTAAGTTATCAAATAAAAGCATTATATTTTAAAATATTCTGGAGAAGAATTTTTTTTTCTAGTGTGTCTTGCAAGAGCTGAGTTCTAAGTCATATAGTATCTGCACCTCATACAGATATCACCTTTTTATTCCCTGTTGCCATTTATGCATGCAGTACTGAATGGCTGCTATAGGTAAGCAAAAGGTACTCTCTGTAAGTACAGCATAAGAAAATCAATTAGCTAACCTTAGTCTTTCCAGGAACACATTTGGCAATTTTTTCCCATCGATCCGTGGTTCCCCCTTTAGGATATTTAGTGAGAGCGGCTTCTAGAGCTTTCTGTTGTGGTTGACTCCAGCCTGATGTGTCATTGACATTTAGGTTATCCTCCATTTTTGAAGCTCGTGTTTTTACTTTACGAGGTTTGTCTTCTTCATTTTCTGGAGAAACTGGTCCCTCTTCATTTTGACGAATCATTCGGTAGCCATCTTCTTTCACTTTCTTGGCCATGTGTGTCACCTCTGCTACAGGCCGTTGCATAGTATGAGATATTTTTTCCCATCTTGAAGCACTTCCAGGGGGGAACTTTTTAACCAAGCGCACAAGTTCTGCCAAATCATCATCAGTCCACAACCCTCCTGATACTGGGAGAGGACTACTTGAATCCTCAATCTGTTCTTGATCTTTCTGACTACTAACATAAGATGGCTCCCAACTACTACTATTTGCAAGAAGAGTAGCTTTTCCTTTACGCCTCCTTGGTACTTTGTGTTCAATTTCTACAACGTCTTCTTCTTCTTCAGACCTACAATAAATAATACTTATTCTCGTTACCAAAAATATGATGAGCCAATAAAAGAACATCAAAAATACATCCATAAATCTGATTATAGGATCACATTTTCAAGTAATATTGATAATTTATCAAAAAAACTGGAAATAGTTTACATAATAAAATGCACCAAAGTAGTAATCTATTTTTTTCTTAATTAGCGACAATGAAAGATAACTCATTTCTTTATACTAAATCTTATATCTTTATTATAATTACATCTTCTTTATACAATATGACTCTTCAGGACTTGATGCATTCCCATCCTAAGATTATATTATTAATAATACCTACTTAATAAATGATTTACTAAATAAATACATTACTATAAGTCTAGTTTAATGTTATTTGATTAATAAAACTAATTAGAGAAAAAACTGATTATTACTGTCAATTCTAATTTATGGCAAAAGAGGTAAAATAAAAATTGTATTCACATGAAAGATAGGCCTCTGTAGCAATAATAATAATAATAATAATAATAATAATAATAACAACAATAACAATGCAGATCTGATGGCCGAGATCGCTCAGGCAATAGTGCCGTAGTGGTTTCGGACCAGAAGATCACTGTTCGTGTCCCGCCTCGGGCATGGGTATATTAGTGTATGTGTGTAGGAGTGTGTCGTTCTTTCACCTCTCATTATGATCATCATTTCATCTTCCATACCCCCAGGGCTAACAATCCTGGGGAATAAAAATCTGACTCAGCTAAATGCTGGTCCACAATTAAAAGTTACATGCACCTGCCACAGCGAAAATGATGCTGAGGCACAATAAATGCAGGTTGCATGCATGTGTGGTCCTAGTCGGCCTATTTGCAAAATAATAATAATAATAATAATAATAATAATAATAATAATAATAATAATAATAATATTTATTTGTCATTAATTATTGTTTCAAGACAATGCAAGTAAATTAGTCTTAGCATGGCACTATTGTACTACAATACTTATTTAAAAAAGAAACATTACAGATAGGGCAAGAAGGGATGAGAAAAACCTCAAACCTAGCATAATGGTGCCAACTAAGACATGGTTGAATCCCAACATTTCAGACTCAATGATCACCATCCAGAGTTATCATCACTACCATAAAGATAGTCATCATTTTGGGGGCAGTTTTGTCAAAAATATTGCACTCAAAAAAAATATTGTGTTGATGGCAGTGTAAAGGAGGGAAGATTTGTATAATCTAAATCAGAAATAAATTTTATTAGAAAGTGCATGTGGAAAGCTACACCAATCTTCGATTACATCTACAGACCTTCAACATCAAAAACTGGTACCATATCAATTTAGCCCAGCACACCCTATGAAAAGCTAGCAATTAATCAACTTATCTGGAGGATTTCAATTTCACAAATCTTATGTAGCCACATCCCGACTCTCACACTTCATCTCTTGTGAACTGTGATTTTACAGACAAGAAACTAGAGAGATGACTGTCAGGAGGTTAAAAATGCCCAATGGCAAAATTAGTCACAAAAGGTCAAAAACAAAAGAAATGGAAGGAATGATGGGACGTATTTTTCACAAGGGACTGATTTAAGAATGATTTCAGATTCTGGAAGGGACAAAGGTCTGATTAATTTCAGATTTTGCGGGATGTCATTGAATTTCATTGTTGATTAAATTAGTTTTATTGGGCACGAAGAAGCCCAAGTTTAACTTCATTAATTACTTTTCAAAGGGCAAGCCTGTTTTAAATTCAATGTTGTGTTTCATAATTTGGGAATAGGACGTGTAGAAAACACGAAGAATATGTATTGTGATAGAAATGTCCACTCATGATGTTATCACATGTTAGTGTAAATAGTTTCTTTAGTAGTCGTAATTTAGTTGATTTTATTTAGTTATGTTCAGGAATTTATGTATTAATATTGTTATAATCATTTATTTAAATACGTGGGAATGTGATTTAAAAGGTCATATTTGGATAGGGAGGCTACGTAAGATTGTATTAGGAATAACTTGAAGAAAAGAAGATTCCCGGGAGGACTTTCGAGATTTTACCATACCAGGACTTCAAATCATCGGAGTGGCACGAACATCAAGATATTGGAATGTAAGATTCCTGATAAAGACAACAAATTTTGGTCAAGAATATATCAAATATTAACATGGCAAATAAAGAAGTCTGAACTAATAAGTTTATCTTGTTCAAATGCACACAAAATTAATCAAAAAGCTCTTTAAAAACCAAGGTTTAAAAAGTTTAATTAATATTAATGATATAATTCAAAATTATTATTACTAAAGCTTCAGAGAATATTACTAAATGTACTTCTGATATTAAAATCTCAACAATAAGGTGAAACCAATTAACCAAATTTTTTGCATAGGAAGGAGGTGAAAAATTCTTATCACAATTAAAATTAAATTGCATACTTCAATACCGTTGTTAATTTATCATTGAATGGCTGACTTATAGAATAATCCAAACCCGCAACCTAATTCCAATTATCAGAATAACTTAAGTCTGTACTGGACAATTTGTCAACCTGCGTGAGCAAATGTAAGAATGTAAATCAGCCAAGCCCAAATAATGGTCACCAATTCTTTTCAATATTGAAGAAACAAATAAATTAAAAAATCATTCAAACGATACCTTATTTATGTATATCCCCATAAATAATAACAAAAGATTGGAATGTAATTTAACTTAAGTTATAGTAACTAGTGGTGCTACAAGGGCACATACTTGGTAAACTGCATTAATGTGATAATTTAGTTATTTCCAAAAATTCAGCGTTTTTCGATGGATGATTACAATACTTACATACGTAATGACATGAAAGTAACAAGAGATGATATTGTAACGAAAACACTAGCACTATTATAAGTTCACCACTGAGTTTCCGGGTTCGATTCCCATAGAATCCCCATAGAACCTCATGTGAAATTTGTTACAACAAAACTAGTTTGCCTGCTTCACAGGGGCTAGTCTCAACCTGTGAAGAGTCCTAAACCTTACCCCTATCCATATTCCTTCCCAATTCTGGCTGATAACACAGGGCATGTGCGAGACGCAAGCGCGAAGACGCTGCCTATTGGTGATTCCCTGACTTGACTGCAAGTGAAGTAACTAGATTACCCAGCAACCCCTAGAGGGTACTGAGTCATTAATAAGGGAGGATTACTCTATGGTGTACTCAATGCTCCTTAAGGAGCAAGATGGGTTGAGTGTATATAGACAGAACAAATTAAGTTATAAAAAATAAAAAGCAATACTTCTTGCAGGTTTTTGGGAATTTATTTTTAAAAATACTGCATATGGATGAAACTTAAATGAAAGCTGCTCTGCAATTTATTGGTAGTCAACAATCAGGGTTGTCATCCTCGTGAAAAATTACAGTGACGTTACATTTAGGTATTGAAATTTAAGCAATGCCACCTACATCGATTTATTTAGGTAGCTTTGGTTTAATTTCTGATCACTGATAGTCTAAAAAGAAAAAAAGGATACCTAGTGTTCAATTTTTAAGAAAATCCTTTAAATGTTTGTGCATTTGCTTCCATTTTGTAACAGGCCTTTTTATTGCTTTGGGTACAAAACAAACAGTGCTGTAACAGCATATAATTTCTAGCATAATTTGAAATCGTTATTTTAATACTACAATATTCCAACCCGCAAAAGTATTTGCAACCCACAAAAGTGTTACCATGCTCGGATTCTAATTCAAGATACTTAGATTTAGAAAGAAATTTTAGTAAACACTAAGCCAACTAAGATGGTTTAACAACTTTCCCAAAACTTTAAAAACAAAGTGGAATATTTGCATATTTTTGAAAATTCAGAGGTTTTAATGGCATCAGGCAAGATAAAAAAGTTAAGAAAATTTTTCCTTATATGCAAAAATCTTGTTTATGTAATTTTTTAAATCAAATATTTCAAAAAATTTTTAAATCACAAATTTATTAAATTTTTTCACTCAAATTATGTGAAACCTACTTTACTGATGTTACTGATGATATTATTTAAAATTTTAACTGTTAAGATCAGATTTTATTAAGAAATAAAATCTCTACCTTCAATACTGTAGTTCTAGGAAAATAAAAAAAACATTTTAAACTTAGGGGGTCATCCATAAATTACATAATGCTAAAGAGGGGGGAGGAGATTTGACGCACCATTGTGCCACATTATATAGGGGTGGGGGTATTATTTCAATGTTATGTAACATTAACATTTTTTTTTTTTAACCGTTTTCAATATTGACTGAAATTATTCCTTTCTTTGAGTCTTGTACTAAAACATTAAAATATTAACTGATTACGGCATATGCACTGCTAGAGATCAAACATTCTCACTTATGCATCCTTCCTTTACTAACAACCGGCCTCCAATCTTATTGTTACGTGAAGTCAGCATCCCCAACTAATTTCTGCTTTAACTATCATTCATTTTAATATGCAAGTAAAACAAATAAAAACTGTTTTTACTGTGCTATAATTTATATTCATTTCTTGCATTTACAAACGAGGTGAAGTGGTATGGCAAGCATTACATAATTATTTAGGAAGGTCCAAGCGTGCATTTTGGGTGTGTTACAGGGGGGAGAGGGGGCATTTAAAAAACACTAAATTTGTGTTACATAATTTATGGATGGCCCATTATGCAATTTTCGAAAATTCACAGAGTGAAATTAAACTCTGTTGGCAAATTGCTATTTTTCACCGCAGCACTACATAACTTTTGCTAAACCATGTAGTAGATGGCAAGAAAGTAAATGTTTCTACAAAAGGGTTCTGTTATATTAAATCTAAAATCTTACCACTGTTCTTGTTCTTCCTTCTGGTGTCTGCTATATATATACCCATAAATACATCCCACAATATGTGGACAAAGAGTGATCACAAACCATAAAAATCTTGGAAGTTGAAATGGTAATGTATCCCACACTCTGCAACACACAATTTCTTTAATCACACATTGCTGCTCACAAACACACAAAACACAAGAGCAAGATATCTAACCTGGGTGTAGGAATTTGTACAGGTACTGTTTCTGGAATGGCAGGACCATCATATTTTCCTTTCCTTTGTTTTTTCTGTAGCTTCTTCATTTTTGCTTCCCATAACTGCTCCTACATAAAAAAATGTTAACTTCGTATTTAACTTTTCAGTTCTCCTATATATCTGACTGTGAGAGTTGTGTGTGAGAGCTGTCAGCAGGGATAACTACCACATATTTTATTGACTTAAATTCTCACACTTCTTTTTAGCCATAAAATCCTTAAAGAGTTCAATTGTAGATACTGTTAAGATAAAAAAACCCAATTTCACAGGGTGCACAGTAAATGATTTGTTCAAAACTAGGTATGAATTTTGGACACTTTATTCATATAATCAAACAGGAAACTAATAGGTGTATCTTTAAATGATTCTAGATTAAAATACTACATTACTAATAAGCATTGGCAAAGTATTTATTTATTACAATTAGCCCCACGCCAAATTTTTCCCTCCCCCTGCTCCCACCAAATTGGCCTTTTCCCCATGCTCTGCCTGTCTCCCATGCCCACTTCACCTGCCCACCCTGGCAGTAATGTCATTGCCTAGATGTTGCATTGCTTCTAGCTAACTTAAATGTTGGGATGAAACTGGGGTAACATTTTTGACTCCAAACCTTTGACTCCCAACTCTATGACTTTCCTTTGGCTTCTCAAAAGGTTGTTCAAAATTTGCAGCAAACTGCTGCAGTGGTTCAAATGTTGTGCACTCTCTCTCTCACACACACACACACACACACACACACACACACACACACACACACACACAAACATATTCATCTATTTTTGTACATTAAGGAACATTTACAGGTGGAATGATAAAATGTGAGAGAAAATGAGGTTAAAAGAATCAACACTTACCAAAGTGTACTTCTTTTCCAAATACGCAGCCCATGCCACAACATATTGACCAACCGTCACTATAATAAACAGAATGAGTGACATCTCTGCCAGTCCCATCTTCCGCACACGGCGGTAATAAAATGCCACATGTCTCCAATCAGGTAGGCCATTTTGTAAGACTAAATTGTACCGAGATCTTTTATTATTATCTCGAAGAACGTCATACACTGCAACCAACTATAATGTTTAATTATTGTCAGTGGTGTTGGAATGAATGAATTTATACAACTCTACAAAAATTGATCACATTTGCATCTAACAGACATGCTAAGTTTGAGATCTTATTTGGCATAAAAAGAAATAACTGTAGGTTATGAGAAGAACAATTGAGCATGTTTTCTTGGGCTCTGGAATCCTTTCCCCTGCTATTTACTATACCAAATTAAATTATAACTAAAGGTAGAACAACAGTGAGCAAAATTTGATAACAAGAAATATTCTAATATACTCACTGAAGAAAATCTCCTCTACTAAAATATGCCATCAGAGTCTCTACTTCAAGAAATCAAAAAATAAGCAATGATATATTCCCCAAATTTGTAAGCACAAATAATGATTATCTATGGACTGGACTCATCTATAAAGAAGTGAAGTAATATACGGAAGAATTAGGGTTTGTAATGCCAAAGATGAAAAGAGCGAAATACTCCTGCATTCCACCATGGATTATATCCAACATTAAGAGCGACTCAACCTCTGTGAACATAAAAAAAAGTTTACCCCAATGATCGAAAAAAAAATTTGAAGAAACAAGACTAAAATACATAGATTACTATCATATTTACACCTATGGTGGAAAGAATAATAATGATGCTGGATCTGCCATATATTATTGTAGTAATAGTTTAAATTATACTCTCTATTCTTTAATATCAGTTGAAACAAGCAGAATTACATACCATATTAGCCAAGAAACAAATTTCTAATAATTTCATTAACACAGAAAATCATGTTATATTTACTGATTCATTATATATTTTGGAATACATTAACAAGAAAATTAAAACACCTGGATTATTAAAACATATTCACGAAATATATTTTAATAAATCTAAATTGGAAAAAAAAAAAAAATATTATTGCTTGGATACAAGCTCAT